TGACGTCATCTCTTCTTGTCGTTTATTCTCTGCAGAACAAGCAAAAGTAAAACGAATTTTTCGAAATACTTCTCTTTTCTTGAAAAATGGATAAAAGGGGCTTAAAGCGCTAGTTTGCGTATTTCAACTCCTTCATCTCCTTCTCAACTCCTTCATCTCCTTCTCAACTCCTTCATCTCCTTCTCAACTCCTCATCTCCTTCTCAACTCCTTCATCTCCTTCTCAACTCCTTCATCTCCTTCTCAACTCCTTCATCTCCTTCTCAACTCCTTCATCTCCTTCTCAACTCCTTCATCTCCTTCTCAACTCCTTCAACTCCTTCTCAACTCCTTCATCGACTCATTCACAAGTCTCCAATCAATTTCCTTTCATTCCACATTGTAAACTTTTCGAGTTTTCACTCCCCAATAGCCAATAGCCAATAAATCCAATCTTTAGCAGACAATGGATAGATTCCCTGCGTTGATTTGAAATGAATTTTTTCCTTTTAAATGAGCCCACATGCAAATGAACTTTTATAGAGTGTTTTCCTCGCAAGTAACGCGTTTTCTTCTCCTTAAAAAAAACGTTTTCTCTATGTGTTCTTTTCTTTTCTTTTCTCGTTTTTCTTGTCTATGTCTTCTTTTGAAAACGACCGTAATCTAGTTTTTTATTTTAATACTTTCATTTCCTTTGTGGATCCTCACAGAATCAGACCAAAAGTAGATACCGTATTTTCTCTAATAATATTGCACCCCGGCGAGCCGAGTTGGTGACGATTTTACGGTTCCCAAGCTTTTGCAGAAGCTCAACACTCAAATCCCCCACTAGATCTCATCGTCAGCTACATTTTTCGATCCCACATCGATAGGTTCTGATAAGCGGTTCTCGAGATTTCGAGCGATTTAGGCGAAGCTTTGAGTGCACTACTATTCGAGAGAGTACAGTAGATTGGAGAAAAACTAGAGAAGGTTACGGTAGTTGAGAAGTCACGTTTTAGAAAACGGATTAGCCAAATGTACGCTTAGAAGTAGAATGGTTGGGGAAATTAAAGCAGTAGGCTATCTGGCTTATCTAAAATGATTCAAGATTTCATTGAAACCACCAAAAATCTCGAATTCCCAATGTTTTCTTATAAAATATCTTCGAAACTCTTCCAAGAAAGTGCATTTATTTTTTTTCAACGCCTTTTTTTTCGACCGCTTCCTGAATAACTTGACACGATAGGGGCAAGAGAGGATAAAGATGGAATGGAATGGAATGGAATGGAATGGAATGGAATGGAATGGAATGAGTGTGTCAAATCATCACCTATTCATCTCTTTTTTTCTCCCAACTCTTTTCCATCAGAAAGATCTGATAAAAAAAGAACCCTGGGGAAAATGGAAAAAAAGGAAATCTGACGAAGAAAAACTTCACTCAAATTCCATCAGATTACTCGAGAGGAGAGCCGCAATCCCGAAAATACTCCTCTCCATTTCCTGAATCATTTCCCGTATTGATGAAACTTTGAAAGTTTATTGTTTTGATTTTTAAAGGAGACAGACATTTTCCTTAATTAAATTAGAATCGATTCTTAATAAAACGAAATTTTCTTTGGTAATTTCATGTAAAAATGGTATTAAAGGATGAGATTAGCTTGAAGTTTAGTTTTAGCTTTCAGTGACCATCAGTTTCACCCTAGTTTTTGTTTTATAGGATGTAGAATTTGAATCGAAAATATAGCCAAAATTTCAGGTAAGAATTGTCCTAGAAAATTTGGGCATCGTGACGCTAAAGCCGCTTGCTGCCCGCTCGTTTCCCTTTGCCGATCAGTTGCTGCCCGCTCGTTTCCCTTTGCCGATCAGTTGCTGCCCGCTCCTTTCCCTTTGCCGATCAGTTGCTGCTCGCTCGTTTCCCTTTGCCGATCAGTTGCTGCCCGCTCGTTTCCCTTTGCCGATCAGTTGCTGCCCGCTCCTTTCCCTTTGCCGATCAGTTGCTGCTCGCTCCTTTCCCTTTGCCGATCAGCAGAGAAAACACCTATGTATCGGAAACATGTGCCAGATGATGCGCGATTACGCGCACACATAAAGAACATTTCAGGCCCTTTTCTTTTCTTTTTTACGATATTCAGCTGTAAATTTGTATATTTGGATTTTCGGGGTCGATTGCAGCTATTCATTTGATTGAGTCTACCAATTAGAACTTGGATTTCATTGATCTAAACTTTCAGAAGAACTTTTAGAGAAAACTTCTCAACTTATCTTTACCGTCTTTCAAATGACGTTTTTATTTCAAATTTCAATTTAAAAACTCATCATTAAGAAAAAAAAGTGTCTTCCCTGCAATTAATCCTCTTCTTCGAGAGTTTTTCTTTCCTTCTTCAAGGCCTCTTTTTGCGAATTTTTTTCCAAAAAAGACCATCCATAGATAATAAATAGACACAGCTTCATTGCAAAAAAAAAAAAAAAAAAACGACAGAAGATCTCCATAAAAATTGCGTGATCGTGAAAAATTTTATCGGCATTTTAAGCTTTGAGCTTGTCTCTGGCTTGATGTAGAGCAATTTTCGTCTGCTATTTGCTATGATATCGTCTGCTATGATAATCTTTCTAAAAAAACACTTGTAATTCAATTTCAATTCTCAATATCATTTCTGGATTCATTTTTTTCAAATTCCTTAAATATTTCGAAAGATTTTGCTTTATTTTGTTGAGTTTTATTTTCTAAAATGTATCGACTTTCGAAATGACCATATCTTGTCTCATTTAAAGTCTTCATTGACTGAATATCGAAAGCAAAAGAATTGAAATCAATCAAAAGCGTTGAAATGAAAAGAAACAAAACAAAAAAAACAAAAGTGAGGTTGTTGGAGAAGATTGTGACAGTCAAAAACCATATTTTACTTCTAATTTTCTCCGAATAAGCTCAAAAATGAGTACTTAATGCGTTAAATTGTTTGTTTATTTGTTTATTTGTTTATTTATTTATTTACTTATTTGCTTATTATACTGATTATTTGCTAAATTTCTTCAATCTATAACTTTACAATTAGATTGAAGACTTTGAATGGAAGATTTTGAGCACCAAACCAAATACAATCCCCTGTATATCTTTTAAATACTTTAATTGAAATAAATACCCAATTTCGTACTGTAGAAATACGAGAAACGGTGTTCACCGTTTTCTAAAATGTGTCCCCTTTCCTCGACTACCTCTAGCCTCTAGCCTCTAGCCTCTAGCCTCTAGTTGACCAGCCTCTAGTTGACCAGCCTCTAGTTGGCCAGCCTCTAGTTGGCCAGCCTCTAGTTGGCCAGCCTCTAGTTGGCCAGCCTCTAGTTGGCCAGCCTCTAGTTGGCCAGCCTCTAGTTGGCCAGCCTCTGTTGGCCAGCCTCTAGTTGGCCAGCCTCTAGTTGGCCAGCCTCTAGTTGGCCAGCCTCTAATTTTAGTTAATCTATCTATTTTTATATCTTCATCCTTCAGAGGAATTCGATCAAAAGTGCGATAAAAACTCGAGATCCAAGATCACTGTAGAAAGTTGACACGTTTTAGAAAAGCATTACACCAGCTAAACCAGCTCAGCTAAGCAATAGTTGAGTGATCAGCTCAGACAAATTTCTTACAGTAAACTTCTTTGAGCTTTTTGCAAAACCTTACACGGCTCAGTTAAATAATAGATTTCTTAAATCTATAACTTTCCAATTAGATCGAGAACTTTGAACAGAAGATTTTATGGCACCAAACCAAATGCAATTCCCTTATATATCTTTTAAATTCTTTAATTGAAGTAAATAGACAATTTCGTATAGACTAAATACAATTCCAAAACGATGTCATTGAGAAATCACTAAAAAAAACATCACTTTTTCATTTAGAAAAAGAGAAAACTCGCGTGTTCGATGAAATCGAGCAAGTTTTCAACCAAAATATTTCATGAATACACCCGGAAGCCGAATGGGAAAACAGGAGTTGATGGAAAACTTGTTGATGTGTTTGAAATTTTGAAATATGAAATGTTTTGCAAAACTCAAAGAAGTTTACTGTAAGTCTGAGCTGATCACTCAACTATTGTTTAGCTGAGCTGGTTTAGCTGGTGTAATGCTTTTCTAAAACGTGTCAACTTTCTACAGTGATCTTGGATCTCGAGTTTTTATCGCACTTTTGATCGAATTCCTCTGAAGGATGAAGATATAAAAATAGATAGATTAACTAAAATTAGAGGCTGATCAACTAGAGGCTGATCAACTAGAGGCTGATCAACTAGAGGCTGATCAACTAGAGGCTGATCAACTAGAGGCTGATCAACTAGAGGCTAGAGGCTAGAGGCTGATCAACTAGAGGCTGATCAACTAGAGGCTGATCAACTAGAGGCTGATCAACTAGAGGCTGATCAACTAGAGGCTAGAGGCTAGAGGCTGATCAACTAGAGGCTGATCAACTAGAGGCTGATCAACTAGAGGCTGATCAACTAGAGGCTGATCAACTAGAGGCTGATCAACTAGAGGCTGATCAACTAGAGGCTAGAGGCTAGAGGTAGTCAAGGAAAGGGGACACATTTTAGAAAACGGTGAACACCGTTTCTCGTATTTCTACAGTACGAAATTGTCTATTTACTTCAATTAAAGAATTTAAAAGGTATACAGGGGAATTGCATTTGGTTTGGTACTACAAAATCTTCCATTCAAAGTCTTCAATCTAATTGTAAAGTTATAGATTGAAGAAATTTAGCAAATAATCAGTATAATAAACAAATAAGTAAATAAATAAATAAACAAATAAACAAATAAACAAATCAAACAATTTAACGCATTAAGTACTCATTTTTGAGCTTATTCGGAGAAAATTTGAAGTAAAATATGGTTTTTGACTGTCACAATCTTCTCCAACAACCTCACTTTTGTTTTTTTTGTTTTGTTTCTTTTCATTTCAACGCCCACTCAACCCAACTATTTTGCGTAATTCTTTGATTAAAATAGCTTATCAAATGTAAATTTCTATTTTTATTTTTTAGGCGAAAAATTATGGAAAATTTGGAGAATGGTATGTCGGATTTGTTATTGGCGCCTCGGCCATCGCGTTCACTTTCCCCATCACCAAGAGGACTCTCACCAGCGTCACTCGTGCGATGTGCCAGTGATCGTGGTGGGTTCAAAGATTTGATACTATCCAATATCTCGGATGCTTTCTAAAAGAGGAGAGTGTTGTGTCTAATGTCTAAAAGAGTGTTTTAAAGAAGACACTCTTCCGAGATATTGGATTGGTAACTTGAAAGTTGGTAACACTTATTCATTGCACTTTTTAGGAATAACTAGTGCACAAATTAATTTTTAGAGCTTTTTTTAACCAATAAAAAGCTCTATTTATTCTCTAAACACAGGCTTTTAGAATAGATTTAGGTTTTGTAGATTTCTAGTTTGTAGTTTTGTAGATTTCTAGGCGGGGGAAAGAAATTTAGTAACCAAAAATGATAAACATTCGACTTGAAGCGATTTGAGCACTTTCTTTCATCTAAAACCTATTTTGGTGTAAATAGAAAAAGGGTAGAGCACAAAAAGTTAGTTAATCGGAAGGTCGAGGGTTCGAACCCCACATGCGACATGGTCACCCCCTTCGGATTTCCTTTCCCTTCGGGTTGAGAGGTTTTCTGGAGGGCAGTCTGGTGGTTGTGGGCCCAGTTCTTTAAAGTGACAAGCCACTCCTTCATCGTCATCTTCCCTTCACCACCAAAAAAGCTATTTATTGGGTTGTCCAGTTATGAATGCGCGTTTTTACTATTTTGTAAATTTCTCAAGATATCGAACAGATGTATATGAGTGTTATATATCATTCGAAAGCTGAAGATCTCCTCTACATTTTGGAATAAAAAGGTTTTTGAATTCATTCAACTTTTTGGGCAAATTGATTGCACAAAGGGAGAGGTCGTTTTCGAAAAAATTCATTTCAGCTTAGCTATTCCTCAAGTTTTATGGTGTAAAATAACCGCCCAGAAAAGTAAAGATGCTCTGAAATTGTTATATTTAAAAAAAGTTATATTGATATATCTATTGGCCAAACATCAAACGGTTAACTCAATTTGAGCGCAGCCAAAACTTGATCCAAAGGCACCCTTCCATTTTTTTTGGCCACCTCTTCTTCTGTGCAGTCAATTTGCCCAAAAGCTCGACAAATTCAAAAGCTTTTTATATCAAAATGTAGAGGAGATATTCAGCTTTCGAATAATACTCATAGATATCTTTTTCTTGATTTTGGTATCTTGAGAAATTTACAAAATAGTAAAAAACGCGCATTCATAACTGGACAACCCAATAGTTCCCCATTGAGCTTAGGGTTAGGGAGCCGTCTGTCATGACGTGGGTTAAGTTAAGATATAGCCTAGTATTGTGTGTGTCGTTGTATTGTGATTGATATATTTCGTGTATGCGATAAAATTCACCACTGGTAGCCCCAGTCGGTATTTTTTAAAGCCAAATTTTCAGGATTTCAGGTGGTTTTGGTGTCTTTAAAACAAAAAAAAAAAAAACGGGCAACGATGCCTTTTATTATTTACTTATTTTATTCAAAAAATCAATTCTCTGAACCATCTTCTAAACAATAACAATAATAAAAACAACTTCTAAACAATGATTTCAGCGCGAACGCCCCGCCGAGACTCCGTTTTCAGTAAATAACTCTCACCTCGATTTTTTTTCTGTATTCGACAATTCTATAATTTCTAGTGCTTGTCCCTTGAGAAGACTAATTCCTTTAGAAACCTTTAATAGCATGTGATTTGAATGAAATTTGTCAAGCTTTTATGGAGCTTTTTTTTGAAGCTTTCAATAATTTTCACTTTAGATCCCCAAAAGGAGCAACAACGCGGCGGCTCGTTGACAATCGGGAAAACGAATCAAATTCCTCTTTGTCCACAGCTGAGCCCATCACAGGTTTGTTTTTAATTCTTAGAGTTTCTTTTGGACTCATTAATGGAACTCATTAGCTTAATGAGAGACCCAAAATACCCAAGTTGTATCAAGGGGAATTCTCCGAGACTCAGCCCTAGGTCATCAAAGTCGTTGAGCTGATTTGAATAAGCTCGATCACTGGTAGTCTATGTACTGTCGGTATCACAGTACTACAGTACAGTACTACAGTACAGTACACTACAGTACTACAGTACAGTACAATATACTCTAGTCTAGTACTAAAGTACAATAGAACTTACTACAGTACTACAGGGTGTCGCAAAAGTTCAACTTTTTGTAAACGAACAGTATTTTTTGAAAAAAACTAACGCCGGATTGTGTAAATTTACCGTAAATACTGTAATTGGACCCCACCGCCCTCGTACAGTCGCGTAGTCGCAAAAGTTTTTTAGTATTTCATTTTTTTCAACGCGCCCGTACTTTCAAAAAATGCGTCTTTGGTATCAAAAAATAGCTGAAATTCAGGGCTATTTTTTGATACCAAAAATAATGACGGTGCGGAGTATTGCGTAGTCTAGCTTTGAACGCGTTTTTCTCGACACTGGTTTAAGCTACAATGCGCGCTTAGGTATCAAAAAATAGCTGAAATTCAGGGCTATTTTTTGCTCTTTAAGCGCGCATTGTAGCATAAACCAGTGTCGAGAAAAACTCGTTCAAAGCTAGACTACACAACACTCCGCACCGTCATTATGGGGCTGGGGTACTATTACAGTATTTACGGTATGTATTTTTATCCGTATTATACTTTTAATACTTTTTTTACACAAAAGTTACAACTCTAAACAACTTTTTGATTAGGATGTTTAAAGGTCGCTTTTTTTTTTTACTTTTAAGCTTTGAATGCCCTTAGAATCGATTGAAAATCTTTCATTTTTAAGTTATAAATTTCTTTTGTAGCTGTAGTACTGTGATACCGACAGTACATAGACTACCAGTTAGCTTAAGAAAACTTAAATCTATCAAATGATAACAAGAGTTTTTTAGAAAATCAAATTTCATTCTACAAATTTTTAGAATTTAAGACAATTTTCGCAAAAGTCTTCATTTGATAGATTTAAGTTTTCTTAAGCTAACTGGTAGTCTATGTACTGTCGGTATCACAGTACTACAGCTACAAAAGAACTTTATAACTTAAAAATGAAAGATTTTCAATCGATTCTAAGGGCATTCAAAGCTTAAAAGTGAAAAAAAAGCGACCTTTAAACATCCTAATCAAAAAGTTGTTTAAAGTTGAAATCTTTTTGATGAAAATTGGCATCTTTGGATAAAAATATTTGAATTTTTAGAATTTGGTGTTAATTTTTCGAAAGGAAAGCTTCTTTTTTAAAATGCTAACTTTTCCATATTCAGGTTTACATTGTGCGTAAAGCTTGGAAACACATCAACACAAAGGGACTCGTCGGAGTGTTTCGGCGATGCTTTCAACGGGTAAAACACCCAAAACATCACATAAAACCTTCTCATCTATTTTTTTAAAGACACTCTTCAAAGTCTTTAAAGGCTTTAAAGTCTTCAGTCTTTAAAGGCTTTAAAGTCAGGCTTCAAAGTCAGGCTTTAAAGTCTTCAAAGGCTTCAAAGTCAGGCTTTAAAGTCTTTAAAGGCTTCAAAGTCAGGCTTCAAAGTCTTCAAAGGCTTCAAAGTCAGGCTTCAAAGTCTTTAAAGGCTTCAAAGTCAGGCTTCAAAGTCTTTAAAGGCTTCAAAGTCAGGCTTCAAAGTCTTTAAAGGCTTCAAAGTCAGGCTTCAAAGTCTTCAAAGTCTTCAAAATCTTTAAAGTCTTTTCATCATAGATTTCTTCAAAGTTCGTTTAATTCTTAATAAAGAATAGTGTAACAATGCCTTTCAAGAGCTCAAAGAATTCAAAATGACTATTTTTGAAGGAATTTCATCCGTTTTTCTTCACGTCATTTGGCTTTTTTTTTAGTCGATAACTTATAAATAAATATTCGTTTGAGAATCTCCGATATTCAGGCTGAATCGTGTTGTACGATTATTGCTCAAACGTTTACTTTATGCGGATCGGCGTCTGGTTCCGGTAGTCAAATCTACACGGGATCTCCCCATCACAGCACTTCGCCCATTTCACCGAATTCTCGAAATGAAAATTCGATTGTTCAAGAGATTTCTCCAAAGTTCGTTTCGTTCTTGATAAAGAATAGTGTAAAAGAAATTAGGATTTTAACCAAAAAAGCTTTTATTTTATTTTCTAAAGCCTAAAAAGTTGTTTGCTAAAATTCAGAAATTCAATCAAATTCAATAAATCAAAAAGAATTGTTTCTTAAATTGAATTTGAAATTGTAATGCTTGTAAAAGGAAGGCTTTAAGCGTAATGCTTGTAAAAGCTTTAAGTTCTTGATTTTATCGGGAAATTAATTAATTGATTGATTATTGATTTCAGTCGTCGAACTTCTGATGCAGGGACGGCGAGTATCGTCTGCGTGCGCACTCTTTCCGAACATTCGATCTTCATGGTTCACCTCTTTCAAAGAGTTCTTTCAGGCGATCAGGTTTGAAATTCAGCTTAAACTTCTATAAAGTTTTTGATTTTTTTGAAAAGCTTTCAAGAAATATTAGGTTTTTTCGGATATAAACGAGCGTTTGCACTGCCTAACTAGTGAGGAAGTTAACTGCTTAACTCCTGAGGAAGTTAACTGCTTAACTCGTGAGAAAGTTAGCTGCTTAACTCGTGGGGAAGTTAACTGCTTAACTCCTGAGGAAGTTAACTGCTTAACTCGTGAGAAAGTTAGCTGCTTAACTCGTGGGGAAGTTAACTGCTTAACTCCTGAGGAAGTTAACTGCTTAACTCGTGAGAAAGTTAGCTGCTTAACTCGTGGGGAAGTTAACTGCTTAACTCCTGAGGAAGTTAACTGCTTAACTCCTGAGGAAGTTAACTGCTTAACTCGTGAGGAAGTTAGCTGCTTAACTCGTGGGGAAGTTAACTGCTTAACTCATGAGGAAGTTAAGCATCCACTTCTCATCTCCAGTAACGAGAGAATCAAAAAAGCCATGATCTTTAGCGTGGCGGATGAGGATTCCGGCAATAGGGACCCGTGAAGCCTTTTTGGCACTGCTTAACTCATGAGGAAGCCATTTCCCGCATCAAATCGTCTTTCCAATGGCGTGGAGATGCTAATCAATAGTAGAATTTGAACATAGAAACTGTTGTGCAAGTTCACGCGTCGTTTGACATGGATCCAATTCGATTGCAGCCCTCAAAGTATTGTTGTCTACCGCTGGAGGTCGACAACGATATTCTTGACGAGAGTGTTCATCATTCTCGAGACTTTCATCACCATTCCGAAAGCGTTGGAACCAGACTCGACATCGGCTTTCGGACAATATGATAATGATCATCGGCATCCCACAAGGCTTTGTCCAAATCTCGATGGGATTCCGCGACTGTTTTGCCCAGTTTGAAGTCGTAAAGTAGGCACGCTTAGTTTGCGCAAACTTGATATATTTGAACTCAGCCATCTAAAGCAAGAAAAAAGATCTTAAAAATAAGAAATTATCCGTTTAAAAAGATTCCAAATATGCACAAGATAACGTACTTTTAAATACAGAAAAACAGATTTTAAAAGTTTTTCTCACAAAAATAAGTTTAGCAACGCTTGTTTACATCCGAACAACCTAATAGAATAGGTGCTAAGCTCAGTTGATATTGAAATCTACCCCTTGGTTGGCTGAGTTTTGATGGATCAGCAATGAATTAATAATATGACCTAATAATATTCAAAAGGAATTTTTTTGAGACGATCGTCGAGTACCTTCGTCGCATCGGTGCTCGTCATGTCGCTTTGCAATCAGAAACAGCTTTTGGTAGTCGACAACTTGAAAAGTTTGGCGAGGTTGGCGTTAGTTTGGCGATAATCTAAAATCTAAAATCGAGATCGAACTCGAAATCGATAATCGATCTCTTTTTCAGATTTTGGTCGATGTTTTTTTGAAACTCGATGGAATCCGAGAAAGCAAAGAGTGCAGGTTAAAAGATTCAAATATAAGAAGACCATTCAAGTCCATTTCAGTCGAGCTTGGAGACAATTGATCTCTTCATTCGTCGATTGTCTACGAGATGGATTTGAGGAAGAAGCCCGGTAAGCTCATCAACTTAAAGGGAGGGGTATTAATCGCGGCCGGGTGACGATAAAAATTTTTTTTACGGCAACCACCTGTTTTTTTATTTTAATATCGCTGATTTTATTATAAAAAGAATAAAAATCACCCGGCTAGAGTGATTTGAATTGAATTTTTGGAGACACTGCAAGGCTTGGAGAAAAACAAGATCGTCACTCATCAGACACCTCAGCACAGTCTAGATCGATTGAGTTTTAATTGCAACCCTAACAAGGCCATGTTTAGTCAAAACCGACGAAAGAACTCCTTTAACGCCCACTCTCGTTACTTTGATGATATTGAGAGGTAATCTTGAGATATTGAGAGGTAAAAGTAACAGGAAATCTTTTTCCAGACGACACTCAACTCCAGCACGACGTGGATCTCTTCGAATCGATGTTCAAGCAGCTACGAGAAAAGTTTCAAACTATATCTAACTTCTAGCCTTATCAAAAAAAGCTCATTATTCCAATTTATTTCCTCTTTGATTCATGCATATCTTTTGATTTTTTTTTCTTTATTATTCTTTATTATTTTTTATTATTTCTTTATTATTCCCTTCATTATTTCTTTACATTTAACAATCCTCGGATGATCGTTTAGAAATTTAAGAGAGCCGAATTCAATGAGACCAGAAAAACACCTTGATCCCGTTGTCGGTAATAGGTAACATTGAAATAGAAACGTTTAACATTTTAAAACATTTTACAACCCGAGGATGATCGTTTAGAAATTTAAAAAATGACTCAATCCCAAAAATTTGAAAAGATTATACGTTTAAATAATAGATAAAATCGTCTTTCAAATGATATAAGTAAATGGTTTTCTACAAGAAAAGTAAAATCTGTGAATGCGTCAAAAAATAAGAGAAATGGAAACAGCAAATTGGCTTTCGAGATCTAACCTATCGACAAAAAAGAGGAAATAATTTAGAGCTGATACCGAAAGATGGTAAATGTGTTAAAAATAGAAAATGCCTTTGATAGTTGAGAAGTTTATTGCTGACCAGCACCGGCGCCTGCACCACCGCCGCCAGCACCTTGACCCTGCTGTCGGTAATAGCTAAAATTGAAATTGAAACGCTTCTTCAACGAAAACCCTACTTAGCCCATTGCTGCTGATATTGTGGATTGTTGTAATATTGCTGGTAGTACTGTTGATAGTTGTAGTTCGAGTTTGCACCAGCACCAGCGCCAGCACCGTCAAGGTGGGATGAACACTTTGACCCTGCTGTCGGTAATAGCTAAAATAGCTAATTGAAATAGAAACGTTTAACATTTTAAAAACATTTAACAATCCGAAGATGATCGTAATGATTCAATCTCAAAAATTTGAAAAGATTATACGTTTAAACAATAGATAAAATCGAAATTCGTGTTTTTTTTTCCGAAAATTCGTTAAATGGTCAAAAAATAAAAACGATTTGACAAATTAAGCTGAAATTTTGGCTTAAATCTGGGCTTAATCTGGCTTTTGGCTTAAATCGTGACTTTTTGTGCTCTATCTTTTGTCTTATGACCCAAAAAATAAGTTTCTTTGGCCAAAAGAGCCAAAAGCCGCTGACTGGTTAAGTGTCTTTTATCTTAATCGGAAGGTCGAGGGTTCGAACCCCACATGCGACATGGTCACCCCCTTCGGATTTCCTTTCCCTTCGGGTTGAGAGGTTTTCTGGAGGGCAGTCTGGCGGTTGTGGCCCCAGTTCTTTAAAGTGACAAGCCACTCCTTCATCGTCATCTTCCCTTCACCACCAAAAAAGCTATTTAGTTCCCCATTGAGCTTAGGGTTAGGGAGCCGTCTGTCATGACGTGGGTTAAGTTAAGATATAGCCTAGTATTGTGTGTGTCGTTGTATTGTGATTGACATATTTCGTGTATGCGATAAATTCACCACTGGTAGCCCCAGTCGGTATTTTTTTTTAAAAAAACCACTCAAATTGTATCATTAGACCATTTCTGCTTTTGATCCCTCAATTTCGTGCTCTCTGAAAAACCACAAAACGCAAGCATTTCCCAAATGTGTTAAAAGCTACAATAGAGCAATAGAGCTTTAAAAGAACAATAGAGCTTTTAAAGCATTACACTGCTCCAACTAATTATAGAGCCATTTACGTATTTTAAAAACTCACAAAGGAATGCCAACAACCCGAAGTACAGAATCGCTTTGTGATCTTATAGAATCGGCCATGCTGATTCTGAATCTGTAAAAATTAGCTGCAAACACCTACGCAAGCGCGAGAAATCTGGCATCGAAAATTCGACCAAATTTCGGACTCTTTATGTGGCCGCCACAAGGAGACTCTCAAGCGGCTTCAATGGTCTAGTGGATAGTGTGCTAGCCTGTAGGAACTATTGGCTTCGGTTCGAGTCCGACAGCAGGAAATTTTTTTTTGCATTTTTGAAAAATCATTTCATGATTCAAAAAGTTTATCCATATTTGCAAATCACTTTCAATTTGCATCCGTTCATTCACTTGGGGAAAGCGGCGACCAGCTCAGCCTCACATCTCGCGAATTCAGGCATCTAAAATCAAAGAGTTCTCTTTTTTTCTGTGAGCTTTTTCTTCTTTTATACAACATAAAGACTAAACATTTCTATCCGTTCTGATCCACCTTTGACCAAAAATTAAGCAGCTTGCCGGTCATCTGCTCGATATTAGCCACCTTGCACACTTTCCCGTACTCAATCGATCGACATTTCGTGTTTTTGACAACTTCCCTGAGACTTTGTCTTTATCTTTTGAAAGTTTCAAATAAACAGACTGGCAGGGGACTTTCTCGTCGTTCATCTCCACTTTTCCGCACGCCTTCTCCACTTGAGCGTCGATGGCGTCGTTTTTGCATTTAAAAATCGGCTCCACTAAAGGGTTTGAATTATTTCAAAAGATCGAAATGCATTTTTTCGGATTTTCTAAAAAAATGAGGGACTTTTGTGCTAAAAACTCTTCAATTTACAATTAACAAAACCTAAATACATACCGTAAATACTGTAATAGTACCCCACCCCCATAATGACGGTGCGGAGCGTTGCGTAGTCTAGCTTTGGACGAGTTTTTCTCGACACTGGTTTAAGCTAGCTTTGAACGAGTTTTTCTCGACCCTGGTTTATGCTACAATGCGCGCTTAGGTATCAAAAAATAGGCCTGAATTTCAGCTATTTTTTTGATACCTAAGCGCGCATTGTAGCTTAAACCAGTGTCGAGAAAAACTCGTTCAAAGCTAGACTACGCAACACTCCGCGCCGTCATTATCTTTGGTATCAAAAAATAGCCCTGAATTTCAGCTATTTTTTGCTACCAAAGACGCATTTTTTGAAAGTACGAGCGATTTGAAAAAAATGAAATACTGAAAAACTTTTGCGACTACGCGACTGTACGAGGGCGGTGGGGTCCAATTACAGTATTTACGGTAACTATACACGTCACTAAACAAACCTACCGCATTTCCTGTTATTGAACCCCATCCCTCTAATAGAAATCCGACTCTAATAGAGTTCCACCGTGGAGGGGGTATGAAAAAATAGAGCCTCATCCTTCTAATTGAGCTCCACCTCCCTAATTGAGCTCCACTTCCCTAGCATAACATAGCTAACAACACTGGTTTGGCTAACAACATGTTAGCCAACAGTGAAAGAAATTTGGAAAGAGTTGGTTTCAAAGGGGTCTAATTCCCGTCTAATTAGACTAATTCCCGTCATGCACCTATTGACGTATAGTGCAAAAATTCCCTGACCTACATATTGTACTATAGGCAATCAATGTTTCTAGGTGTAATTTCATTACTTACTGTTCCTTACTTACAGTATTTATGGTAAATGAAACCTAATAAGTTTCAAATTTCTTGTAGAGGTCCTTGATCGAACTCTCGATCCTCACACACGTCAGTTAAAGGTTTTAAATTCTATAACGTGCCCTTGGGAACGTACGTAACCGTTGACTAAGTAACTTTTGCACAAGTAAAAGGCTATAAAAGGTTTCCTATCTTATTCCGTGCGGTCTTTTTCTTTCATTTGAGTCTTCTCGATTCATTTTTGCTCTTGATCAAGTGATTTTTCTTTCGCATTCACTTTGCAAGTGATTCGTGTTCTCATTTATTAAGTGATTGTTTTCATTCATTTCTCAGTGAGTGTTTTATTTCTTGATTGTTGTACGTGGTGTTGTTAACGTGGAACGTAGTGTTTTGCGTGGTGATTCAGGTGTTAAATAAAGTCTTGTTTCTTTGAAGGAGCAGACATAAACCACATTGAGACTCCCTAGAAGATAAAGCACGTTATACTATAACCTCATTAGTTCAATACGCAGGCCGGGAAACATACGGTTGAACCCATTCTACATTGAACCACGTGAACTAAATTGAGGTGTTCGTGCAAGTGGTAGTCAAAATGGTGGTACGGTAACACAGCCAAAATGGCATTACCAAAGCGGTAAACAAGTTGAAAAATTAGAAGGGAAATGAGGCAAGTGTTTGAAAAATTGGAAGGCGTGAAGACCTCGTTGAATTGCAGAAAGCAATTGACTTGGCACAGAAACAGTTCAAGCTTGTGAGAGAATCACAAGAATCGTTGAGAGCAAGATATATGAGGTGGAAGGGATCCTGAAGCCGAAGAAGAAGCTGATTGGGATACTTATACGTTGGCTAAGGAGGATGAGATGGAGCCATTAAAAGATTTGTTACAAAAAACAAACCAGACGTCACAACGGAAGCTGCATGCAGAAGAAGCAGAAGTTCTCGCAAAAGCAAGCGGACGTTACACGGGTTTATGAAGGCCGGCAAGATGACAACGTTAATGCTCATGATGAGTTACACGTTTCCTTGCCCACCAACAAATTACAAGAGATTCCTGAATTTGACGGGGGGGGGAAAATTGGGAAAAGTATTGGAGCTATTTTGATAAATACGTGCACAGCAAGAGAGGAGACGATCTTGCAAAGTTAAACATTCTTGTCAAAACGGCAAGGGTGAGGCGGCAAAAATCATAAATATGATTCCAAATGACGTGGATTTTTACCCAAATAAATTCAGGAATTGAAATCGATTACGGAAATACGTATTGTGAAGGCTGCTTGGTTGCAGAAGTTTGAGAAGATCCAAAGTGCAAATTCTCACGTAATGAGCTAAAAAACACGTTTTATGAAATTAAACAATTTCAAAAGCGAGAAGGATTAGGTGAATCCATGAATAATTCCACACACGTAAATTGATCAAGTCACGTTTCCATATCAAATCTTAGCAGAAATAAGTGCAAAGAGATGGAGCGCCGCACGAGTGGTCAACAGATCTACTCATGGAACAGATTGAAAAGGCAATTTTGCAAAGCAAAATGTAGACCGTTTCAAACAATATGAAATCAAAGTTAACGTGGAAACGAAAAGACAAGTGGAGCAAAAAGGTTTAGAGAAAAAGATGATCTTTTGTGGTGGTGATCATGAAAACGTACGTTGCCGCAACAGCTTGTCAAAGCAACAAATTGTGGAAGTTTTAAAAATCAACCGGCTTTGCTGGATATGTTATGGAAATCATAGCTCCAAATTTTGTACGTTGCCCAAGTGTGCCAACTGTTATGGTTTGCACAATGTACGAGTCTGCAATGAAAAGGCAGATAGAAATGTCAGTTATGTGCAAGAAAAAAGCGCACAAGTGGACCAGAAATGTATCATAAAAGCTATAATAATCAACGGTCGTATGAACCAAAGATTAAAGCAGAGGTGAATCACTTACAAGTGTCCCCAAAAGCGTCAAATCAGAGAACGATACGTATTTTGAAACGCCAGAGCCTGCAAAATTTTTCGTGGCCCCACGGAAGAACAACAACATGTATCAATCACGGAGGAAATGGATGGATCAACAAATGGATGGAACGAGCAAATGGCAAAGGATGGGTGCAACGAACAGATGGTGTGCCAAGGATCCGGATACTTCCAGCAATGATGTCGTGGTATTAAATTCTTTATCTAACCAATCAACTCTGTAGCAGTGTAAATCTAACATCTTCTTTAAGGGCAAAGGCCATAAATCCAAAAACTCTACAATCGGCAAAGGCCACCATACTTTTTGACACGGGTGCATCAAAATCATTTATTTCGAAAAATCTCGTAACACAAATCGAATCACAAAACGTGGTGCAAAAGATGCACGAGATCATGAGAGCCGAGACGAGAGAAATATAGCCACTCTCAAAACGATATTGATTTACGCATTGAGGGAATAGAAAAGTTGGCGAGATCACAACATGAAGATGTGATACGTGAATTACGTAGAGAAGTAAATAAAAGGAAGCTGCAAGAAGACGTGGATGAAATGGAAGAAGATCCGGTAAAGCGGAAGATCTTAAAAGTTCATCCACAAACGTGTCCATTTTGCAATCACGATTGCAAAGACGTAATTAAGTGCGCGCTTAAGGTGCCGATCAATCAAAGACTCGAAATTGCCCGAGCGAAAAATATAGTCAAGATCTGATGTGCTACAAGAGCCACAAGGGACCGGCAACAAGCGAATATGACCATCTCAGCCGCTGCCGAGGAAATCATCACATCGTCTTCTGCCGATTATAAAAGAATCAACATCGCCACAGCTTCGATCTACCGGATTACGTATTCATTTCTTTCAATCAATTAGTCAAGGATTGATGAATTTTGATATCTTTACTTAAATTCTTTTGGACACCTAAAATCTACACTAACCTTAGAAATCTCTTTCAGCCTTAGTGGGAAGTACGCTAAAAAAACAGCGTATTACATTCTTTCATGGTGGGAGTGATCGAACTCTCGATCCTCACACACGTCAGTTAAAGGTTTTAAATTCTATAACGTGCCCTTGGGAACGTACGTAACCGTTGACTAAGTAACTTTTGCACAAGTAAAAGGCTATAAAAGGTTTCCTATCTTATTCCGTGCGGTCTTTTTCTTTCATTTGAGTCTTCTCGATTCATTTTTGCTCTTGATCAAGTGATTTTTCTTTCGCATTCACTTTGCAAGTGATTCGTGTTCTCATTTATTAAGTGATTGTTTTCATTCATTTCTCAGTGAGTGTTTTATTTCTTGATTGTTGTACGTGGTGTTGTTAACGTGGAACGTAGTGTTTTGCGTGGTGATTCAGGTGTTAAATAAAGTCTTGTTTCTTTGAAGGAGCAGACATAAACCACATTGAGACTCCCTAGAAGATAAAGCACGTTACACTATAACCTCATTTAGTTCATATAGTCCTAGCCAAGAGAGGTTCAAATCACTTTGTATAGAAAAATTTTGATTAGTTGATCCTAGTTGGACATCAGAAATAAATCTGGCTTTCATAAAACTCACGATCCTTCATTGCATTCATAAACTCCACTTTGCAAAGGATATCGGAGATGAAAGAGGCCTTCGGGAGATTGGAGTCCGTCGAAGTGCCGGCCTTTTCCACCGCTTTGGTTAGTTTAAAATTCAAGATAGTTTTACTAGTTAGGCAAAAAACACTCACTCGCAGAATGCCTTTGGGAGCGTCCCGTCCTGGATGCCGCCAGCCGCCAATGCGTCGGCACCTGACACAGAGCTTTTTAAGTCCCAACGATTCTATAGCAAGCTCTTAGTTCGGGCTGCTGATCTGTGATAAAAGAGTCAAAGCTTTGATCAGTACCAGTAAAGTAACTAGTATTATTCGCAAAATGATTTAGAGTACCTCTTTGATACAAAACGCTTAATAAAATGAGTGCTGGGAACAGCATTTTTGAGATTTCAGTTGAATAAAGTTTAGAAATGATAGGAAACCTTTTAATCGGTGCAGTAAATGACAATTTCCAGTGTTTTCTTCATTTTTCGATTTCCCTTTTCGAAATGTTCCAGCTTTTTGAACAAACGTGAGATCGAAAAGATCATTTATCGAATTTTCGTTTCGTTGAAAGAGTTATCAAAATGAGGGGGGTGGGACAAATGCGATCTTTTTTTTGCGCACCTGGACATTTGCGCACCTTTTTTTGCTGGAAAAGGCCTTAGGCAAGGCCGTAGAGCTTCGAAAATATTTCCATATAAGGGAATTGGGCTTCCTTACACCGGGAGACCTGACCGGGCACAGGCTATGGTCCGATTCACCCAGCTCCGGGCTTCCTTACACCGGGAGACCTGACCGGGCACAGGCTATGGTCCGATTCACCCAGCTCCGGGCTTCCTTACACCCGGAGACCTGACCGGGCACAGGCTATGGTCCGATTCACCCAGCTCTGGGCTTCCTTACACCCGGAGACCTGACCGGGCACAGGCTATGGTCCGATTCACCCAGCTCCGGGCTTCCTTACACCCGGAGACCTGACCGGGCACAGGCTATGGTCCGATTCACCCAGCTCCGGGCTTCCTTACACCCGGAGACCTGACCGGGCACAGGCTATGGTCCGATTCACCCAGCTCCGGGCTTCCTTACACCCGGAGACCTGACCGGGCACAGGCTATGGTCCGATTCACCCAGCTCCGGGCTTCCTTACACCCGGAGACCTGACCGGGCACAGGTTATAGCCTGCTTGAAACCCTTAATAGCCCCCAGAAAGGTCAACGTTGGCCCTAAGCCACTTTTTTTTGGGTAGTTTTATGCGTAGATTCCGAAAAAACACAACGAGAGCTTGGGAAAATGCGTTTTAGGTCAAGTTTCGGGGCTCCAAAGTGCGTACTCATCCAGTGTGATGATAGGGATACACGTAGGGAAGAGGTCGAAAAAATGGTCTCTCAAAAGGTCTTTTTGAAGCCAAAAACACTTCTTTTTGCGTAATCTAATCTACTGATTACGTTTCTGATCAAATTAAAGCAAAATTTTCAAAAAAAAAATTTTCGAATTTCGACCATGTGGTCCCCCACATGAGTCGAAATCGGTCAAAATCTCAAAAAATATTTTTTTTCGATTTATTTTGCCTCTACCAGTCAATTTAAGTTAGAAAATGAATATTTAGTGGTTAAAAAATGATTTTGGCTCTAGTTTTGACCTTGAAAAGTGTCCCAATAGTCGTTAGCTTGAGTACACAAATTTAAAGTTCAAAAAGTTAAAGTTAAAGTGCAAAAAAAAAGTGTAGTTTTTAACGTGTCGAAATGTCGGTTTTTCAGTTAAAATCCTATGCTAAAACGATCAAATTCGTGCTCAGCGCCCTCGATTACCCCTCAAAAAGTGAAGAAATCAAAAATATCGCTGCCCCTCGACCACCAAAAAACGAAAACTCTTCTCAGAAAATTTGAGAACAGATTTCGAAAGAAAGCGTTGGAAATAGTGCCAAGGATTCTTTTATCTTCTCTGACTATTTGCTCAATACTCTTTGAGACATTAGAAAATTTGAGAACAGATTTCGAAAGAAAGCACTGGAAAGATGAAAAATTCGAGAAAGGAAAAAAAAAGGAAAAGAATGTTCTGAATTCTGACCGAATTTTTCATCTTTCCAGCGCTTTCTTTCGAAATCTCTTCTCAAATTTTCTGAAAAGAGATTTCGTTTTTTTTTTTTTTTTGACTAGCGAAACCAGTGAAACAAAAGTACATAAACCATAAAAACGCAGATAAAAGCAGAGAAAGTCAAGGAGGTTGTTCACTATTTATTCTTGAACTTGTTGAAAATTGAAAATTGAAAATGGACGATGGAAAACGTAGGTTTTATATTATATTGAGTTGTGGGAGTATGAAATGGCGGCGTCTTTGAACTTAGCCAACATCGGCATGCAAACAGACCAACAAATGCAACGATCAAAGGAAAGCCAAAAGCCAAAAGGCGTCTTTGAACGAACTTTCGATAAAAAACTAAACCATAACTTTTTGCTCAAATTTTTTTCGAATAAAAATTAAAGTTTTGTTGGATATATGCCAAAATTTCATTCCGATTTGATGCACAATTTTTGAGAAATCAAAGAGGATGGTGGCCACTGCTTAAAGCTGATGAAATCCGGGAAGTTCTTGGAAAACCAGTCTTGGACAATTGGGGCTTCGTGGGCAGACGCCCCATCCCGTTGAAAGGATCACATTTTGTTTCCGAAGTGTTTTTGTGCCTAAAAATTAGCAAAGATAGCCAACCTAAAAGCGCATACCGTAAATACTGTAATAATAGGTTGATGCATAAGTCTTTTCGTTTTTTTCGTACTTCTGTTAAAAAGTAACAAATTCACGAATTAATCTATAGTTTGCTCTATAAAAAAAGTGTTTTTTTGTTCAATTTGCATCTTTTTAAATGAATTTCGGTTCACTTTCAAGCAAATTCGAGAGGGAAAAACGCCTTTTTCGTAAAAATCTATAAAAAACTCTACGGAAAAATTGGCTGAATGAATTTCTCTGAAATTTTGGCGAAATATCAAACGTTTTTTTTCTCTATCTTTTATCTATTGACACGAAGATAGGTTTTCTTTAGCTAAGGTGTTAAACCGCTCGGGCGGGGGGGGGGGGGGGGGCTAAACCGCATCATCGAGTTAGCCCTTTTTGACTACCCGACTTCATACTCTCAAGAAAATCCAGGCATTAAATATTTTTAAACCCGTTTTAATGTTATTTTGCAGAAAAATAATTGCTTTTTCTAATGAAATCAACCGTAGTTTAATTCGTGCATTTGTTGGCTTGAAACGGCAGACGAAAAGGAACAAAAACACTTATGCATCAACCTAATATTAGGTTGTCCAATAAGTAATGCGTGTTACTTATTTCGATGTTACTCATCGAAACCAGCTTCATTCTATTATGACGGACTTCACTCTTTGCTCGGACGATGGAGAAATGTTGTTGATTTTTGTGGAGAATATATCGATTAATAAAGTTCTCTTTTGTTAATTTTGTGATATTTTGAAAATCGTGTCAAAACACGCATTACTTATTGGACAACCTAATAGTACCCCACCCCCATGATGACGGTGCGGAGTATTGCGTAGTCTAGCTTTGAACGAGTTTTTCTCGACCCTGGTTTATGCTACAATGCGCGCTTGGGTATCAAAAAAATAGCTGAAATTCAGGGCTATAGAAGGCTAAAAGGTAGAATTTGTTTCGAATTTTTAGCGGTTGTGTTTTTAAAGGAAAATTAGGGAAAAATCGACCCTTTTAAGACATCCTTCTCTGATTTCATCTTCTCTGATTTCACATTGTATCTGAAAAACTGTGCATCAAATCGGGATGAAATTTTTGGCGTATATCCAACAAAATTTTAATTTTTATTAGAAAAAGTTATGTTTTAGTTTTTTTCAAAAATTTGTCCGAGAATGCCGCCATTTCATACATCCCAACCCAATACCTACTGTTTTGCTAGACTTTTTGTTTGCATTTCGTTGCATTTCTCGATTCTTACAGTCTTTTTTTCTTTAACAATCACGAAATTTAGTCGTTCTGGTGAGCGGAGCGTCGGGTTATGTGGCCTCACATTGCATCAAATTGCTGCTTGAAAAGGGTTATCGTGTGAGGGGAACGGTGCGGAGTCTAAAAAATGCGGAAAAGGTAGGCAAATTTGTTTTCATTCTTTTTTAGTGAAAGTGGTGCTTTACGGATAACAGGCGGCGGGGGGAGGGGTTAAGTTTTTTAGCCAACTTGCAGCTCATTTTTAAGTACCTTAAACTTGTCAGAACAAAAAGTTTTCATAAGATTTAGATAGCTTAGAACGTCGGCTTTCAGAAATTATTTGTTTTATCAAAAGTTATTAACAAAAACCTTTTAAAAATCGGGCTGCAAGTTGGCCAAATCCCGATAATCGCTGACCACCGCCCCGCCGATTATCCGCAAAGAAGCGTTAAAGTTTTAACTTTTTAAGGTAAATCCAATTCGGAAACTCGATCCATCTGGCGCACAACTCGAGCTCGTCGAAGCGGATTTGATGCAAGACGAGACGTGGCCACGGTATTTTTTTTTTTTTTGACCGCTTTTAAGACAAAAAAAACTCTTTCCTGTTATATAAAATAATTTCATGGTAGAGAAATTGATAGAGTTATTATATATGCTTTATTCAGTTGAATAGCGACAAAACAAAATCACAATAATTACCCGGGACACCACTCAAAACACACCCAAAAGATAATATAAATAGATACCTCGAGAAAGAATCACAGAGCAGTCAAATCAATTGCCGAAATTGCGGCTTTAAATCTAGCTAAGGTGGGAATATCACGAAAATGAGGGGGTAAAATGTTCCAGAATTTAATAACTCGGTTAAAAAAGAAACTGTGGGGCTTTTAGAGGAAACGGAAGGTTCGCGTATGAGAAAAGGCCACCTTCTGGAGGCGCTCCGTAGAGAGCCGAATTCAATGAGACCAGAAAAACACCTTGATCCCGTTGTCGGTAATAGCTAACATTGAAATAGAAACGTTTAACATTTTAAAACATTTTACAACCCGAGGATGATCGTTTAGAAATTTAAAAAATGATTCAATCCCAAAAATTTGAAAAGATTATACGTTTAAACGGACAATAGATAACATCGTCTTTCAAATATATATATGTTGTGTCCGATTTAGATTTCCGTCCGATTTAGATTCAATCTAAATCGGACGTCCGATTTAGATTGAACTTATCGCGGACGTCCGATTTAGATTACAGTCTATATCGGACGTCCGATTTAGATTGAATCTAAATCGGACGTCTTATATAGATTGAACAATAATATAAACATGTTTAATATATGTTCTTAAGCGTTTTCTGTAGTTTTCTGCATTTTCAAAGGTCTTTTATTAATTACAGTCTATATCGGACGTCCGATACAGATCGAACAATAATAAACGTGCTTAATATATGTTCTTAAGCGTTTTTTTGCAATTTCAAAGAAATTTTATTGTCTTTTTTTGAGAATTTTTTGTTTTCTTGTTTTCCTATTAAATGCTGCTTTTTTACAGATGGAGGACGTTTTTGACCAAGAATTTGACGTGTTTTTACAAAAGAAGAAAAGAGGACAAATTCCAACCGCTGAAACCTACAATTTGATGGTTGAAACGCTCCACAATCATCGTGAAAACTGCGAGAAACCAAAACTACCTCAAAACTACCACGAAAACAACTTGCTGAAAAGATTTGCGCTCGTGATTGAACAAAAGGGAGTGCAGCTTTATCATGTGGGCGAGAAAAATGGCAGCGGAGAGATGCCAGCACAACAACGAGTGATTAAGCGAGAAGCGGTCTTTCAGCTCTTACACGAAACACACAAAAAACTTGGACACGCTGGAATAAACTTGATGTGGCAAAATCTCCGAGGATATTATGGTATTTCAAAGTGGGTTTTTGACTTTATTATTTTATCTGCTGCTTACTGGCTTAAACTACATTTTTAGAGAAATCATCAGTCTCTACGTCAAATTGTGTGAAGAATGCGAATTGAAAAGAGGAAATTTAAAGAAAACGGTCGTTGTGAGGCCAATCTTAACGCAAAAACAAAACGAGCGTTGTCAAGTGGATCTTATCGATCTCCAATCAACACCGGATGGTGATTTCAAGTTCATTCTAGTATACCAGGTTTTTTTTCTGTTATTTATTGTAATAAAAGATAAATTTTAGGACCATTTAACCAAATTCGTGACGCTGCGCCCTTTGAAGACAAAAACCGCAAAAGAAGTTGTAGAGAACCTTGGGATGCTATTTGGAAATACTTGCAGAAAGAGATAGTGCCCGTTCAAGTCTAATAAAACAAGCCGACAAGATGTTACAAGCGTCTAAAGAGAGGTTCTTTTATGATCGTTTTTCGGTTTCACCTAATGTGCACAATTAGATTTCAACCTTTGGATGTTGGAAAGCACGTAAGAATTCCAATTAATCCGGTTGATCGACCAAAAATTGGCCACCGAAATCTTTTGGGCGTTGTCACTGAAGGTTTGTTTCGATTAAATTCACTTAAACCATTTTTTTAAAGCAATCGATGGGCTTTACACGATTGGGACGGCGAATGGGACTCTACCACAGAAGTTTTCAAGAAATCAACTCTATCCTTGTGAGACGAACTTCCTTGTTATTGCTGATGTGCCGGAATGTTCAACTTCCTTTCGTGCCGCCATCGGTGATTCTTCTATTCACGGGAAACAAGGTAAGTAACTATAACTTTATTTCATTTTTTGCGTGTTCCATTAGGCCATAAACATTGCTTATGTGCTGGAAAATGCTCATCCAATCGATGTTCGTGCAAAAAGGATGGCCGACTCTGCAATTCAAGATGTCACAATAGCCTAAGCTGCAAAAATAAATAGAAATTTTTAACTCGTTCGTTGTTGTTGTTAGTTTTTTGTTGTTATATGTTGTAATTTTGCATCTATTCTGTTAACGCTAATAAATTGTTTCATAGTTGGGTTTTCTTTTCAGAAAAAGACAATAAAATTTCCTTGAAAAGCGCAGAAAATTGCAAAAACGCTTAAGAACATATATTAAACATGTTTATATTATTGTTCAATCTATATAAGACGTCCGATTTAGATTCAATCTAAATCGGACGTCCGATATAGACTGTAATCTAAATCGGACGTCCGCGATAAGTTCAATCTAAATCGGACGGAAATCTAAATCGGACACAACATATATATATGCTTTATTCAGTTGAATAGCGACAAAACAAAATCACAATAATTACCCGGGACATCACTCAAAACACACCCAAACGATAAATAGATACCTCAAGAAAGAAGCGCAGAGTTGCACAAAAATATTTCAATCTTTCAAAGATACCTGAAATTTCTGTGCCTTTTAAGGTACGAAATGAGTAGTCGAAAAGTCTTTTAGTTTCTTGTAAATAGAGTGATCAAAAAAAAGTTCCCACACACTTTACAAAAGAAGCTTCATTTTTTAGCTAAAACCCAGATCGAAATTTGACTTACTATATAGTATCATGAAGCTGAAATTCTGGAGAGCATTTCTACACTTAAACCATCCCGATCAGAGCCAAAGAAGCATTGTAGGGTGCTGTAGGGTGCTGGAGGCAAACTGCCATGGCGCTCACCTACACTACTGGACAATGAAATATGATATTTGAAAAACGATCGTCACTTTCGCGCGTCTGTAACTCCCCTTGTCTTTGATTTAAACCTTTTTTTTTATAAATTTTTTGAAAGCTTTTTCAAGGGCTTTTTGTTTTTTTTTTGGGTAATTTTTTTTTTTTAATTCAAAAATTTTTTTTTCAGGGGGGTTCCACCACCTAAAAAAAAAGAAAAAGAAAAAAAAAAAAAAAGGGGTGGGGTTCCTTTCTTTTTTTGGGTGGGATTAGAAAAAAATACCGTATTTCTAAAAATTAATATTACCATTGTGTAGCCCTTGAAAAGAGCTTTCAGAAAATGTATAACACTAATAGTTTAAACTCAAAGACATGGGAGTTACAGACGCGCGAAAGTGACGATCGTTTTTCAAATATCATATTTCATTGTCCAGTACCGTATTTGAACCAGTATTCAATTGAAACATCCTTCAAAAAGCCTTTTTAAATTTACACTTTTTTTTACACGTTTTAAGTAACATTTCAATTGTTATTTTAAAAGAATAAAATCTCTTGTGAAAATAAAGACGTAAAATACCGTGTTCTTTCTGATAGTAGTGCACCCCGGCGAGCCGAATTGATGACGATTTTACGGTTTCCAAGCTTTTTGCAGAAGCTCAACACTCAAATCCCCCACTAAGATCTCATCGTCAGCTACATTTTCCGACCCCACATCGATAGGTTCTCATAAGCGCTTTTCGAGATTTCGAGCAATTTAGGCAACGCTCTGGGTGCATTACTATTAGAGAGAATAAGTATTTGCTTAAAATTATCGAAATAATTATTTGTCCGAGATCAACACACCCTAGTCATTTGATAGCCCTGAATCTCCTCTTTAAAACTAATATGAAGTTATCGAGAACTTTCTGCAAAAAAAAAGAAGAAAACTCCTTAAAAATTTAAGCAAACACCAAAAATAATTGTTATTAATACAGCTGTATTTTCTCTAATAGTAGTGCACCCCGGCGAGCCGAGTTGATCACTATTTTACAGTTCCCAAGCTTTCACAGAAGCTCAACACTCTCATCCCCCACTAGATCTAATCGTCAGCTACATTTTCCGACCCCACATCGATAGGTTCTGATAAGCGCTTTTCGAGATTTCGAGCAATTTAGGCGAAGCTTTGGGTACACTACTATTAGAGAGAATACAGTAGATTGGAGACAAACTAGAGAAGGTTACGGTAGTTGAGAAAGTTTGCATGTTTTAGAAAATGAATTAGCGAAATGTTTAGAAGCAGAATGGTTGGGAAATTAAAGTAGTAGGCTATCTGGCTTACGTAAAATCATTCAAGATTTCATTGAAACCACCAAAAATCTCGGTTTGCCTCGAATGCAGTGCAAGACTTCTTGAAAAGGCTGTAAATTTCTGATTTGAGGGATTTACTTATAGAAATAATCATCAAAATATCACCTTCAAAATACTATAAAACACGGGAAATTTTGTTTTAGCTTTCATTTAGAAAATCAATTATTTACAAGTGTGCGGGGAACTTTTTGATCACCTTATAGACAAAATTTCTTTTTTTTTTTTATTATTTTTACCCTAATAATTACTTGTTCTCAAATATTTCCAATAAGAAAATATTTAGAGCCGTCAAAGACTGCACCTATGTGTTGCATGTGGCCTCACCGATTGGCCAAGGCGCTTCACAGGCATTCATCGATGCCGCCGTTCGAGGAGCAACCAGCGTCCTTCGAGTGAGCAAAGCGAAAATGCTAATAAAGACAAAGCTCTATTTCTTTTTGTCAAAAATCGTTTACCATCACAAAAACCATTAACTTTAGGCTTGTGGAAATGAACCACAAGCCATTTACCGTCAACTTTAGGCTTGTGGAAATGAACCGTCTGTGAAAAAAGTCGTACAAACCAGTAGCACGATGGCCATTTGCGGTGAGGGAATTTTAGTTTTGAAAACTCTTAAATTCAAAATTGCATCAAAAATTTAGATTTTTTTTTCAATACAATAATCGAAATGATTTTTTTTAGATGGCAACAATCCACCAAAATCCAAGTATGACGAGACGGATTGGACACCGATTGAGCTACAGGTTTGCTTGTTGAAGCTATTCAAAAACTTTCAAAAGAAATTTTTCCTTCAGAACTCCGGCTGGTACACGCAAAGCAAGGTGCTGGCCGAGAGAGCCGCGTGGGAATTGTGGAAGAGTGGAGAGCTGAAGAACAAGTGAGCTGAGAGCAGAAATGATGATTGGGATCGGCTGATTAGCCGAATTGTTTCCCAAAGCAGTACAACTGTGCAAATAGCTCTCATTTCCAGGTTTGACTTCACCGTGATCAACCCGGGCTTCATCGTCGGCCCGCCATTGACCGACTCGACCGGGTCGAGCATGACGGTGAGTGGAAAACCCGTGAAACACTGTAGCTCACTTCAGGGGCACTTAAGAATTCAAGAAAACAATGTAATCGAATAGTAAACATTATTCCTTGCGCAGAATACATTCGACACACCTGTAGACCTTTTTTCAGTTAGCCATTCACATAATGACAAAACCGGTGATTCCAGTCTTGAACCCCAACTCGATCGATGTTCGCGATGTGGCTGAGGTTTGTTCTAATTACTTGCGATCGTTTATATTTATTATTCTCAAGTCTAGGCTCATATCCGCGCCATGGAACGACCCGAGACAAACGGACATCGAATTATTGTCGCTGACGGGGCCCCGATCACTCTGAAAGAGTATGGACTCCAGCTGAAGAAAGTTTTTGGGCCACTGGGTGGGTAAATGGTTTTATGTAAAGCTTGATTAGGCATTAAATGTGGAGTTCAAGAAAAAATGAATCTCATCTAGGCTATTGTCCGGCAACAACCGTTCTCCCGCAGTTCGTCATTTGGATTGCCTCGTTTTTTGTCGGTGATGCCGGACAACTGATGAAGATGCAATTCGATAAGCGGGTTGACAACACAAAGGTTGTCAGAAAACAAAAAGACTTTACATGTCTTAACAATTTCACTAGATTTTATACAAAACGCTTACATGTGTTTCCAGTTTTTTTGAGGCTATATTTGATGGCTCGGATTCAGCCATCAAAACATCAAAACTGAACAACATTCTAACAAAATTCTCAGATGCAAGAACTGCTGGGAATGAACTCTTGGAGAAATCCGCTCGACGGAATGGTCGATATGGTCGACGAATTGATCGAGAGAGGACTCATCAAGAAAACGGAAAAATGGGAACAGACGAGACGAAGAAATAAGTGATGATTGCTTTGTGTACAGTAAATATTTGTTAGTGAAAAGTTCATAAATCTTTTTTGCAATTTTACTTTACTCATAAAACTAAAAACAGTGTTTGCATTGTAATTGTACATTGTACATTGTAATTTTTAGTTGTATATGCATTGTAAGTTCAAAATCATCTGTTTTAGTTGATGTTATTGCCGGACATGGTCGAGTAGATGACCGTTTTGCGTTTTGCGATAGCCAATTTGAAAGACATCGCTGAATAGTTAACAACAGAACGTGTTTCAAATAGAGAGTCATAGTTACCTCAATGGGTGACAGCTACGTGACAGCGGAAAGGACTGGGAATTTTTGGTTCCGTGGCTTCATTACTCTCAAAAGAGTAGACCCTTTTCCAGACGACACTCAACTCCAGCACGACGTGGATCTCTTCGAATCGATGTTCAAGCAGCTACCAGAAAAGTTACGAACTATATTTAATTTCTCGATAGTCTTATGACGAAAGCTCATCATTCCAATTTATTTCCTTCTTTCACTTTATTGATGCATATCCTTTGATTTTTCTTGTGTCAATTATAACTTTTTTATCAAAACATTTAACAATCCAAGTGGATGATAGCTTAGAAACCAAAAAGAAAACGATTCAACCCCAAAAAATTGAAAAGACCATACGTTTAAACGAAAAATAGATAACATCATCTTTCAAATGATACGCGTAAATGGCTTTCTACAACAAAAGTAAAATCCGTGAATGCGTCAAAAAATAAGAGAAATGGAAACAGCAAATTGGCTTTCGAGATCTAACCTATCGACAAAAAAGAGGAAGTAATTTAGAGCTGATACCAAAAGATGGTAAATGTGTTAAAAATAGAAAATGCCTTTGATAGTTGAGAAGTTTATTGCTGACCAGCACCGGCGCCTGCACCACCGCCGCCAGCACCTTGACCCTGCTGTCGGTAATAGCTAAAATTGAAATAGAAACGTTTCTTCAACGAAAACCCTACTTAGCCCATTGCTGTTGATATTGTGGATTGTTGTAATATTGCTGGTAGTACTGTTGATAGTTGTAGTTCGGGTTTGCACCTGCACCTGCACCTGCACCAGCACCAGCGCCAGCACCCCCTTGTCCATAGTTACCAGAAGTTGGAAATCCAGCTCCACTTTGCAGGGCACCGTAACCATATCCGTAGCCTGCTCCACGACCAGCACCAGGGACATACTAAAAATATGATTAAACGCGTTGCAGCTCAAAAACTCACATCAGTTTTTCCCCAACTGCAGCGAACTGGAGATCCGCAAACATCTTTTCCGTTCATCTCAATGATTGCACGACAAGCCGCATCTTTGCTGTCAAAGCGAACAAATGAGTATCCCTAAAGATACACTATATCAAATCATTAATAAAGCGTACAGACCTGAGCCTTGAAAACACGAATCTCTTCAATGCTGCCAAATTGTTGGAAGATCGCGCGAATATCATCATCTAAAGTTGATACTATTTATAAACACGAAAAAATATTAACCAGTGACATCAGGGCCAATGTTTCCAATGTAAACCGACATATTTTCCGGGGTAGTCTGATTGTAAACGTCATCGTAACTCATTGATTGAGCTTGCTAAACAAAAGATTAAATAAATTAATGATTTTAACAAAATAAACCCTATGATGATGAACTGGAGGTCCGCCGCTAAAGCCAAATCCACTCTCATTTGGCTTTCTAGTGGCCCAATTCGTGCGAATCGTGCGTCTGCCCAGCCATTGTCCATTCATCTGATCGATCGCCCGTTCAGCTTCATCTCTTTTTGGATAGGAGACAAAGCCATATCCTTTTGATTTCAACGTTCCTGGGTCTCGAATCACTTTGACATCACTAATAAAAAATGTTTAGTGAAAAGATTTATAAACTTACGAGACTTCTCCAAATGGCACGAAGGCTTCCTTTAGAGACTTGTTGTCGATTTCAGGGCTTAGATCGCCGACAAAAACATGAAAATGCTTGCTGGTGTCGACTTTCACAGTTTGTTGTCCAGGTTCAGTAGCCCAGTTGACTTTCAGTTCCTAAAATAAAAATTAATCAAAAGATTTTAATGTCTTAGCCTTACCCTTTCAAGAAGCACTCGTCGATTCATCACGCTCAATGCGCTAGCAGCTTGTTCATGATCTTGAAATTCCACAAAAGCGTACGGATCGGTATGATTCTAAATACAACAATGAAGAGGATGATTCAAGTTTGACTTGCGCTTTCCCCAAACTTACCTGCCATTTGTAAAAACCCCCCTTAGTAAATCTCTGATACTCTTACAATAGACGCGCGTCCTATTAATGCGGGAATAATAAGAAAAAAAGAAATGAGCAAAATGATACTCAGGTCATGTCGTTTTCCCGATCTGCACAGGTGCGTAGTGCCCTTCTCGACGCCACGACAATCTAGAGAAGCGGGGATTGTGCTTCAATTAGTCGAATTTATAAATGAAATAAATAATAAAATAAGAAAAAAGTAAAACGCAAGAAGTTACCGCGCGACCCGGCCTGAAACGATGACATTAAGCTACGAAAAACTTACATCATAGATCACTTTCGTCTTTGCGACAGCGGCGACTTGGCCAAATAAAGTAGCGAGAAACTCCTCTGTGATAGTTGGATCGAGATTGCCCACATATCTAAAAACAAAGAATTATTCAAGGGGTTCGAGTTTCAATAATTGTGATCACACTTGCTTAAAAGCTTACTATTCTAGCTCAAATTTTGAACGCTTTAGAAAAATTCACCGTACTCTGGGCTTTGGGAAGGGGGGCACTTTCTTTTCAGCAAAATCATTTTTCCTGGGATAATTGATGACGCTGATCACGAAAGTTCTTTTTAAGGCAATTTAGTAATGGAAAAGTGTCCGTTTTTAAAACTCAAGATACTATAGTAGTAGTTGAAGGGGGAGCAAAATCTTTTTTCGCCAAATGAGCTGATTTTTTGCACCCAGGGGTTTTGCTGAATCGATCGGTGATGGTGTTACACAACATTTCGTAACTTTTCATAACATTCAAGGCTTCTATATTTGCCTAGGCTTTGGCTTCGCACCTTAGAGGCACGTGGCTTCTAAGGTGCGCGGTCAAAGCCTAGGTAAATATAGGCGCCTATAGTATTATAGTCAAAAACCCCTGGGTGCAAAAAAAAAAGTACATTTGGCAAAAAAAATTTGCAAACATCGGTATTATTTTCTAGCCTAATTTAATACAAAACTCTGGTTCAAATTTTAAAAAAGTTCAGTAAAAAAGCAGCTCACAAAGTTCTTGGCAAATCGTCAGCGGTTCCGACGTGAAAGCCGGCGCTCTGTGCAGCAGCATAGTGAGTGCGTGGGTTGTAGGCGCCCTCCTCGTATCCGTAAGCATATGGATTGAATCCACCAGCACCAGCACCCTGTTGGTAATAGGCCATGTTGGATGATTCTAAAAGCGTAAGTACAGTTTAATACAAAAGCTTGGGAAACAAAAAGAATTTCTTCAAGAAAACAACATTAAAAAAAACGTGTCTTGGGAGAAAATGAAGCCGCGACGCAAGCGATTATCAAAATCGCAAACGGAATAAGGAGGGTACGGTGGGAAAAGCGCGTTTTAGGGCGCGGCTAAGTACATAATTTGCCAGAAAGGGTAAAAATCTCGCTGTCAGAAGGGATAACGACTAAAAACGTAACAGACTCGAATCATTGTATTCTAAACTTGTAGGAGGAGCCAACGTTGGTAAAATCATGTGCATCCCTTGAATTTTAATGAAAAAAGCTCTCGTGACCTTGCCAAATCAAAATTTTTGAGAGAAAAGTCATAGAAAAAGAGACGCTTTTGTTCGAAACGATAACTGATACTGATAACTGGGTAATCGGGCACGATTTTTTCATAAACTATACAAATGTTGTGGATATTGTTGCTGGGATGTGTTGTGCTCGTGGAAGGTCAGCGTGGGAGTTTCAGGTGAATGAGAAAGCTTTGAAAAAGTTTTGAGAATATTTGCTGTCAACTTGCATTTTAGAAATTTCTACCGTAAATACTGTAATAATACCCCACCGCCCCCGTACAGTCGCGTAGTCGCAAAAGTCTTTTAGTATTTCATTTTTTTCAAAGCGCCCGTACTTTCAAAAATGCGTCTTTGGTATCAACAAATAGCTGAAATTCAGGGCTATTTTTTGATACCAAAGATAATGACGGCGCGGAGTGTTGCGTAGTCTAGCTTTGAACGCGTTTTTCTCGACACTGGTTTATGCTACAATGCGCGCTTAGGTATCAAAAAATAGCCCTGAATTTCAGCTATTTTTTGATAACTAAGCGCGCATTCTAGCATAAGCCAGTGTCGAGAAAAACTCGTTCAAAGCTAGACTACGCAATACTCCGCACCGTCATTATGAGGTGGAGTACTATTACAGTATTTACGGTATGTGCAAATTTGTTCGGTTCTTTGGTGGTTGGGAGGGCCACTTTTATCCTGGCTTAGTTGAATCTAATGTTTTGAGTGGTTAGATCTTTTATCTATTCTAGGGTAATCAAATATGCTTATACTTTTAGAGCATTTACAACATGTTTCAATTATCATATTGCCGCTTTTATTTGATTTTCAAGTGTAAGCAGCTTTGTGGTAGCGTTTGGTGGTTAAAGTACATGAGATTAGGCTAGAATTGCCAAAAACTTGCTAAAATAGTCACCAATCTATTAAGCATATTTAATTACCCTAGAATAGATAAAAGATTCAACCACTCAAAACATTAGTTCCAACTAAGCCAGGATAAAAGTGCCCCTCCCAACCACCAAAGTGCCATTTGTTCATATAAAAAAACGAAGTGCTAGCAAAAGAGCCGCGTTTTTTGCGCCAAAATCCTTTGCGCCAATTTCATTTACGCCGAGTATCATTTGCGCCAAATTTGCGCTTATAAAAATCACAATGACAAATCACTTTTCCCCAACTTTTAACCAACTTTTTTTTTCAGTTTTCTGCTTCACAATTTTAGCTCTTAATGTTTTCAATTAGAAAAAAAACATTTAAATACCTATACAGACCCCAAAAATAATAATTTTTATGTCCCCGACTGGGCTTAGGACAGCTTTCTCCCAAGATTTTTTCAGTTTTCTCGATGCCATTTTGCCATTTTCAGATCCGGTGAAGGCGGCAAAATAGCGAACATCGTCGACAAGGAAAAACTGAAATAATATAAATGTTCAATCATAGTTTCTAGGAAAATGTGTTGAAAAGTGCAAATGTGGCGTAAATGATACATGACGCAAAAAATTTGGCGCTTTTGCTAGCACCTCAAAGAAAACTTCAGTCAAAGCTCGTCGAGTGATTTGCGAGAGGTTGAGATGTCCCGCTATATGAGACGAATGGATCAGTGGAAAGCGCAACGAGAGGCTTATAAACAGTAAAGGTCCAAAATTTACAGTAGAAACCCAATTCTAGACTTGTGCAAGCCCAACGCGATCGCTACTACCAGGATTACTTTGATCGAATGAAAGAATATGGAAGAACAGTGGAGAGACAAAGGTTTCAAACAAAAAAAATACTTTATTGATTGATTAGAGTTGCAGATATGTGCAGTTATTGCAAAAGCAAGCGCAGGAGCGGGCGAAACTCGAGGAATCGATGAAATATTGGGGAGTGGGTGGAGTACCGGAAGGGATGAGAAGCGAGGTGCGGTAGATACAAATGAGCAACTCCGATAATCACTTGCAACTCAACTCGGGTAGAAACTTTAAAGTGTGACTGGCTACCGTAACCCGTAACCCAATTAGATAGATTTTACAGTACCCACAAAGAGTTTGGTGCTTTAGTTACTGTAATTAGTTCAGTGTAGTTCAATTAACCCAAAGATAGAAAGCGCAAAAAAGAACAAACCTATATGGAAAGATTTGGCCCGAATTACGGTAGCTGGTCATGCACATAGATTTGAGCCAGGTTACGGTACCCGGAGCACGTTTTAGAGTCGTTACCCGTTTTAGAGTTTTAGAGTCGTTACTATACATTTCGAGTGTCCCCCCTGTGTCCCCCTTTTGCCCCCCTAAGTGTCCCCCTCAAAGTGTCCCCTTTTTGTCCCCCTAAAGTATCCCCCTATTTTTTTTCATATCAAATCACAACTTTTTGCTCTCCAAATGTGCTTTTTAAATTTTTCCGTTTAAGATGTTTCGAGTTCGATGCATTTGCCGATCATTGAGTTTAAAAAGTTAAAGCACATTTGGAGAGCAAAAAGTTGTGATTTGATATGAAAAAAATAGGGGGACACTAGGGGGGGACACTTTAGGGGGACAAAAAGGGGACACTTTGAGGGGGGACACTTAGGGGGGCAAAAGGGGGACACAGGGGGGACACTCGAAATGTATAGTCGTTACCCGAATTGGTGTTTAAGTTTAAGTTTTGGAAAAGCGGAAAATATTCATTAAACTGCTACAATACCCTTTCAATCTCTAATGCTCAAAACAAAATATTCAGCCAGCATCACCCCGTCCTAGTGATCCCTTCGGCGCCAATGTGGGCATGCGTGAATCTCTGTGGGCTCATCGGTGAAGGAAACATTTACTCAAGCACTTTTGTTTTTTGTGCACAACTTTTTCTAACATTTTCTCAATAAATGACTTTGCATGGTGGAGGAGGTATAACAGCTTTATTGACATAGAAATAGGTGCAACAGGCAACTTCTGGGCAACGACAAAGCTTGGAAACAATCACTCGTGACTCGACAGCTCTGCAATCATTGTGCCAAAGGTTAGTGAGACAAAAGGGGGAAAAATTTGAACCGGATTCTTTAGATTCTAGATTAGATGACGCTAGGATTCTTTAGATTTAGGTTGAGAGCGTAAAGCGAGTAACCGGAGCGTGCTTTAGAGCAGCTACCCGGTCAGTTGATCAGTTACAATTGAATTGAATTGAATAATTTATTGATTATTCGATGATCCGAAGATTACGTAAAGAGTACTTTAGTGTAATCACTAATTGTAATTGATTACGAGTCTGAGGCCATGCGGTAGATTATAAAGTATAAAAGTTTCGCGGAAGGGTGTCAGTTCAGCAATTCCGTTTGAAACAGGTGTATCTCATTCAATAATTTAACTTGTCTAATCATATTTATTTTTTAGATCTAATATACATTTGTAAATACTTCCCCATTTTCTAAAAAATCCCAATTTTCGAACAAAGTCTATTCCCTTATCTGGCTCAACCTTTCCAAAGAAATCCGGTTCTTTCCCCAGGGCGATTGATCTCCCAAATTTCTCTCCCCACCCCCATGCGTTCGTGGTGTAATGGTCAGCATGGATGCCTTCCAAGCATTCGACGGGGGTTCGATTCCCCCCGAACGCAAATGTTTTTGCTTTTAAGCAAATTTTTCAGATATCTCCCAACCGTTCGCTTGCACTGTAATGGACAAATAGAAAGAGGATATCAAGAAAAATGCCAAGGATTTTATCAGGTTTTAAAATTATAGCTTTTCATTATATTCTTCAGGATTGTCAACAATACATTTATCGAGGTGATCCACTCTATTCAACGGCTCATTCATTTAGCTCAGGTAAACCATTGAGAATTTTTTAAAAGACAAAATTTTAGGCGTTGGTCTGAATTTGGGATCGTGGGCGGTGAAAGGGATTCCATATTATCCGATTAATGAAGAAGGTTAGAAAGAGCTACATATAAACTTATCAGTTGACAGTTCGATAGTCACTTTTCTGCAATCTTTGCCAGAATTTTTGACTTTTGACTTGAAAAAACTACGGTAAAAAAAACGTTCTAGAAAACATTAAAAAGTCTAGAAAACAATTCTAGTTCTTAAAAAGAAGTCTAATCGGTTCTCTTAGCTTCTCTAAACTTTACCTGAATCAATGTAAGCCGAAAAAGAAGATCCTGCTTTTGTCGTGTCTTCTTACTCGCTGAAGCATTAACGGAGAACTTGTACATCAACAAAAGAGTGACAATCAGTGTTCTATAATGTGAATCAAATCTCGAATTTAAGAATTTTTTAGGAGCCATTGGCGCTGGACATTTAATGAATATCCCATTCGGATCATGGGGTGGCGGGTTCACTGATCATATTGGAGTCAGGTAAGATCTGAATCTACACAATGTTCAAGTTGTATTATCATTAATAGATTAAATAATAAGATACAGAGTCAAGGAGAAGCGATTTCTTTACTAACTATGAGGATATTTGAATTTTAACTTCATCTTAACATAACTTTAAAAGTTTCAAAGTCTCAAAGTTTCAAAATTCCAAAGTTCCAATGTTTCAAAGTCTCAAAGTTTAGTTCCAAAGTTCCAATGTTTCAAAGTCTCAAAGTTTCAAAGTTCCAAAGTTCCAAAGTTTCAAAGTTTCAAAGTTTCAAAGAAAGCTCGAACAGCATCCTTTCAAAGTCGAACCATTTAGAGACTACTGGTCCCAATACACGGAAATCGGAGCAAACTGGTTTGTGGTGAAAAATTTTTTTAAAGGAAATCTTGCTTAGGTATGATGGAAAGTATGGGTACAAATCGGGTTGGAGTGCCCCGTTGGTGCAGAGTCTCGGTGTTGAGGGAGACTTGCACGCAACGGTAATTTGATATTATAGCAAAATAAAACTACCCCCCCCCGCCAAATCACGTACAATATTATAGGCTTCGGTACCAATCCGTCCGGGCGAACTGGGGAAACCGATCGGCGTGGATGTGGGCGGTGGGGTTGGACCGTACTATCAACAAAATCAACACGTTGGCGTCGACTATTTGAATGGACGAGTGAGTGACATTTGAGTAATTGCTGTAAATGTAAGGTAAAGCCTTGTAATTGTATTTCGATCTAAACCCCGGTTATCCATTTGCATTTCATTTCACCGCAAGGTTGTTTCAAAGCTCGCTCACAGTCATCAAGATCACATGATCCCAAGAAGTACTTGGGATCATCAGGTCTATGTCAGGCTCAGGTCTAACTTAGAGATTTATTGAAAAATCTCTGTCCATCGCTGAGTTCATGAAAAGTTCAGTATACTGTAGGGTAAGGGTAGACCAGCAGCTAGACCTGTACCTTGATCTAGGCCTGATCTGAATCTGTCTCAGTTATATAGCATACAAGTAGCTCATCCAGCTCTAAGAGCTGGATGAGCTGAAAAATCCCCGCTCATCTTTGGGCTCTTGAAAATCCGAGTATACTGCAGCTGATTCATAAAAAAAAAATCCCAAGAATATTGAATAGTTTTAGAGAAAAGTAATCTCTTGCTTTTGCAGGTAGGCACAAACTTTGGCGTGGCCGTTCCATTTACGGGCGTCGGCGTCAATACAGGACTCGGCATCAAATTTCCATCAATTGCCGATATTCAAGGATGATTTTAGTGCTTTATGTCTCCAAATTGTATGCAAATTTCCATATATAAATCAAATCTTTATGTACATCACAAAAAAAAAGACTAACAGGGAGTTTTTTTTCTAAATTTCTTGAGCAAACATGTGATCACAAAGAGAAAAGACACTGTAAAATCAAAAAATTTAAAACGTTACATCGTAAAACAAACTTAAAAAGCTATAAAAACTAAGTGAGATATCAATATTTCTGAGAAGGTAATCAGATTTTTTTTTATAAAGGAAAATTGACATTTTGCTTGTAAGACAACCGCTAAACAAAGCACCAATCGATCGATTCGAGAGGCCAATCAAATCACAACAACAACAACAACAACAAAAAGCAAAAAAAAAGCAAAAATTGAATATTTTATATACATGAAATCATCTAAAGAAGCTGGGTTTTAAGATTTTAAAGTAAAATATTTGAATAAAATAATATTTTATTGAGCAATAACGTTGGCTATGTATGGGAAAATTGGTTAGTTTGTAGAGTGTGTTCCTCGCGAGTAAGTAATTAAAGTAATTAGACCCGAGTAAGTAAAGTAATTAGACTCGAGTAAGTAACTCGAGTGAAATTTGTATGAGTAATTTTTACGTCGATTAATCGACGCTTTTTGGTCGAGTAACTACGAGGCAATCCTCTTTAAACGCCGAGTAAATGGAATATCTTTATATCTTGAAGGGAATTTGCTGAATAACTACGAGGCAATCCACTTTACACGTCGAGTAAATTGAATATCTTTACATTTGGCGGGAATTTGCTGAGTAACTACGAGGCAATCCACTTTACACGTCGAGCAAATGGAATATCTTTATATCTTGAAGGGAATTTGCTGAGTAACTACGAGGCAATCCTCTTTACACGTCGAGTAAATTGAATATCTTTACATTTGACGGGAATTTCCCACCAAATCATTTAAACGGCTGAATATCTTTAAAAAGAGTCTTATATAAGTCATCGATCCTCATTTTTTTGCGCCAATTTTTTTGCGATAATTTTTCCGAAGTGTGCGTTTTAAAAAAAGCGCATTACTCGTGAGGAACACACTCTAACCAGAACTCTTTCTGTGTCCTGTTTCTCGACACACTCTAGTTATGGTAGCTCTTTCCAAGAAAATACTTATCCGTTATACCCCCACATGCATCATGTATGCTTAAATCCCCTCAAATTAGCATACCATTTAAATTACCATGGGAAAAAAGGGAAGAAAAAAAAGGGAATGCTTCTATTAGAATAATCAGCGGCATTTACTCACATTTTTACGTTCTTAAAACAACTATTCAATGGTGTTTAAAAATGAAAAAAAAACAACCAAACTCAATACACTAGAAGGGATGCATTTACATTTTTGAGTACAAAGTAAACCGTAAAAACGTTCTCTGAACAAAAATGCTGTAAAGATGAGTAGAATCGTTCTATAAAGAAGACTTTTTAAAGAGTAAAAGCTCGACTTTTTGTTTCATATTGTTCCTCATTGGAAACGGTTTGAATTTCGTGTTCTTTTTCCTCTTCTTCACAAACGTCGATCACTGGTTCAAGTGGTGGAATCAGCTCGGAGATGGCTCTCGGTCGAGACTAAATAAGAATAATATTGTTCAAACTTTATAAAGTATAAATAGCATTTGTTATTTTATTGTTCCTCGTCTTTTTCACTTATATTGTGATGATTTCTTTGCTACTTTGTACTTTTTTTTCTTTGACTTGTACTTGTACACAAAAGATTACCTCAATATCGACGAGCAACGAGGCCATCGATGGGCTGCTGACTGATGAAGGCCTGGAAATTTGCATTGAAGATGGGAATTCAATTTTATAGTATTTTAGCTTTTCTAGCTATCGTAACTTTTCATTATCCATCTTTTAGAAAATCCTTTGCTCGGTGGAACTGCTCGCCTGGAATCTACTCTACAGTTTGGAAGAGGAAAACTTGAGGTGCAAATTTCATATTTCTCAGCTAACTTCTCAGCTAACATCTACAATTTCAAATCTATTCTATTCCAATCAGTAACCCTTTTTTGAATCTATCCAACCCCGGCTGCTTCGTGTAAATTTTATGGGAATTTCGTGGTGTCTCACCAGCTCACTCTGTCTCACCAGCCTTTCCTTGTCTCCCCAAAATTTCCCCGAAACGCCCAGCTCTTTTCTTTCCACGAAAAGCCATTTTTTTCTTTTTTTTCGAATTGCAGCGATAACAATTTACCGTTGTTTCACGGAATTTTTCTGAAGACTGAGATTTCTCTTTCCGAAAGTGTTTCATGATGGGGAAAGGGTTGACCGAATCACTCCGGAACCATTCACTGCCCAACACAAGAATTTTTCCGATCGCCATTTTTAGTGCCCGCGAATCGTTTTGTGGGGAGAGAATTTATGATCTCATGAGTTGCTTGGATAGACAAATATTCGGAAAGAAGTGTAGAGGATCGATAAATGGAAAGCCTTTGCTATAGTACGGTAGATCGAACTAGCTAACGTATAATTCAACTGACAATACAATATCAGTACAAGTCCAACAGAGCCTAAAACCGGTTTAGCAACTTGAACTTAAGTAAGGGTCAATTGTAAAGTTTATTAGTGTAGATTTCAACTGGAGACACTTTCTCACTGTTAGCTTTAGATTTACAAGTACATGTTAGTCTAATTAACAGTACAGTTAGTCTAATTAACACTACAGTTCAGTACTGATCAAAGCGGGAATAGTTTTTCTTTCTTTCTACGCTTCTAAGCTAAGGAAAAGAAGCTTTCTAACTTTCAAGAGCTCAAGTTACCTGTCTTGCAAATGTCGGCGAATGTGCTTCTCGAGCATGGCTGGGCTCTTCGACACATGTTTGCAATGGGGACATTTTCGCGAACCTAAAAATGCTCTAGATCGTTCATTTGTTCACCTAAAATCTTCCATTGCTAGTTGATTCCAATTGAACAAGTTCTATCACTTTTTACATTATTTCACTTGTTATAGCTTTACCTTGATCGATACTTTCCGGCAATGGGACGCCATGACGGTAGTATTTATGAAAGTGGATGTATCTGAAAAGTGATCGGGGTAAATAAGGCAAACAAGAACCAAAAAATTGAACGCTAAAGTATATAAAGAAAAATAAACAAAGAAAAATAAGCAAATCAAAATAAGCAAATAAAAAAAAAGCCAACCTTGCTTCCCTGGTGGCAAACTGGCAATCGCCCATATCGCATTTGATTGGCGGATTTCGGTGATAGATCGTCACATGATAGGAAACCGAGTTGTAACGACCTAGATTTTAAATCTACTTATGCGATTTGCATTTATATGCTTACCGTAAACTTTCTTACAAACAGTGCACATGAAACCGTTCTCGGTCTTCTCGATGTATTTCTTGTTTCGACACCAGCCTGGAAATGAGGGATTGCGAGTGGGATGTTTTTCTGATTTAGACTGACTTTCTCACTGTTAGCTTTAGATTTACAAGTACATGTTAGTCTAGTTAACAGTACAGTTAGTCTAATTAACAATACAGTTAGTCTAATTAACAGTACATGTTAGTCTAGTTAACAGTAGAATTAGTCTAAATAACAGTACAGTTAGTCTAATTAACAGTACAGTTAGTCTAATTAACAGTACATGTTAGTCTAGTTAACAGTAGAATTAGTCTAAATAACAGTACAGTTAGTCTAATTAACAATACAGTTAGTCTAATTAACAGTACATGTTAGTCTAATTAACAGTACAGTTAGTCTAAATAACAGTACAGTTAGTCTAATTAACAATACAGTTAGTCTAATTAACAGTACAGTTAGTCTAAATAACAGTACAGTTCAGTACTGATCAAAGCGGGAACAGTTCCGAAGCTTGTACTAACAGACTGACTTTCGCCTTTACTAACACCAAAATTCTTTAGATATATTCAGTGTATTGTCCTTTGTGAATGCTCTATCAATCTCTAATCTTTACCTTCTTTTTCACTACTCGCAATGAACGTCTCTTGATCGTCATCCATCGATTCTTGCTTCTTTATCGTGCTTTCACTTGCCAAACGACGTCTTCGAGATGTCTGAATAAAAATTAGTATAACTACTTACTGGTTAATTGGTTAAAGTACTGGTTATGATGAGTTGAATGATGATATTTTTATGAATTCCAGTCTAGACTTTCCAGATAATCAAAGATTTTGATTACTTTATTACTTAGTAACTAAACCAGGTTCGATCATTATTCTAAACGTCCTCTATTTTATTCTAGAACTATGAATCGTTTGCTGCTTCTCGTACTATCAATAGCTATTGTAAAAGAGGGATTGTGAACGTTGTGAGTGAACAATAGCTATTGATAGCTATTGATAGCTTTTCCAAATACCTCATGTGCTGGATTGACCTCGATGACGCTCGACTGGATGAGGGACGATTGCGCGAAGTTGAAAGCCGACATTTGATTGAGCAACTAGAAAGGGATTAATGACTAAAAGATATTAAGAATTTCTTGCAATTGCAAGAATTGCAAGAATTCAAAAAGAATGATCAACTCACAATTTGCAATAGATTCGGATTTGGGTTCAGAAATGGGAGATCGAGCCCGGGAATGACGGATGTCGATGGTAGGCTCGTCAATAGGGGCAATAGGTTCAATTGGGGCACTTCTAAACGTAAATTTGAAGAAGTAGCTTCATTTTAAGACATAGAATTACTATAATAGGTATTTTGAAAAATAATTCATTACCATTAAACTGGGGTAGCGATTTCTCCGCGAGTTTCTTGATTTCCTGCGTTAAATGAAGCATTTTTGTTTGCTCGGCAAGTCGCAGCATCTTAAATTCAAATTTTTTCAATTTTATCAATTTTACTTAATCTATCTTATATTTTATATCTTTATATTCTATATAACTAATACAAAAAGACAACTAAACTATCGTAATCCAAATGTTTACAATTCATTAGCTCAATTTGGATCAAATTGGCTTCATTAGCTCAAATTCGATGAGGAAAGTCAATAAATAATACGAAAATCGGCTTATTAAACTAAAATGACGTTGGATTACGGTAGTTTTAAGTGCCCTTTAGGAAATTTAATTAAACGTTTCAACAAAGTACATTAAACATTTCAACAAGTTCATTTTAAAAATCCCCCAAACCTGATCCGTTGTCACGCCGTCCATTTCAAAAACGCAAAACTTCTTTGTGCCCAGGGTTAGGAAAGATTAAGATCTAAGAATTTCCAATAAAACTATGCTATCGGGCTTTCAAAGAAAAACAAACAAAGTACAGTAATCTTTGAGGAAAACGATGAATCACTTTGTTTGAGAAATTTCAAATCTAACAAAAGACAAAGAAATTTCAAATAAACAAATATAGAGGAATTTTCTTGAAGAGAAAAATTGCAGAGATGACGTGACGGGAAAGAAAGAAGAAAAGAAGAAAGAAAGAAAGGGAAAGAAAGAAGAAAAGAAGAAAGAAAGAAAGAAAGGGAAAGAAAGAAGAAAAGAGAACAGTTTTTTAGTGAAAAGTTTGATGGTAAACAGATAAAGATATAGATAAAGATTACCGTATTTTCTCTAATAGTAGTGCACCCTGAGCTTTGCCTAAATTGCTCGAAATCTCGAGAACCGCTTATCAGAACTTATTGATGTGGGGTCGGAAAATGTAGCTGACGATGAGATCTAGTGGGGGATTTGAGTATTGAGCTTCTGTAAAAGCTTGGAAACCGTAAAATAGTGATCAACTCGGCTCGCCGGGGTGCACTACTATTAGAGAAAATACAGTAGATAGATATGAAGATTTCAAGAAAACAGATTACTAGAAGAAATGCTTAATAGCACTTGTTAGCACTTGACGACTTGTTATCTCGATAATCTATTTGTTATTTAGATACGTATTCTGCAACGATATCGCTGCTCTGATATCGCTCCAGCAAAGCGATTTTTATGATAAAAGCATATTCTACCAGCTTCAAAACAATTGTCGACCCTATTTTCTCTACCAAATCTGACTTTATAAAGTAAAAAATTGTATGAACAGTATTGGTATTCAATTTTTAAGACTTTTTGTTGTCCTACAATCAATTTCTTTTTGAAAACTGTTGAAAAGCTTTCCAAGAAAGCTTCAGAAACAGTCATTCTTTAATGTTTTGTTTGAATATCTTTACAAACTAAGTAATTACTAGCAAAGAAAGTATTTTTTCTTTAGCTAAGAGATGAGATGACATCATTTTTATTCAGATATTCTGGAAAAACGACTAAACGATTAAACAATGAGTGGTGGTGGGAGATTGGTGGGAGATTTTAATAATCAATCAATCAAAAAAAGATAGTTGAACCTATCATTCTATCAATTTTGAATTCAATTGGATAACTTTTGACCTTTTTTTATTAAATAATCGCACTGCAAAAACTGCAAAAAGTTATCCTGGCAGTTAGTGCACCCAGAGCGTCGCCTAAATTGCTCGAAATCTCGTCCAGTCCAGAAATAATCCTTTCACTTATCAAATTGCTTAACAAATCAGTGAAAATATAAACCAAAAAAAAGGAAATGACGAGGTTGGGAAATTTTGAAATTTTGAAAAGAGTCGAAGAATTGAAGACAGTCCCGATGACCGTTCAAGGGATTTTTATGGAAAAAATTGAGTGTTTCAAAGAAAGAAAAAGGACAGAAGAGATAACGGAAGAAAAAAAGTGTTTGAATGGAGACTCTAGAGAATTTTTGAACAGAAAAGTGATAAGGTTGACGAGAGGACAAAGCCCTGAGAAAATTCTGGAGAAAATAATGAGCAGGGGAAGCGATTCTCGTGACTCGAGAAGAGCAGCAAAAACAAGGAGATTCGGGGGATACGATTGGATTTGGTTTTGCCAAGAAATTGGGATTTTTAGCTAGAAGATTGCCTGCAATCTAGGGCAGAGCCAGGTTCTGGCCTGAAGTTTAGATTCTGGCGAGTCCAGGAACTCTTTGTGGATCAGGATACAAGGTCAGGTAGGCCAGGCAAGGTCAAGGTCCGCCAGGCCAAGCAAAGTCAAGGTCCGCCAGACCAGGGTCTGCAAGATCAGGCAGGCCAGGCAAGGTCAAAGTCCTCCAGACCAGGATCTGCAAGGTCAGGCAGGCCAGGTAAGCTCAAGGTCCTCCAAGCCAGAGTCTGCAAGGCCCGCCAGGCCAGGCAAGGTCAGGCAAAGCCAGAGAACAAGCCAGAATCTAGAACAGCCTATTCAAGAACCAAATCAAAGGCTTATAGTAAAGCTTAAATTGCAATTGTCTATCGCTTATCTTTGGTTATCTGGATCCGGTAAGCTTATCAGATCTATTTTATGAAATTCAATCTAATATAAAAGCATTTTAAGGTCCTACTGTTCTTACTACCGTAAAGTACAGTAAAACTGTCTGCTATATTTGCACATTAGCACATTAAAGTTGACTAATCTAAAGAATCAAGCTAAGAAAGTGTCCAAGGTTCAAAATCCAAAATGGTCAAGTTCCAAAAAGATTGCCAGGCTTCCAATCAAAGTTTTGTCAATTTCTCGCTAAACTCTTAGCTTTGTTATAATATTTTTCTTACCTTAATGACCTCATTAAATTTTTTCAAATCAACATGTTTTTCCCATTAATTTGAAGCCCTTTCTTGGCACATGAAAAAGGCTTTTCCCGGAGAGGTGAAAATCAAGTGATAGGCTGTTTTGTTTTCATCTCAATTTCGTGGCTTTCTCGACAAACTTTCAAAACAATTCCTCTTTGAAAACAATTTCTTACCGTAACGAGGAAACAAATTTAAAAAAAGCCATGTGACGATTTCTGGAGGATTTTTCTTTCGTAAATAGTGGAAAGCTTCGTGGACTAGAAAGCTTCGTGGACTGGAAAGCTTCGTGGACTAGAAAGCTTCGTGGACTTTAGAATCGATGAGTCACCTTTTTTTTTGCTCAAAACAGCCTCGAATCGATCGTAAAATTTGCTATTTTTAGGTAAGAGTTGATAAAAGTGATGCTGGCTATTGTATTACTTTGAAGTTTTTGTTTTTCTCCTATTTGAAGCTATTATGTACTTTGTGCTGTTGTAAACGGTCGCTTTTTGGCTAAGAAAAGTTTTGGTATGCGAGAAAACGCTTGTTTAGTTACAATTACAAATAAAACTAGAAATAAACAGTGATAGGTATAAAATGTAAAGTAATCCGTATGAGAATTCATAAAAAGCATACAGTTTTAGCTCTGAATTACTGTAGCTAGAGGATGAAAAGGAATCCGAGCAATTAAGAAAGCAGGCTGTAGGACTGTAGCTGTAGGACTGTAGCTGTAGGACTGTAGCTGTAGGACTGTAGCTGTAGGACTGTAGCTGTAGGACTAGGACTGTAGCTGTAGGACTGTAGCTGTAGCTGTAGGACTGTAGCTGTAGGACTAGGACTGTAGGGACTGTAGCTGTAGGACTAGGACTGTAGCTGTAGGACTGTAGCTGTAGGACTGTAGCTGTAGGACTGTAGGTCATGAAAAAGAGGCAATTGAAAAAAGTCTATGGTAACCGCTCTAAATAAACAAGGTAATTGAAAAAGTCTACGTCTAACAACCTCTAAACAAAGAAAGCAATTGAAAAAGTCTAACAAGCTATTTCCTGTACAGTAGCTATGCAAAAGCAATCCAATAAGTTTACCAAAAAAAGAACGAAACATCCAAAAAGCATAAGCATTTACCTCAAAAATTCCTCAGTATATAACTGAGCGCTTATCTAGGCGAATTTGCGTACGTCATCGAACGAATATCGAATTCGAAAGTGTCCCACGTAGTGGCCAACTCTAAAAAACCTATTTTTTTTCTATCAGAAACAATCTTTGCGCCTTATCAGAAAACCCGTAATAGCGTCTTTTTTTTTCTCAAAAATTTTAAAGACCCCGCGTGACGCTTTACAAAAAACTGCTTCACCAATTTTTTTTTTTTTGAACTGCCAAGCATTTCCGGCGGAATATCTCTTTCTCATCTTACCGCCTCTCCTTTTTTTTCGGGTTTATTTCAGAAATCACTACATTTTTAACTGTTAAGGTGAGAGTTTACATCAGTGACGCAATGGGAGACACGTCATTATGTAGTAGAGCTAGACGTCAGCTAGGTATTAGTAACAGAACTGTTGTTACTTACAATGATGATCATTTTGATAGTTGATTCAGGTTGAATTCAGAAATAACATTCAGAAATTTATTGAATAACAGAACTAGAATACGGTAAACTTTAGCAAAAGGTGATTTCGTTACCGGCTACAAAACTGCCCTGTAATAACAGTCTTGTTTAAGCCACAATGGATTGCTTTGACGGCTTTAAAGGTACTAAAGCTACAGTAGCCTGTTAAGTAAAGACTACTGTCTAGACGTACTAGTCGTACTAGACTAGAGGTACTAGTCGTACTAGACTAGAGGTACTAGTCGTACTAGACTAGAGGTACTAGTCGTACTAGACTAGAGGTACTAGTCGTACTAGACGTACTAGTCGTACTAGACGTACTAGTCGTACTAGACGTACTAGTCGTACTAGACTAGACGTACTTGAGATCTAGTGGGGGATTTGAGTGTTGAGCTTCTGGGAAAACTTTGAAAGCCGTAAAGTAGTGACCAACTCGACTCGCCGGGGTGCACTACTATTAGAGTTCTTTAAAGGTGTTTTTGAACAGTTTTCAAATAAATTATCGCTCTGTTTAGTATGCGTTACTGGTACTCGTTCATTTATCCACCCCCGTGTACTTACAGAAAGCTTACTGCTATGGAACACTGTGGACATTCATGTACTATTATTTATTCAAATCTAACAAGGGAATGCCAACTGAATGTGGAGACTAAAGCAGAATTTCACGCTGATTCAAATCTGCTTACCGTTTCTGTTATGGAACACTGTCAAAAGTGATAAGCATGCAAAGTTTTGTATGAGATTCAAAAATCACATCCCGAGTTTATAACCGGATTTGCCAGGGGGTTTGGGTAGCACTGGTAGCTGATTGGCAGTGGGTTAGAATACCGGGCATGGACCCTCTGGCTCGATTCCGCTATTGAACTTTCTTTCCTTTACTTTTTTGGATTTGCAAGATTAATTGTTCTCTATTTTAAATACAAGTTTATTTAGCAAAAACGGAAAACGGATTCGGAATCGGGGTTGAATTCTGGGTCGAATAACCTGTCATACACCGTTTACACTGTTAGCTGTACGAAAAAGTACTATTTTAAGTCAGTTCAGGCAACCTGCAGTGCCCACCTTTAGTTACAGTACTTTTGTAACTGAAAACCTTATCTACATCTGCAGGTCTACCTTTTGACAAAAACGTCGAATAACCTGTCACCACATCCAATTGAAATTCTCTTGCAAATATTTAGATTTCATTCTTTACGTCAACTTGCCTATTCAACCTAATTCTTGTTCTTCTTCTAAAATTTAGAAAACAATTTAGAAAATTTTTTCTTTTCGGAAGTTTATAAAAAAAGGTTGAAAAGGTTAGAATTATTATAATAAGATTTGATAATTGATAAGCGAATTGTTAAGCGATAAATGCGTGAAGAAGAGAAAGTGAAATATGGAAAAATATTAAAGCTTTCAGAAAAAGCTTTCAGAAAAAGCCTTCAGAAAAAGCCTTCAGAAAAAGCCTTCAGAAAAAGCTTTAACTTTCCCCTCAAACCACATAAAAATGTTTGTGATTCATTGTTTTCTCTTCAGAAAATCTCCGGAATCTCTCAATGAAGGCCCTAAAAGGAATGAGTCGGCGAGTATTTCCGTGCAATCATTGAATGTTTACAGAAACGATATTTGATTTTCTGAAACGATATTTCTGAAACTATTTCTGAAACTATTCGACGAGCATTTCTTTCTATACTTATCACCTAGTTAGTTAATAGTTTTTTTTTCTATAGTTAATAGTTTTATAGTTACATTTTTACCTATTTATTCTCTAGTTTAAATTGAAATATCTTTTAAAAAAAAGAAACTATAAACGCTGGTTTCGTAGTTGTCTGGTGTCTGTTCGTAATTGTCTAGTACCTAACAAAGTCTTGGAAAAAGCTATTGTACTAAAATTTATAAAGAATAAAGAAGTGAAAGAAAAAGAAAGATAAATTAATAAAGAAGTGAAAGAAATGGGAAGAAAAAGTAGAGATGGGATTGAACCCGATCATTTCCATTCAAGAGAATTCCTCTAACCATTGAGCCATCCGGTACCTTGGCTTTCTAAAAGAAAAAACTTGCGAAGAGTTGTTTAAAAGGAATCCGAATTTGTTTAAAATTTAGTTATTTCTATCAAAAACAAAAGCAAGATTCGTCATAGATTCTTGGCCTAAAGAGAAATGCAAGAGCTTCACTAATGTCAAAAGAGATTTGCTATACCGTATTTTCTCTAATAGTAGTACACCCTGAGCTTTGCCTAAATTGCTTGAAATCTCAAGAACCGCTTATCAGAACCTATCGATGTGGGATCGGAAAATGTAGCTGACGATGAGATCTAGTGGGGGATTTGAGTGTTGAGCTTCTGGGAAAACTTGGAAACTGTAAAATCGTCATCAACTCGGCTCGGCCGGGCGGAGGGGGAGAGGGCAATACTATTAGAGAAAATACAGAATACCGTATTTTGTCTAATAGTAGTGCACCCAGAGCGTTGCCTGAATTCCTCGAAATCTCGAGAACCGCTTATCAGAATCTATCGATGTGGGATCGGAAAATGTAGCTGACGATGAGATCTAGTGGGGGATTTGAGTGTTGAGCTTCTGCAAAAGCTTGGAAACTGTAAAATCGTGACCAACTCGGCTCGCCGGGGTGCACTACTATTAGAGAAAATACGGTATATAGATTAGAATGGCTTTATTTTCAAAATGCAACAGTAAAGAGAAATACACTCTACTAAGTTTTCTGTAATTTTTGAATTTTCCTTGACTTCCTAATCTCTAGTTTTCTTTGGATTTTTGTAAAAAAGGAAAAAGATACAAAAGAAATCAAAACATCAGCTTTAGCAATGTTTTTTTTTGATCTTAAATACCCGATCTAATCTGTCTAATCTAATCAGAATCCAAGACCAGTCTCTTCTTCTCAAATCAATCTTTATTGAGTCATCATTGCCCTGAGGAATATTTTTCTCTGACTAATCCAAAGAATTCTCTGAACGAAAATTCTTTTTAGCGTTTAGCGTTAACGCCCAAAAATGAGTGATTGAAGAGATAAAATGTTTGGAAGAGATGTTTGGAATTTTGTAGCAAGAGCTTGACTAATGTCAAAAGAGATTCGCTTTGCATAGATTAGAATGGCTTTATTTTCAAACTGAGTCATAATCAATTTGCTAAAGAAATTTGATAAACTTTTTCTTTAGAGTTTCCATTTTCGAATGCAAGACGCTGCCTCATCGAGGGTGACACGAATTTTCTCATAGTAGACATTGAGATCTTTTTGGGAAAGATCTGAAAATGGTTTACAGTAATTGTTATTGTTTTTTATTGTTTTCTAAAAAGTTGTTACTTTTTTTTTTTATTAAACAACCTAAACAACAAAAAACCTTTTAACCAAAAGAGAAATAGTATTGTTTTCAAATTTAATGGGAGTGGGACAAATGCGACCTTTTTTTTGCGCACCCGGACATTTGCGCACCTTTTTTTGCTGGAAAAGGCCTTAGGAAAGGTCGTAGAGCTTCAAAAATGTTTATCGTAGAGGGGAATCGTATGCGTAGATTCAGAATTTCGACAAATCAGACCTCGCTGACACGTCAAATTTGGGCTAAAAGGCAAAAACTACGCAACTTAACCCTTTTCCGCAGTTTTTGCCTTTTAGCCCAAATTTGACGTGTCAGCGAGGTCTGATTTGTCGAAATTCGGAATCTACGCATACGATTCCCTACATGGAAATATTTTCGAAGCCTACGGCCTTGCCAAGGCCTTCCAGCAAAAAAAGGTGCAAATGTCCAGGTGCGCCAAAAAGGTCGCATTTGTCCCACCCCCATTGTTTTCAAGTTTAATTCTTGTTTAAGTGAAACAATGATTTAAAAGGATTTAGAATTTGTACAGAATTCAGAATTCAGCTAAATTTAAGGCTAAAAAAGTTTTTTTCTTTTCTCTTTGGCAAAATTGAGCTATTCATTTCATTGAATCTACTAGTCTTTAGAGCAAAAAGACTGAGAGAAAAAGCTAACGCTAAAGCAGCTAAAGCAAATATTTTATCAATTACGCTGTGAGCAGAAAGTCGAGCGAGATCCACGAGTGGAGTCCCGTGATGGGTTATTCCAAAAAGCCAAGTCAAATATTTGACTTGATAATCTCGATCTAGGCATCGACCTCGATCTAGGCATCGACCTCGATCTAGGCATCGACCTCGATCTAGGCATCGACCTCGATCTAGGCATCGACCTCGATCTAGGCATCGACCTCGATCTAGGACTCAACCTCGATCTAGGACTCAACCTCGATCTAGGACTCAACCTCGATCTTGATAACTCACTTTTCCCGTTCGTCGAATGGTCGATCATCTCGACGAAAAGCGGTGTGTAGACAATGATCACCAATGGGAGAACCAACTCGTATTGCTTGATTAACTAAAGGTTTTGTAACATTGTGTATAGAATTTCTTATCCTAACCTCATCAAATGTGTCCCATGGGAGTTGAAGACCTCGAGCTTCTTTCTGTAGCTCTTGCCAATAGGTCAATAAATACTTATCACGGCTAAAATAGTTTAATTTCATATTCGTTGTTTTATCAATTACTTGTTTTTGTACTCTTTCCCGCTCAACGCTGTGGGCAGAAATCGAGCGAGATCTTCGAGTGGAGTCCCGTGATGGGTTAACTGAAAAAAATGATGGATTAACACTTTGAAAAGCCTCCGTTTACGAACAAGATCTTAGTTCAGTTGATTAGTTAAGTCTTTCCTTTATATCTTACAATGTCCCATAAGAGAAACCTGCCAATCGACGATTGCTTTCACTGTGAACTCTCCATTGCTCTCTTCTGTTCTTCTTCTCTTCTGCCACAAAATGTTCCCGGGCCATAAATCGCCGTGTGTTAGCATATTCACCTTTGCTAAAAAGATTGAGAACAGAAATGTCCGGATTCGGATCCGAATCTCTACACAAACATAAAAAGAACGAAAAGACAACTACGCGACACATCAATAGACAGTTCAGTACTGTGGCGTAGTCATCTTTTTGTTCTTTGTATGATTGCGTAGAGATCCGGACATCGCTGAGAGAGAATTCTTATTATTAATTGACTTATTGACTTGTTTTCTTAAGGATTATCATTTTTTTGTTCTTTGTATGATTGCGTAGAGATCCTGACATCGCTGAGAGAGAGAATTCTTTTTATTAATTGACTTATTGACTTGTTTTCTTAAGAATTATCATTTTTTTTGTTACTCACAAGTTGAACTCATTCTTTTGAAATAGTCGTCAATGTTGTAGAAATATTTTGTCTGCGTTCGCAGCGTCTCGATCTCGCTTTTCTTCTCGGGGAATTTTACAAGTAAAGTATCGAGAAAGCGGTGGAGTTTCTGAAATAATGGCGTTGTAGTTTGTGCTCTTTTGAAACGCACGCTCTCTGGTGCACGAATCGTTTTTTACTAACTTCTGGATGTGCATAATCGGCCATCGTTTCAGCCAGCAGTTTCTCATCGAATTCTGCGACGAATTTCGGGTTACGAAGTGCTAAAAGGAATCATTTTAGTTTGAGTCATTGAGTCGTTGAGTTTTTCATTGAGTTTTTTAAAATATTACTTTTCAAATTCTTTTCTACAAAGTTATTTTGGTAAAATTCTTACAAAAAGCTCCCATTTTGGCTAAAATTTGGATAATTTGAAGCACGCCACTCTCCGGGATGATATGATAAATGTGACGACTGTGAATATTCTCAAAGTATTCGATCAGCACGTAACCTAAAGTTTGATAACTGTTTAGTATAAATGCTTAGTTCTACAGTATCCCAACCTGCATTCAACCCATTAAGGCCAAATTTGCGACCACAGAAAAATTGGGGAAGTGGAACCGCTTTTTGGAAATCTTTCTCCTTTGACACACGGCGTAGGAAAGTGAATTCGGTATCGCTGAACTGAAATTTAGCAAGATAATTTTCAATTTTGAAGTTTTTCGAGAATGTTTTATCAAGATTTTAATAAGATTTTGCAAGTTTACAATTTAGTTAGATCAAAATTGAACTTTATAGACTTGATGAAGATTTGGTGAAGACTTGGTGAAGACTTGGTCAAGACTTGATGAAGACTGACAAGACTGAGACGATCAGCGGTCAAGACTTGATGAAGACTTGGTCAAGACTTGATCAAGACTTGATTAAGACTTGGTCAAGACTTGATCAAGACTTGGTGAAGACTTGATGAAGACTTGATGAAGACTTGATCAAGACTTGGTCAAGACTTGGTGAAGTTCTAGTTAACCTAAAGCATTTAAATAAATTAGATAGAGTAGTTTAGATATTTATTAGATAATTAGATAGAGTAAATTAGTTTTTATTCAACAACAATCTATTAGGTACATGCATAAGAAATGCGGATTTCAACATTTTCATTTTCACATTTTCTTCATCTTCATCTTCAACATTAAATTTCCAACGATAGAAACGTGATGTCGATGAATGTTATAAACTATTTGAAAGTTGTAAATCTCCTCTACAAAATAGGCTAAAACGTTTTTCAATTGATCGAAGCATTGAAGAAATTTCGAGGGTGAAATGCGAGTGACCAAAAAAGGGAATCGAGTCACTTTAGGGACAAGTTTAGTGTGGTCAAAATCGAGTTAGCTTCCCAAAATTGAAGATTTAGAAAAAAAGGATAACTATATATCAATTCATTAAAAAAAAAGTCTAACGGAAATGCATTTACAGAAATTTAGCTAGAGCGTAAGTTCAAAACCCTCAAAATTGTCAAAAAACCGGCTTTTTCACAAAAAAGAAAACTTATTGTAAAAACAAATTTTTCCCATGAAATGATCCCAACTCTTAATTATTTTGAATGATATTTTTAAGATAATGATTTTAGGGCGGTCATTGCCGGTAGTGTGCCCAACCGGATCCCAACTCTTAATTCCCATGAAATGATCCCAACTCTTAATTATTTTGAATGATATTTTCCGTCATTTCCGTCGGGCGGTCATCTTCCACTATATAGTCAAAACCGAACTCTTGTGAAAGTGGGGTTTTCAAAAAGTGCCCTTTTTTGGTCACTCGCATTTCGGCCTCGAAATTTCTTCAATGCTTCGATCAATTGAAACACGTTTTAGCCTATTTTGTAGAGGAGATTTACAACTTTCAAATAGTTTATAACATTCGTCGATATCAGATTTCTATCGTTGGGAATTTAATGTTGATGAAGATGAAAAAAATGTGAAAATGAAAATGTTGAAATCCACATTTCTTATGCATTTGCCTAATAGATTGTTGTTGAATAAAAACTAAAAACTACCGTATTTCCTCTAATAAACGCGCCCCCCCTTGACCAACTTTGGACGCTTCGTTCTCAGCTCCATTTGGAGATATTTTTATGTTTAATATATCAAAAGATAGAAGACATTAAGGGCTATCTTTTGATATATTAAACATAAAAATACCTCAAAATGGGGCTGAGAACGAAGCGTCCAAAGTTGGTCAAGGGGGGGGGGGCGTTTATTAGAGGAAATACGGTATCTAATTTATTTAAATGCTTTAGGTTAACTAGAACTTCATCAAGTCTTCATCAAGTCTATAAAGTTCAATTTTAACTTACTTTAAGTTTTACAAATAGGGAATAGAGCCTGATAATGGACTATAAAGTTCTGAAAAACTCATCGATCTAGCATTCGTCACCACATCGTCCACATCACCAAGGTTATCAGCTTGTGATTGAAGGCGATCACATTCAACCATCTAAAAAGGGATTTCTCTCAAAGTCAATTTGATTTTTTATTTTCAAATTAGACTCAAGTAAAGTTTCTGATTTTAGAGGTTTTAGAGGTTCTGATTTTAGAGGTTTTAGAGGTTCTGATTTTAGAGGTTTTAGAGGTTTTGATTCTGAATCCATCTTACTGTTTTAGCCGATTTAAAAAGCGACCTTGAGAATGGCCTGTTTCGGCAAATGCCGATCGCCGAGCTCCCAATCGAATTCGATGAGAAAACACGTCGAGATGAAACCCTGAAACATTTATTTTTTAGGCATTCATTTTTAAGCATTCATTTTTAACCATTCACTTTTAACCATTCATTTTAAGCATTCACTTTTAAGCATTCATTTTTAACCATTCATTTTAAGCATTCATTTTTAAGCATTCATTTTTAACCATTCACTTTTAACCATTCATTTTAAACATTCATTTTAAGCATTCATTTTTAAGCATTCATTTTTAAGCATTCATTTTTAAGCATTCATTTCATTTTGAGAGTTTTGAGAGAGTCCAATAGTCTCGAAACTTTTAAATTATCTGTAGATGATCTTGATCTTGAAGCTCTAGTGGATCCTTGACGTTATCTGTGCTACCCACATTTTACATAGATTATATCGTGTTTCTTTTTATCGGCCCTTTTCGGGTTATGTGTATGAATTCATGTGTTTTAATCTTAAATCTAGCGCACTTTATCTCAGGTCCTGAATAAAGTATCTATATTTAAACCCTCACATTTGATGCCCCCAACGGATGAGCTTTTCGATTTGATCCCATTTTTGCTTGAGTGTTCATCTCTTTTTGAAAATCGCTCTCCAAATTTCGCCAACTCAGCAAAGTGCCCTCGATTTTTGGCTCTTCTTGACTGGTCATTTGAGAACTTTCAAAAATTCATTTAATAAATGACGTTAAAGTTGAGTGAAAAAAATGTTGAAAGTGCTGAAATTTTGCTTGAAAATTTATGAAATAGCATAAGAAAGAAAGAAAGATCATTTTTAATTTTGAAGTTTTACGATAATGTTTTATTAAAGATTTTGCAAGATTGCAATTCAATTAGAACAATTATTTCGTTCAAAAGAAATCAAAAACAAAATCAAAAACAAAATTTAAATCAAAATTTCAAACATCAAAACCTAAACTTGGGTTGTTGTTTTTTTCTTTTCCATCAAGTGGCTGATGGTGAAACCTATATATTTCCTTGAGTGCATATAATCACCGGAAAGGAGTGGGAAAGAGTGGGAAAGAGTGGAAAAGAATGGAAAGGAGAGGGTTTCAAGACTTTGGAAAAAGATTGGATAAATGATGTGAAGGGGAAAAGAAGGGGCGGTTGAGTTGAGGTGAAAGTTGAAGAAATCTGAAGCTGAAGTGCTGAGGGTATTGAAGCTGAGGGTATTGAAGCTGAGGGATTGAAGCTGAGGGTATTGAAGCTGAGGGATTGAAGCTGAGGATTGAAGCTGAGGGTATTGAAGCTGAGGGTATTGAAGCTGAGGGTATTGAAGCTGAGGGTATTGAAGCTGAGGGTATTGAAGCTGAGGGTATTGAAGCTGAGGGTATTGAAGCTGAGGGATTGAAGCTGAGGATTGAAGCTGAGGATTGAAGCTGAGGATTGAAGCTGAGGATTGAAGCTGAGGATTGAAAAATACCGGCAAATTTTAAGGCAAAAATACATCTCGAAAACATTGAGCATATTGACGCCAAAAACAGTCGAAATCTAAGCTCTGATCTAAGCTTTTGAACAAATTCGAGACTTTTATTAGCCTATCTTTGAGTGAAAATTTGCAACTTTCAAATGATATGAGAGCTTTCAAATGAGATCACAGCTTTCATATGACATGACAGCTTTCAAATGACATCACAGTCAGTAGGAAATCAAATAGCTAAAAAATCAACACTGTTCTGGCGCCATTTGGGTAAGTAAAACGACTAAAAATACAATTAGAATGTTAAAATTCTCTTCAAATAACTTTTTCTCCAGAAGATTTTGTTTTTTCAAAAGTTCCTTGTGATATGGCACTATTCAAATGACTCACAGTCAGTTCTGTTCTCAAAAAAAAACGATCAACACTTTGATCAGTGTGTGGTTTAGAGAGACGACTTTCCAAATTTATGCAAATTTCATGGGCGGTGAGTTTAGAGAATGGAGTTTCTGATCGATTATCACAAAAATTCACTTATAAATCACCTTTGCTTTCAAATAAATACGTTACTTTTAATTTACTGAAATAATTTTCTAAAGAACAATGGAGAGCTCGATGTATCGATGTTTTGGGAAAACGGCAAATGTAAGAGTCTTTTCAGAAGCTTTTTGTTAGCTGAACACCGTACTCTCTCTAATAGTAGTGCACCCGTCCGAGTTGATGACGATTTTACAGTTCCCAAGCTTTCACAGAAGCTCAACACTCAAATCCCCCACTAGATCTCATTGTCAGCTACATTTTCCGACCCCACATCGATAGGTTCTGATAAGCGGCTCTCGAGATTTCGAGCAATTTCGCTAATCGACGATCGCTTTCACCGTGTCTACTACTATTAGGGAAAATACGGTCTCTTGAATTGAATTAAATTGAAAAGTGATGGAATAATACAAGAGATTCTGTGAAGAGTTAATAGTAAGTCCTAAGCTGGGCTAAACCCAGGCCAATCCAGGTCCGACTCAGGGTCGGACCAACGATCACTTTCACTGTCCAGGCTCACTTTTCACTTCCACTCCATTATCCAGGCTTGAGGTCCAGATAAGACCTTAGGTCAGAGGTCTAGTCCATGTTCAGGCTCTAGATCAGATCAAGCTTAAGCTCTAGTGGTCAGGTTTACCAGTTTCTGGGCAGGCCAGACGTCTAGGCAAAGTCAGGTCGAAGCCAAGACTCAGACAAAGAGCCAAATCCAGCCAGACCTGGATTCTGTCTGGTCTATGTACTTTGAGAACCGGACCGTAAAACCAGGCCAGGTTATGGACGTCGAAACTAGATACTTTTAGTGACCCTAAGTGATCAGGATTTGGTAATAAATATAGATTCCTGGAACTCTTCACTCTTTGATTACCCTGTCTGATGAATTCTCGAATTTTCAGCGTTCAATCTGTCCCGGGATCAGCCTATTCTCTCTCCTTCCCGAAATCTTCTTTCTCATCATCCTTCCCGTTCAGTTTTTGATGCTGAAACGCCGAAAAAGAGCTATTCCATTAATTCCAAAGCATACTTATTTAAAATTGGTTTGTTTAATATAATAAAATATATAATAAAATATATAATAAAGTTTATTTTACAAATCCAGGGTTTTATCTTATTGCTGGCTTTGAATCAAGCATTCGACGCGGTGATGGAGACTGTAATGGGACACAATCCAAGCTCATTTCAACTTCTCGTTGAAATGGGCATCTCGGTGGTGTGCATGGTGGGTATACTTTGTGCTCAAAGATGGAAAACGCACGTTTACTAGCGCACTGAATTCTGCATCTTTTTTTCAATCCAATAGAAATTTTCACAAGAGAAGATTCTAATCCAATTTTTCTGATGATTCAAGAGATTTTCAAGAAAGAAAGCCTTTGCCTTAAGCTGAGCTTTGCCTTGAGCTGAGATTTGCCTTGAGCTGAGATTTGCCTTGAGCTGAGCTTTGCCTTGAGCTGAGCTTTGCCTTGAGCTTTAAGATTTAAACTTCAAATTTAATAATCATTTCAAGTAAAGAATTGAGTGCACTAGAAGCTATTCGTTTACCAAAAGTTTATTAACAAAAGCTAAATAACGAAATTAAAATATAAATCTCAATTTCAACCTCCTCTCCAGATCCTCTCTCTATTTTCTCTGATCTGGTCAATCTCTTGTGATCGTCGATCGAATGGTTTTGTCATCTTGTACTATATCTTTCAACTATTTATCGATGGAATGATTTTCCTGAAAGAAGTGATTAACATTTAAAAGATTTCATGGTACTTGTCTCGGTTATACATCCACAGAGACTCAACTCGGTTAAGCAAGAAGCTGACAACTTGTGAGCTGACAACTTGTGAGCTGACAACTTGTGAGCTGACAACTTGTGTGCTGACAACTTGTGAGCTGACAACTTGTGAGCTGACAACTTGTGATTATGTTCAGTGAAGTAGGAGTGCTCTGAAGTGATCAGTCGATCAGTTCAACGAAAATTGTTAACCGAGAAGTCTCGGATGAGGATGCTTAACCGAGATGAGTCTTTGTGAATGTAGGATCGACAAGTATCGATTTCATTCTTGATTTCAGTTCCTCGATAATCCCGATCAAATTCGAATCAATTCGTGGATTCATTTGATCATTCTTTTCGTGCTCAATCTTCTTTTCTTGTCAAGGGACACGGTTACTGAGGAGATACAGGTGATGAGCAAATCAATGACCATTCCAAAGTCTTCATCTCGTGGTTTTCCTTCATTATCTATTTCCTAAAAAATTAATCTATTTCCCAAAACATACATAATTTGAAAAGTTATCGTAATCTTTGTATAAGTACCTACAGGGATAGGCTAGTTTCCGCAAGGAGCCTACAGGGGTAGGCTTTTTTTTGCGCAACTCTCCATAACTTTCTTCCAAGTGTGTCAATCTTTATGATTTTGGTGCCATTTTGTTGCACTTATTGAGATCTACAAGATGACATCAAAATCATAAAGATTGGCTGACTTAGAAAAAAGTTATGGCGAGTTGCGCAAATGACCCAGTTGCGCAAATGACTCTGTTGCGCAACCCAGTTGCGCAAAAAAAAGTGCGGAAACTACCTACAAGAAAAGGCTTTCACCTAATCATTGACTTTAAGAAAAAAAACGAAATCTTTAGGGTTTTTGCCCAATGGATTCAGCCGGTTTCCATTCCCAAGTCTTCATCTCATGGTTTACCTCCATTGTCATCAATGGAAAGAATAAAGTTCGGCAACAAGGAGCTTTTTATTCTATAAAATTTTAGACACTAATCCTTGAAGATTTACCGGAACTCCCGAAAAACACCGACTCGCAATTGTTGAATCGGAAATGGACAAAAGCGTGGGCACGAGAAGTGAAACGTACGGTTAAGTGGCCTAATTAGTGTATGATCCTCACACCTAATGCATAGTCTAAACGTGTGAACTTTCAAAGTGTAGACAAGCATATGATAGCTTTCAAAAGGTTACACATTTTAGAAAAGTGCACAAGAGAATCTCTATAGCCAAAATCTATTTTCTCAAAGGTTGCTCTCAATCAAACGATGCTCCCTCAATTGCCCGTATTGTTTATTCGATTTTCTGGAAGTCGACTCTCTCGGGAGCAATCGTTCGCCTACTCGCCGACATTCTCGTCTTTTCGAGTCCAGTCTTGTTGATGTAATAATTTTTTGAATTTCATAAGAAATGAATGAAATGAAAGCTTCATAATGAAAGCTTCATAATGAAAGCTTCATAATGGAGGCTTCATAATGGAGGCTTCATAATGGAGGCTTCATAATGAAGCTTCAAATGAAGCCAAGGAGGCGGAGGAGCGATGGTGGTCGGCAAGGGTAAAGGACGTAACAAGGGCTCTATGGGGCTTCTGGAGGCTTCATAATGGAGGCTTCATAATGAAAGCTTCATAATGAAAGCTTCATAATGAAAGCTTCATAATGAAAGCCTCATATGGAGGCTTCATAATGAAAGCTTCATAATGAAGGCTTCATAATGAAGGCTTCATAATGAAAGCTTCATAATGAAGGCTTCACGATGAAGGCTTCACAATGAAAGCTGTTTATGCTAAGTAAGATAAAAGTTAGACAGAAATTCGTAGAGAATGCTTTACCATAGAGTTTGTTCCTCGCGAGTCAGTAATTACTCGAGTAAATTTGCATGAGTAATTTTTTTACTCGAGTAATAGCCCGAGCAATTGTCGAGTAGTGCGTTTTCTAAAAAGTGCGCCTAAAGAGAAATGCAAGAGCTTAACTAATTTCAAAAGAGATTTGCTATACCGTATTCTCTCTAATAGTAGTGTACCCAGAGCGTCGCCTAAATTCTTCGTAATCTCGAAAAGCGTTTATCAGAACCTATCGATGTGGGGTCGGAAAATGTAGCTGACGATGAGATCTAGTGGGGGATTAGAGTGTTGAGTTTCTGGGAAAATTTGGAAACTGTAAAATTGTCATTTACATTGGAAGGGGACTTTCCCACCAAATCAGTTAAACGGCTGAGTATCTTTAAAAAGTGTGTTATATAATGCGGGCTCGTCATTTTTTTGCAATAATTTTTGCTAAAAGTACGGTAATTTTTTTTCCCAAGTGTGCTTTTTAAAAAACGCATTACTCGCGAGGAACACACTCCAGTTTACGAGCAAATTTAGTGTTGAAAAGGTAAAAATTTTAATTTTAATTTTCATAGATAAAGACGTTTTCCCTCGAAGGGTAGTGGAAAAGAAAAAATAAGGCACAAAAAAATCGTTTTCTATAGGATTTTTACGTTTGAATTCGTCATTCGACACAGGAAAATGTGCTGAATCTGAAAAAGAAAGAATTTTGTGAAATCCCTCTGACAAATTTTTAGTTTCACTGCTTTACAGGGGGGTGGGACAAATGCGACCTTTTTTTGCGCACCTGGACATTTGCGCACCTTTTTTTTGCTGGAAAAGGCCTTAGGAAAGGTCGTAGAGCTTCGAAAATGTTTTCGTAGAAGGGAATCGTATGCGTAGATTCCGAATTTCGACAAATCAGACCTCGCTGACACGTCAAATTTGGGCTAAAAGGCAAAAACTGCGGAAAAGGGTTAAGTTGCGTAGTTCTTGCTTTTTAGCCCAAATTTGACGTGTCAGCGAGGTCTGATTTGTCAAAATTCTGAATCTACGCATACGATTTCCTTCTATGAAAACATTTTCGAAGCTCTACGACCTTTCCTAAGGCCTTTTCCAGCAAAAAAAAGGTGCGCAAATGTCCAGGTGCGCAAAAAAAGGTCGCATTTGTCCCACCCCCCTTTACAGTGTTAAATTTTAGCTATATTTTATGGTGGGAGTAAAATTTTGAAAAAAAAAAAAACAAAGATCTACGGCTGTTTTCTGCTTAAAACAAAGATTTATGATCATTTTCTGAGATTTAAAGCAATCAAGAGATTTCATAAGCTTTTTAGCTTTGAAATGATATGAAATAAAATTTTATTGATCCAATTACTCTAAGAAGTTCAAATTCAAGTAATTAAGCTAATCAAATTCAACTAATTAGTCGAATTCAACGACCTAAGCTCAATTTTCGTTTAAACCTCGCTCACTTAAACTCCAAAAAACTCAACTAACGGACAAGAGGGTTTTACTCTAAAAGCGATTCATTTACAATGCCTAAACCATTATATAAATCAAGAATTCACCAAGAATTAACCAAGAATTCACCAAAAATCGTTATCGACATTCAACCTTCGCATATTTAAAGGTTGCTAATCGATTTCGTCTCCACCCCACTCGCCCCTCTCTCCTTCGGTGTCATCTGTGCTCTCTCTCTTTTTCTCATCGCCGAACTCCGTTCATTTCTCATCAACAACTATGCATTCATCAACATGAAAAACTCTGTTTGGTTTCAATCAATGATTTCGAATGCGATTTATTTAAAGGTAGAAATGAAAGAGTAAACTTAAAGGAGAGTTAGGCTGTTCAGAAAAACTTTTTGTTTCTGTACTTCAACTTAAAGAAGAGTTAAGCTGTCCAGAAAATCTTTTCTTTTGTACTTCAACTTAAAGAAGAGTTAGCTGTCCAGAAAATCTTTGTTTCTTTTGTACTTCAACTTAAAGAAGAGTTAAGCTGTCCAGAAAGTCTTTTCTTTTGTACTTCAACTTAAAGAATAGTTAGGCTGTTCAGAAAGTCTTTTCTTTTGTACTTCAACTTAAAGAATAGTTAGGCTGTCCAGAAAATCTTTTCTTTTCTTTTCCATTAAAACTTTGCACCAATAAACATTTTTTCTTTAGAGAAAACGATAGGTTTAATTCTAGTGAATTTCTTTTTTACAACGAAAGTACAAAAAAAAAACGAAAAGCCAAATAATTCTAAATTCAGATCTTGCGTCTTTCACCGGCATCTCGAGGTAAACACACAATTGGGGAATTGGTGAATTTCATGTCGGTTGATGTGGAGAAAATTGTCGCCTATATGCCATTTTTGGTCGAGACTTTTACGGCTCCATTAGATGTGAGTTTAAATTTTTTAAAAAAAAAGCATAACTAAAAGTGCATAAATTTAGATTTCTAACTAAAAATTGTGATTTTCATTGGTAAACCAGTAGAATAGTTTTAGCCTAACAAACTTTCCTAGGTTACTATTGGGTTGGGGAGAATGAGTCGGCGCCGAAAATCAAAAAAAATGTCTAAAACTTCTATTCGACTTCGTTAAATAATATGCGTTTGATATGAGTAGAATGGTTAACTAATTCTCTACAAAATCACATTTAAAAGAAAATTCAAACAGCGCCTCCGCTCAAGAAAAAGCCATTTTTTCACAAAAACTACAAACTGTGATCTAGAAAAAACCATTGGTGGGATCTTCCTGCAAATTTGGCAACTTAAGTAATTGAATGTGCTCTATCTTTTTTATATAAACACCAAAGAAGGTTTATGTGAAAGAAACTGTTCAAACGACTCTTTTTAAAATGGCAAAGAGTCGGACTCTTTGCCATTTTAACCAGCTGCGTTTCGAAGTTCATAAACTCCACGAAAGAAAAGCTTTGTGGAATCTCTCAAAAGTGATTTTGTAGAGAAATAGTGGATCCTTTTGATGAAACCAAACGTATGTTTAAAGAAGGCTTTATGTGTGCAAAAAGTCCCTTTAAAGTTTGGCGCCGACTCATTCTCCCCAACCCAATAGATAAAATAAGAACTACATAAAATAAGAGCTACATAAAATAAGAGCTACATAAAATACTACATAAAATAACCACACCGATCTTCTCTTTGAAGTGTACTTTGTACTTTGTACTCAAAAATGTGTACACTCTCTTTTTGGTGTGATTTTTCAATTTTTTAGGATATCAAAGCATAGTTGAGAGAAAAATGAGGAAACAAACTCTTTCTAGTTAGCCAGAAGGATTGTGTTTCTAGTTAGCCTCTTTCTAGTTAGCCAGAAGGATTGTGTTTCTAGTTAGCCTCTTTCTAGTTAGCCAGAAGGATTGTGTTTACACTTTTCAGTAAAAATTGCAAGCCAAGAATAGAAATCTTCTCCAGATTTTCCTCTATATGCTTCTCCTTTTCATCATCATGGGTCTGACGTCACTGGGCGGGATTCTCATCATGGTGCTTTGTATTCCATTGAATTATCACGCGAGTCGTTACATCAAGAATCAACAATTGAAACAGATGCGAGTGAAAGATGAAAGGACAAAGATTTCGAATGAAGTTTAGAGAATGGAAAGAGAGAGAAAGAAATGGGGGAAATGATTTAGATGTTGAATGGAATCAAATTGATCAAATTGTATGCCTGGGAGGAGGCTTTTGAGAAGCGAATCAATCAACTTCGGGATAAAGAAGTAAAGAGGAAATTTTTCATGAGAAATTGCTGAAGATTTGTAGACTAAAAGAAACTTTTTCCAACTGACTACTCTAAAACTTGCTCCAGCTCCCGTAAGCCACTCAGCAATTTACAAAATGCACGTCAGCAATTTACTAAAATGCTATAGTCACTCAGGTAGCTTCTACTGTAGCCGTAGTGTTCAGCTATCGTTACCGTAATCTAGTTTTAGAGTCGACTTTATTGTCGTCAAGACAACGTCCATTAACATTAAGTAACTAGGGCAGGATTTTCAAAGATCAAGGTTTAAACCTATGATTTTAAAAAAAACCTTTAAGCTGACTACTCTAAAACTTGCTCCAACTCTCGTAAGCCACTCAGCAATTTACAAAATGTTACAGTAACTCAAGTAGCTTCTACTGTAGCCGTAGTGTTCAGCTATCGTTACCGTAATCTAGTTTTAGAGTCGTCAAGACTACATCCATTAACATTAAGTAACTAGGGCAGGATTTTCAAAGCAGGATTCAAAGCAGTATTTTCAAAGATCAAGGTTTAAACCAATGATTTTAAAAAAGCCTACAGTTACAATAGACCAAAGCATACCTCCGGCTACCATAGCCCTTAACTCGCGTTACCGTAATCCAATAGAGCGGAAAAGTACAATATTTTACAAGCTTCCAAGTACAATATTTGAAACCAAACACTCATTCAGGTGGAGATCTTGCGTCAAGTGAATCTAGCGGCTCGTGTGGTTGACGCGGCGAACACTTGTGCTCCGTACATTGTAAATCTTCTACTAATTTACTAATATAGCATTTCTATAGCTATCTTTTATCTAAGATATAGATATTGTTTTTTCTAATCCATTTTTTTAGGCTACAGTCGCCACATTTGCACTCTTCGTGCTGTCGTCGAACGAAAATGTGTTGACACCACAAGTATGATCATGAAAAGTTCTCAAATTTCTCAAATTTCTCAAATTCTAACAATTTAGATATTGAGATATATATTCTAACAATGGATATTGAGAATAAAAACTCCTTTACAGATAGCCTTTGTCGCGTTGACGATCTTCAATCAAATCAAATATCCGATGAGATATTTTTCGACTTTATTGAACTATCTTGTACAGGTAGAGCTTATAAATAACGATAATATATATTAGAAACAAATCTCCTTGTAGGCATTAGTCTCAAAAAAGAGAATCGAGAAATTCTTGTGCGAAGAAGAGCTGGATTCAGCTGAAGTCCCAGAAGCCTCAAATGGGATGGCGGTCGAGATTCGGAGTGTGAGTGTTGTGGGCCAGCTCACATGAGTAAAGCTAGATTAGGCTTTCCTGTGAGCTAGACTGAGCTAGAATGAGCTAGACTTATTGTTAGATCTAAATCTAGGCCTTTAAATCGAAATCTAACAATAAGTCCAACTTCTGGCGGTACAGGCCTTAGTAACAGTACAGTACAGTACAGCATCGGGATAGGACTGAGCTTGGATCTAGACCTGGATCTGGTCCTAGTCTTGACTCTACACCTGAACTGGTTCAGGGCTGGCAGAACACAGATCTAGACCTATACCTGGACACGACACAAATATCGACACGACACGACACGACACGACACGACACAAATATCGACACGACACAAATATCGACACGACACAAATATCGACACGACACAAATATCGACACGACATCAACACGACACGACACATCCAGCTGAAAGCGTTCTAAAATAAAAAAACATTAACGAGAAGTTAAAAAAAACACTTAAAAAACGCAAGATTTTAAAAAAGAGCCAATACTTTTGTGCATGACTGTAGGCTTTGATTTCACACGATCTGTTCCTGAACCTAAATCATGTAAAATTTAGGCCTCATTCAGCTGGGGTGATCAAAAAGCTCCGCCCACTCTTCAGGATATTTCTTTGTCTATCAAACAAGGCGAATTCGTGGCAATCGTGGGAGCGGTTGGCACTGGGAAGAGCTCTTTTCTGAGTGCAATTCTGGGTGAGAGATTTAAAAGTAGATAGCAAGTAAAGGCTATTAAGTGAAAGCGAATTTCGTCATTTTAAACCTATCAACTTTAGGAGAGCTGACAACATTGAGTGGATCGGTGTCAAGAACAGGTTCCACCGCTTATTGTCTCCAACAATCGTGGCTCCAAAATGCCACCGTTCGCGAGAATATTCTTTTCGGGAAAGTGAGCTGAAGACAGAAGATGACAGAAGATGATGATTGAATAATTCTGTAAAGTTTAGCCATACGATCGTCGTCACTTCAAACGGGTGATTGAAGCGGTAGAATTGACGAAAGATCTTGAGCTACTCGAGAATGGAGAGCTCACTCTAGTTGGAGAGAATGTAGGCTAAAGATTTGAATTGAGAAGAGAATGTAGGCTAAAGATTTGAATTGAGAAGAGAATATAGACTGAATATCTTATTAATCATCGAAATTTAGGGCCTTATGTTATCGGGTGGCCAAAAGGCAAGAATCGCACTTGCTAGAGCACTCTATCAGGTCAATTTTGCTAAACAATATCAATATCTACTGCAAATAACTATATAAAGAAACTAAGAAACCAAGAAACCAAGAAATTGTTTTGTTTAAGGATAACGATGTCTATTTGCTGGACGATTGTCTCTCAGCCGTGGACGCTCATGTCGGCGCGTCGGTCTTCTCGAAAGCGCTTTCAAATCACGGATTTTTACGCAATAAGACGAGAATTTTTGTGACTCACGGTTTCTATCTTTTGATATTTGACTTTTGATACAATAATAAGTACAGTATAGTACAGTATAGTATAGTACAGTACAGTATAGTATAGTATAGTACAGTATAGTACAGTATAGTATAGTATGGTACAGTATAGTACAGTACAGTATAGTATAGTACAGTACAGTAAAACATTCAGGACTTCATTACACGAGAGATTGCGACAAGATCATTGTAATGTTGAATGGAACGATTCATCGAATTGGAACCTATGACGAACTTTTGGTAGCTTTTCACAGAGCTTTTCACAAAAGTTCTTTTGTTTAAAATGAGATCAAATTATGGGTTTACTGTACTTTTTCAGTATGACGACATTTTCACGAAGATGCTTCACGATATCGAGAGTGAGAAGAAAAAGAAACACGAGGAAGAGAGTGATGACGAGGACCCGGAAGGTGATGGAGGAAATTGAAAGGAAAAAAAATCGGCTAAATATGAATATAGAGAAAATTTCTAGTGATATAGATGTAGATATACAGGGTTTTCCAAAAAAAATTCAATTCAGCGCGATTTTTCTCAGAATTTCTAGTAGCTCCTGGTGGTTGTTGTTGTTGTTTCTTGAGTAAAGAAACACACTTCAAAAGAAGCTTTAGAATAGAGCCCAAAGGTGGATTGCATTTGCGGCCAAGAGTATGCATTGCTGCTAGTTAAAATTGACGATTTTTTTGGTGCTAAAGTGAATATTTTTGGCGGGTAAATGTTTTGATATTTTGTCACTTTTTTTCCCGATTTCATGACTTCCTTACACATGAAATTTCTGAGCCACTATGGTCATCATCACGATGAGATTTTTGCCATAAAATTAAGATTTTCTATTAGCATCGTGACGATAAACACTATTAGGATAACTATAAATTTAAACCATACATTTTATTGATCAGCGTTTCCCTGAAAAAACGGGATACTTCTTTAAAAGTAGAGTGTTTTCCTCGCAAGTAAAAACTCGAGTAAAATTTGCATGATTAATCTTTTACTCGATTAATCGGCGTTTTTGCTCGAGTAAACTACGAGGCAATCCTCTTTACACGTCGAGTAAATTGAATATCTTTACATTTGAAGGGAATTTGCTACTAAATCGGGGGTGGGACAAATGCGACCTTTTTTTTTGCTAGAAAAGGCCTTAGGAAAGGTCGTAGAGCTTCGAAAATATTTCCATGTAAGGGAATCGTATGCGTAGATTCCGAATTTTGACAAATCAGACCTCGCAGACACGTCAGATTTGGGCTAAAAGGCAAAAGCTGCGGAAAAGCGTTAAGTTGCGTAGTTTTTGCCTTTTAGCTCAAATTTAACGTGTCAGCGAGGTCTGATTTGTCAAAATTCTGAATCTACGCATACGATTTCCTTCTATGAAAACATTTTCGAAGCTCTACGACCTTTCCTAAGGCCTTTTCCAGCGAAAAAAGGTGCGCAAATGTCCAGGTGCGCCAAAAAAAAAGGTCGCATTTGTCCCACCCCCACCAAATCAGTTGAACGGTTGAATATCTTTAAAAGGAGTCGTATATAATGCGGCGCTCGTCATTTTTGCGCCAATTTTTTTGCAATAATTTTCGCTAAAAGTACGGCAATTTTTCCTCTTGGCCGCAAATGCAATCCACCTTTAGGCTCTATATTCTAAAGCTTCTTTTAAAGTGTGTTTCTTTACACAAGAAACAACAACAACAGCCACCAGGAGCCACTAGAAATTCTGAGAAAAATCGCGCTGAACTGAATTTTTTTTTTGGAACACCCTGTAGATTACAAAAAAATCAAATCAGAGCTGTTAAATATTTCACCATCTCACCATGTCTTACAATTAGTGATCTAATAACACTTAAACTTTCAATAGATTTAAATAATTCTAAGTATTGATTCTATAAAACAATAGTTATTAGATAAAGTTATCATTTGTCATCCTTTCTCTGATCGTCTCTGCCACTCTTGTGCTCCACCTCGTTGCTGGTGTTCCGATGGGCCTCTTCTGGTCTCGTGGTAGCCACTCTCTGATCCGTATCGTCCATCTGTCGTCTGTTCTTCTGACTACGTGACCGGCCCATCTGAGTCTTTTTCTCTCAATCACTTCTACTGGATCTCTGAGTCCCGTGAGCTGGCGCATATCCGTACTTCTTAGGTCTTGGTCGAGCTGCGTCTTCCTATTGTACCCGAGGAGGTTCCTTTCAAGGGCTCGATGCGTCGTTCTCAGGGCTCGTTCAGCGGTCTGTGTCGTGGCCCAGGTCTCTGTCCAGTAGCAGAGTGCCGGGAGAACAGTGCTGTCGAAGAGGTGTGCCCGAGTTCTCTGATGATTCTTGAGTATCTTTGTGACTTCTTTGATGCTTCCTAGTGCTGTCCGGACAGCTCGTCTTCTTCTGGCGATTTCTGGTCTTAGGTCTCCCTCCATATTGATGCTTCTTCCGAGGTAGGTGTAGGAGGTGACTTCTTTTGAATTGAACACCCTGTAGATTACTAAAAAATCAAATCAGAGCTGTTAAATATTTCACCATCTCACCATGTCTTACAATTAGCGATCTAATAACACTTAAACTTTCAATAAATTTAAATAATTCGAAGTATTGATTCTATAAAACATTAGATAAAGTTGTCATTTAGAGAAACAAATCAAAAAGCGACAGGCTTCATTCGCAAATCGCTCACTTTCGTTGGCCGACTCATTGAATTTGCAAGAAGGCGAACAAATCGGGGAAAGAGTCGAGAGTGGAAAAGTAGGTCAAAGGCTGAAGTGAACTTATGAAGTGAACTAATCAAATCTAATCAATTATGATTGATTGTCTAAATGTCTAACTTTTAGGTCTCATGGACAGTTTATTTATCTTATGTGAAAGCGGCGACGATCAGCTGGTCGATTCTTCTATTAGCTTCATACTTTATCAGGTAAATGATGAGAAATTTGAGAAATTATAAATCTAAACTATCATCTCTATTGCAGCTGTGGTTTCGGGATCTCCCGAGCTCTGTGGCTTTCCGCGTGGACTGATGATAATATTGATGGGGTGATCACTGGAGATACAAATTATCAGCTCTTCATCTTCACCGTTTTGGCTTTTCTCGAGAGTCAGTGCTTAGGATTTTAGTCGTTAGTCGTTAGTCGTTTATCTTATTCTTATTTATTAAAACATTCACGATTTGTCAGTACAATCGCGTACCGTAAATACTGTAATAGTACCCCACCCCCTTGTACAGTCGCGTAGTCGCAAGTCGCCAGTTTTTTAGTATTTCATTTTTTCAAAGTGCCCGTACTTTCAAAAAATGCGTCTTTGGTATCAAAAAATAGCTGAAATTCAGGGCTATTTTTTGATACCTAAACGCGCATTGTAGCATAAGCCAGTGTCGAGAAAAACTCGTTCAAAGCTAGACTACGCAACGCTCTGCACCGTCATTATGGGGGTGAGGTACTATTACAGTATTTACGGTAGTTACTATTTCAATGATAACTTGATGAATATTCAAGAAGAAACAACTATTATATAGTTATTTGATAGCTCTGAATCTCCTCTTGAAAACTAGTACAAATTTACTGAGAACTTTCTACAAAACAAATAACAAAAGCTCTTAAAAACTTGAGTTAACACCAAATCGTTATTAGTACACCGGTGGACAGTATCTAGTGTAAGTACAGTACTTTGGCAGTACAGTACAGTACAATACAGTACAGTACAGTGCAGTACTTTAACAATACAGTACAGTCGTGTCGTCTTTAATGTGTTAACTATTGTTGTTAATAAAATTGACAGGCTTTTGAAAAGCGGTAAAAGTCGCCGTACAGATACCCTGCACTGTACTGTACTGTACTGTACTGGACAGATACCCTTTTTATTCTGGAAGCTAGTTTTTGGCAGGCCTACTATAATTATAAAGAACAAAAAATATAAAAATTAGAACGCTGCTTTTCAACGATAGCTTTTCAATAGTTTTTCTTTTACTAAAACTTTGTCCAGTCGGTTTTCTCGTGGCCGCTCAATTCGCACTAGTGTTCGGGTGTCAGTCGGCGAGTTTGCGACTTCACTCACCGCTTTTGGCCTCGATTTTACGGTAAGCCAAAACAAAAAACAATATAACTATGCTATTTGAGTCTAAAATATAGATTTCCTTTAGGTCACCAATGTCTTTCTTTGACATGACACCAGTTGGACGGATCGTCAATCGATTATCTAGGGTAAGTACAGTACTTTAGCAGTACAGTACAGTACAATACAGTACAATACAGTACAGTACTTTAGCAGTAGAGTACAATACAATACAGTACTTTAGCAGTACAGTACAATACAATACAGTACAATACAGTACAGTACTTTAGCAGTACAGTACAGTACAATACAGTACTTTAGCAGTACAGTGCAATACAGTACAGTACTTTAGCAGTACAATACAATACAGTACAATACAGTGCAATCCTTTAGCAGTACAGTACAGCACAGTACAGTACTTTAGCAGTACAATACAGTACAATACAGTACAGTACTTTAGCAGTACAGTACAGTGCAATACAATACAGTAAAATACAGTACAGTACTTTAGTAGTACAGCACAGCACATTACTTTAGCCTTGTCTCTCCTCAAGTAATGCCCAGCTTTAATAGCTGAATATTTTGAATGCTTTATGCTTATGCTTATAGGTTACTTTGAAGATATTCAGTTATTGGGAAGAGCTCGCTTTGTGATAAAAATACATTCTGTTACACGAAAATCCTAGGACCTCGAAGTAATCGATTCCCTATTGCCCACCAACATTGGATCAGCCACGAATTGTGCTATGCAAGTGGGGAAAGAACACGTAACAAAAACTCATAAATTCACAACTTCAGGTGCTCTTGGTTTTAATCATGATCTCCATCTCGACACCGCTCTTTTTGGCCACAATAATCCCACTGGGGCTGCTTTATGTCATCATTTTGGTGAGTAATCGATCAACCTTTACAACTAGTGTACTCAATCCGGTACCCCAGAAAGTGTTGTGTTTTCATTGTTGAGCACAAAGTACTCTCAGTCTCCAGCTTAGTTACGGCAAAGTCCTGCATAGCACAAGACTTACTTGAATTAGACAAGACAAGACATCAATTATATGAATAATATAGATTATATTGGACAAGTAAGTCTTGTGCTATGCAAAATTCACATTTATAGTCTTAATTTGTAGCGTTACTTTATCGGTTGTGCTCGTCAATTCAAGAGAATCGAGAGCGCCCAGCGATCGCCGATCATCTCGTTATTCGGCGAGACAGCACAGGGAGCCTCAACTATTCGAGCATACAAAAAGGTATCTAGTGGGTAAATTATCCACAAAATATTGGGTAACTTGTCCACGAAATATTGGGTAATTTATCGACAAACTAGTGGGCAACTTGTCCACAAAATAGTAGGCAACTTATCCACAAAATGGTAGACAACTTGTCCACAAAATAGTGGGCAACCTATCCACAAAATGGTAGGCAACTTGTCCACGAAATATTGGGTAACTTATCCACAAAATAGTAGGCAACCTATCCACAAAATAGTGCGCAACTTATCCATTATTATCAGGTGGACGCCTCATGTCTCTCTTTCACCACTCATGTCGACCGGTTTGCTCGCTGTAAATTTTGCACCTTTTCGGGGAATCGATGGATTGGATTACGGTAAAGCCTCTCATCAGATAATAGGCCCGATCTGTTACCGTAAACCCTGTAATCTGATATATGTATGCTAATTTTAGCCTTGAACTCCTCGGGAATTCGGTTTCCCTGATCGCTTCAGTGCTGGGTATCATCTCGACAAGAATTTGGGATCTCTCGCCAGCAATGGTCGGCCTCTCGATCTCTTATGCGTTGACGGTTTGTTAGACTTATGATATTATCCAGGATTCGAAGTTAAGCCTAATTCCTAATCGTGCATTTCCAGATCACTGACATGCTCTACTTTGGCGTTCGTTGTATGACTGAATTGGAGACTTACATCGTGTCAGTGGAACGAGTGCAAGAGTATTCAAAGCTACCAGCTGAGGTAAGGCTTTTGTTTCCAGAAATCCAATCTAAATACCAGTAGAGAGTAATGATTGTTGTAATCTAAATGATTGTTGTAATCTAAATGATTTTCGGTGAATTTAGCGAGAATGGCACTCCCCAATGCCACCACCGGAAACCTGGCCGGATAAGGGGAAAATCGAGTGGAGACATTATAGTACAAGATATCGGTATTTACTTTATTTATTTATTTAATGAGTTTTTGATTTCATATTGTACTCTTGAATATGTCATTTTCTTAGAAATGATCTCCCTTTGGTTGTCAAAGAGCTGTCGGCAAAGATGAGAAGCGGAGAAAAAGTGGCGATTATCGGGAGAACTGGATCGGGTTTGTGGAAAAAAAACAACAACAACATTTTAATTGAATAGCTGAATACCTTGACTACGCCAGTTACTTTAAGACTCAACAAATTTATTCGAATTTCTCTAAAAAAGTTTAGATCAATTGCTATCAATGAATAGCTCGATTGGTGAATTATTTTTGCCATTTTTTGCCTTTAATTTGACTGTATTTTGTAACAAATTCTATATCCAATTTGCTACTTAAACAACAGTCAAATTGAGAGAACAAGGCGATCTGGCTTTCGGATAAAAGTAGAGACAGACAGACAGACAGACAGACAGACAGATAGACAGACAGATAGATAGACAGACAGATAGATAGATAGACAGACAGACAGACAGACAGACAGACAGACAGACAGACAGACAGACAGACAGACAGACAAGATTACGGTAGTCGAGAAAGTTGGCATTTTTTCGAAAGCAGCATACTTTTGTTTGAACAAATTGGATTTATTTGATCTACTACAGGCAATTGTTATTACAATTTTGCATTTTAGCCAACAGTAACTATTCCACCAATTCCCTGTTTAGGCAAAAGCTCTCTAACTCTTGCTCTCTATCGAATGATTGAGGGAGACGCGGGCAGGATTTTCATTGACGGAATTGACATCTCAACAATTGGATTGCACGATTTACGAAAGAAATTGACGATCATTCCACAAGTGTGAAAATGTTTTTTTTCTTCCTACAAAAACCCTTTCTAGGAACCAGTTCTTTTCTCTGGCACAATTCGCTTTAATTTGGATCCCTTTGATCAGCACAGCGATGAAGAGATTTGGAATGCTTTAGAAGTTTTCATTTCTCAAATTTCTTTTGAGAAACCTTTTTAGGCATGTCAACTAAAGCCGTATATCGCGGCACTGAATGGAGAACTTGAGTATAATATAACAGAGGGTGGACAAAATATGAGGTTTGGTTTAAACTGATGCTTTGTGCTTGAAAAAAATGTAAATACATCTTTTCTGGCAAACTCAATGTAGGCAGTAGGTGGGTATAATTAAGAGTTGAGTGCAGCAGAAAGGGTAAATGCAGCAGTTTTTCTAGATTTGAGCGCAAAATTCCTTTCAGTGTCGGGCAACGGCAGCTCGTTTGTCTTGGAAGAGCCTTGTTGCAAAAGGGGAAGATTCTCATCCTTGATGAAGTGAGTTTAAGAAAAAAAAAAAACGATGAAAAACTGTAGTACTTCCCAAACCATAAGCATTATAATCTCTGTATAGGTAGGTGCTGTAGTCCTTACAAAGCTAAGTACCGTAACTCTTGTAAGGATAAGTACCGTAATCCCTACAAAGATAGGTACCGTAGTTCCTTGGAGCTTCGTTAAAAGATTTTCGCACGCTTTGTCTCATGTGTATTGAATAAACTTGGTTTCGTTATTGATTCAAGCGAAAGTGCACAGGTCTAGCCACGTCTAGTGAATTCAGGGAAAAGTACATTAGTATTGGGTTGGTGAATTGAAAACTGCGGGACTTTGAACTAAAATTTATTCAACATAAAACCATGAATTCATTCCAAATAATTTCCATTATTATTGACGACTTCTGCCCATTTTACAGGCAATTTGCGGATTCCTCTTTCGTGATAGGATCTTGGTTTGTGTGTGAGACAAGTGTGAGACTCAAAAATCGAGGACTGGAGAATGGAGACAAAAATGGAGAACCAGTTTGAGCACTTTCTTTAAAAGGAACTCATTTTGGTGTCAATGGAAAAGTTGTAGAGAATCAAAAATCAAGCTTATATCCAAATTTTTAGAACGATTCAAAAACTGGCTTTCAAGAAATGCGAAATTTGCGAATTTTCACAAAACTTGCATTTTAAGCGAAACTACTAAGTGTATCTTTTTGGAAATTTGGATATAATCTTGACTTTTGATTCTCTACAACTTTTCTATTGACATCAAAATGGGTTTCTTTTGAAGAAAGTGCTCAAACTGCGAGATATGACAATAGCCGGCGGTTTTCGATTCACCAAGCCAATAGATTGAGAATAGCCTTGATTTGCGGGGAAGTCAATGTCGAATTTGAGGATTCGGAGCCGGCCAGAAGAGATTGGAGGCCAGAGAGGGAAGGGGGTTATGTAAAGGCCCTGCGCCAGACGACGAGCGATTACGCGGCCGCACAAAGAACACACAGGGCACACAAATTTTAAGCGAAACTACTAAGTGTATCTTTTTGGAAATTTGGCTATAAGCTTGATTTTTGATTCTCTACAACTTTTCCATTGACACCAAAATGGGTTTCTTTTGAAGCAAGTGCTCAAACTGTCACATATGACAATATGACAATAGTCCGCAGTTTTCAATTCACCAACCCAAGATTTAAAATTTTCAGGCAACAGCAGCTTGCGATGCTCAAACGGACGCGTGTGTGCAACGGGTGATTCGCACAGATTTCGCCGAGTCGACTGTGATCGCCATTGCACACCGATTGAATACAATTGCTGACTATGACAGGTTCACGTTTTGGATTGGTGATGGTACTTGTGTTTATTTTCGCACTGTTGGTGAAACTTGCGACCTTTTTGCGAGAAAATTCTGGGTTTGGGCTTTAAAGCGTGGGAAAACTACCGTACCCCTTCTAGTTGACAAAGAAAGCGGTCAATTTCATTTTTTGGGGGTGGGACAAATGCGACCTTTTTTTTTGCACACCTGGACATTTGCGCACCTTTTTTTGCTGGAAAAGGCTTTAGGCAAGGCCGTAGAGCTTCAAAAATATTTCCATATAAGGGAATCGTATGCGTAGATTCAGAATTTTGACAAATTAGACCTCGCTGACACGTCAAATTTGGGCTAAAAGGCAAAAACTGCGGAAAAGGGTTAAGTTGCGTAGTTTTTGCCTTTTAGCCCAAATTTGACGTGTCAGCGAGGTCTAATTTGTCAAAATTCTGAATCTACGCATACGATTCCCTTATATGGAAATATTTTTGAAGCTCTACGACCTTTCTTAAGGCCTTTTCCAGCAAAAAAAAGGTCGCATTTGTCCCACCCCCCATTTTTTCATTCTTTTTGCGTATTTCTGCACTTAAGCGTCCGCACACCGCCCATTTTGTTTTTATTTTTCAGTAATTATTCTGAAACAGCTAGACTGAATCAACAGTCTCTAGGTTTATAAAAAAAGATGTTTCTCTATTTTCTGCAATGAATTCGTCAAGTTTCATTTTTCTTTATTGTTAGTTTGTGAAATTACTTTTATAAGACGATCAAAAAATTGCGCTCCCCTTTTGCAAAGTTTCTCCGTTTTAATTGTACTTTCTTTCTTTCTTTCTTTCTTTTGATTCTTTCTGCAAACTCCTTCCACAAAGTTGTGTAATCATCATTCATAAAGAATACGAAGAAAACCACATCAAAAATAAGCAAAAAGAATTAAATTGCGCGCTTTCTTTTCTGTACGAATTTATGGGCCTATTTGAAATCAAAATTGTGCAAGGAAAACGATTCAATTCTAAAGTCGAGCTTTGGTTTTACATTAGAAAGATTTGGAGGATGATGAGATCAACGTCACCATGCCTTTCGAGAACCGCTCCGAAGCCTTCCAAGTCGCCCGCCAAGAAAAACAACGCAAGTACCAGACGGTGGCCCAGCACTTCGAAGCTCTCGGCTACTCGGTCATTCTCGACGCTTTCGTGGTTGGCCCGCTCGGTGGATGGGACCTCGACAACGACATCCTCCTCAAAAAGATGGGAGTCTCCTTCCGCTACGCTCGTCTCAGCTGATGAAGAAGCTGATGGTGTCGGATTCTTGATGAATTAATTGCATCGATGCCTACTCGTATTGAAGAAGTACTTTTGGCAAAAGGAGGAGCGACTAAACGTTGATTAAAGCTTAACTTTCGAGGGGTACGGTAGTTTTACCACACTTTAAAGCGTCAACTCAGGATTTTCTCGGCAAAAAAGGCGCAAGTGTTGGTGAATTGCATTATCAGTGCCGAAAGAAATCACAAGTAGACTGTAATGCATCTACTTGTGACTTGTGGCATCGGAGCTTTATCATTTTGCGTGCAAATTTTAGGCAATGCCGAAAAAAGTCACAAGAACCTTGGTTACTTTATGAAAACGCGTTTTGTTCAGTTTTACATTAGAAATTTTTCAGGATAATGGTGCTAGATTCGGGCCGTTTGAGCGAATTTGATTCACCGTATCGCCTCTTGAACAACCCCAACTCAATCTACACACAAATGGTGGCGAAAACAAAGAGGAATCACTGAATATCTTTTTGAGAGTATGCTTTGCTCGCTTTTATGTACTTTCTAAAAAGCGTCTATTCTAGAAAACTACCGTAATCATAATTGTTTTCATTTGATAAGCCCAATTTTTCTTGAAAGCAAATGGCTGATCGAATGAAAACTGGTGGTTTGATTATGATGGGTTTCTAAAATACCGTAAATACTGTAATAGTCTCCCAGCCCCGATAATGACGGTGCGGAGTGTTGCGTAGTCTAGCTTTGAACGAGTTTTTCTCGACACTGGTTTATGCTACAATGCGCGCTTAGGTATCAAAAAATAGCCCTGAATTTCAGCTATTTTTTGATACCTAAGCGCGCATTGTAGCTTAAACCAGTGTCGAGAAAAACGCGTTTAAAGCTAGACTACGCAACGCTCCGCACCGTCATTATCTTTGGTATCAAAAAATAGCTGAAATTCAGGGCTATTTTTTCGATACCAAAGCGCGCATTTTTTGAAAGTACGGGTCACATCGGCGCGAAAATGCGTTTTCTATCGGATTTTTCTGGGAGTACCTTTTTTAGATGCGGAAAATTGTGCTGATTCCGAATCTGAAGTTTAAAGATGTTATAGCTTTTTGTAGAGTTGAGCAAATTTGATGATTTTTGCATCAAAATGTTCGTAAGAGTCTCTAGAATAAAACTTATCCCTTCGTTTTTGCTTCTAGACCCTTGTTGTCGAGTTACGAGCCCCAAACTGCAGGGTACCACAAAATTTCCCATACAAAATGACCAAAAACCGCTAAAACTAAATTTAAAAAATTTCTGTCAGAGGGATTTGGAAAATTCCTTCAGATTCGGAATCAGCACAATTTTCCGCATCTAAAAAAGGTACTCCCAGAAAAATCCGATAGAAAACGCATTTTTGCCTTATTTCGCGCCGATGTGCGGGTGCTTTGAAAAAAATAAAATACTAAAAAACTTGCGACTTGCGACTACCCGACTGTACGAGGGGGTGGGGTACTATTACAGTATTTACGGTAGATGCTTTTTAGAAAAGCATTTAAGAGAAGCACACTTTAAATGTTTTTTTTTGACTTTTGGATAAACTTTTGGATAAACTTTGGGTTAAACTTTTGGATAAACTTTTGGTCAAACTTTTGGTCAAACTTTGGATAGAACATAAATCACACCGGCCAACATGATACTATAAAAAAGAGAAAGGGGGAAAAGAAAGAGTGAGACATTACACACTAAGACATCTGATGAGGCTTTTGGCCGCTTTGATGGATCGTTTCGATCGGGGCCATTCATTGGTCTTGACCTCAAATACCCTCAAATAACTTTTGCCTTTGAGTTTAACTTTTTAAAGATCTCTTACCAAATCAAAAGATCAAATAAGAGGTAACTCTCATTTGATCTTTTGATTTGGTATCATTTTGGATTTGATTTGGATCATTTTAAATTTTAAATTTAAAAACCAAATCTAACAGTGCTCCAAAAGTTAAAGAGCCTGAGCCTGAGTCTGAGCCTGAAACGGTAATGTGCTAATTTTCCTCTTGTAAATGATCGCCGTAAAAGTCACAAGTATTCAATGTTTTGTATTCCTAAACCGAGCGCATAAAAGAACCTAGGATATTTGAATCATTATTAAGCAATGTTTCGGCATGTTGCCTTTAGAAAACCTGCCAAGCAATGCTTTGAAGTACACAGCTATAGAAATTATAGAGTTCTAGAATTATAGAATTATAGAACTATAGAACTATAGAACTATAGAACTATAGAACTATAGAACTATAGAACTATAGAACTATAGAACTATAGAACTATAGAACTATAGAACTATAGAACTATAGAACTATAGAACTATAGAACTATAGAACTATAGAACTATAGAACTATAGAACTATAGAATTATAGAACTATAGAATTATAGAACTATAGAACTATAGAACTATAGAACTATAGAATTATAGAACTATAGAACTATAGAACTATAGAACTATAGAACTATAGAACTATAGAACTATAGAACAATTTATTTGATCAGAAAAGTGCAAATGACATCCTTAAAGCATTAAATCTTACCTTTATATCGAAATTGAAATCTCTTTCTTTTTGTTCATATGCTTTCCGATATCCTGTAAAGTCAATTTTAGAGTAAAATGCGTTGGCTGTGGCCTCTATTGGTCGCCATTGCCTTTGCCGATGAATGCACGAGGAGACCCTATGAAGCAAAAGGTTTCGAATATCTGAAAACGAAAATATATTAAAGTTTAAGGCGATAAACGATCGGGCAACAATGGATATGTGATTGAGGTGAATGGGATGACAGAGAATGCGAATAAGACCGAGGGATTGGTGCCCGGGGAAACGTATGTCGGTGAGTTGATTCGAGATCTCACAAAGGATCATCAATGAATCCAGCTAACCAAATGAAATGAGCCATAGACTTTTCGACGCAGAATTTCACGCTTCGAATATCTGATTCGTTGATGATGATGATTCTAAATCTAAATGATACTAAATCGAGCGCAATTTAGCAAAGAATTTTTTGATCTCTCTTTATAACGCGCGCAATACGTGAAAATAATCGCATGGTGTCAGCGAGCTTTAATTTTGATAGAAAAATATGTAGAGGAAATTGTAGAAGCTGATTAGTAGAATACCTTGATTTATTATGCTAGGTGATGTTAAACTATGCTTTGCTGGCCTGGCTGGCTTTGTTGATCGTTCTCACACATGTTAATTTGTGTTTAATCGTCTGCGTTATTTTGTTTGTTTTTTCCTGTTAAAGTTATTATGTCATAAATTTGTGAGATATAGCATAGGAGAGACTCGAAGCTATGAGAGACACCATAAAGTGTTTTAAAAAAACAAAAAAGGATTCGAATTCGTGCGCGAGTTGGAATCATGTAGTGAATTGGAATCATGTAATCACGCGAATTGGAATCGTGCGCGAATCATGTAGTTCATCGGTTTCCTAACCCACTATCCACTACACTACGCAGCCATTCTCACTGAATGCTCTTGCAAAGAAGCTTCTTGAAGCTCTTGAAGTGAGCAAAGAGGCTTCAAGAAGCAAAGAAGTTTCAAGAAGCAAAGAAGCTTCAAGAAGCAAAGCAGTTTCTTGAAGCCTCTTTGCTCACTTTATTGATCTCTTGAATGCTCTTGAAGCTTCTTGAAGCCTCTTAAAACGCACTCTTTCTTGCGCACTCGACTCTTCGTTTTTCTCGTAGCAATCGTATGCTATTGTGGGAGGAATTCAGTGCACCAGGAAGGATGTGTTTCCATTTTGATCAAAGTACAGATAACAATAACTTTCAGTGACAATAAGAGGCTGGAGAACCGAGTTCACGGCACAAACGTTTCGCGGTTTCGTCCTCACCGCTCACACAGAGCAAGAGAAACCAGCTGGCGGGTTTGAGGTTGGTAATCACGTGCCTGATACATCCAACAAATAGTTACTAACTACGAATTTGCAAGATTAGACTCCAATGGGGAAAAGTGATGTCCGACAAGCGCCTGGTTGTCGAAATGCCGGTGTATCGCACGCGAATTTGAGGCCGAAGACGGAGGTGTCGGTGAAATGGAGAGCGCCTGAGGTACATCACAAAAACATCACAAAAATTAAGTTCTTCTCGGAGATTCGGGTCTTTTCATTATAAAAAGCTATCATATTTGATTCTCTCAAGACTTTTCTTGGGACAAAACGGTTGAAATAAACTTCTCGGACTCTGCCAACTTAGTTTCCGAATTGGAGCACAAATTTTAAACATTAAACCTCATTTGGGAATCGTTTACAAGATTTTACCTCAAATTTGGCTGTATTTTTGATATAAATTCTAAATTCTGCTCAAATAAAACTATCTGAAATACCCAATACTCAAGCCGAAATGCTATGAAAATATTTCAAAATCAAAAAGACTTGAATTTCCAAGAAGAACCTAAAATTATGCTGGACTATGCTACAAGTTAGTAAAATAAAGTAATACTACAAAATTTTTAGATGTCAAGTGGTTGTGTTCTCTTCCGAGCCTCAGTCATTGAGTCCAAATACATCTGGTATTCCGATGAGAGTCAATTGACGAAGAAACTCTGTCTACAAGGTAAAAGAGTAGTTTACTAACGTTTAAAACTAAAGTACATTTTCTAAAAGGTGGAGAATTTGGTCAACTATTGTAATCTTTTCTTCAGATTTTGCCCGTTCTATTTAATTTCAATTTACAGCTTGATTCCTCATTGAATGAGGTTAACCGGACAAAAGCCTACGGTAGTTTATCAATTGGAAAGCTGACGATAGAGTAATTGGAAAGCTGACGGTTGTTTAGCATTTGGAAAGCTAAAGGTAGAGTAATTGGAAAGCTGACGGTAGAGCAATTGGAAAGCTGAAGGTAGAGCAATTGGCAAGCTGAAGGTAGAGTAATTGGAAAGCTGAAGGTAGAGCAATTGGAAAGCTGAAGGTAGAGCAATTGGCAAGCTGAAGGTAGAGTAATTGGAAAGCTGAAGGTAGAGCAATTGGAAAGCTGAAGGTAGAGCAATTGGCAAGCTGAAGGTAGAGTAATTGGAAAGCTGACGGTAGAGCAATTGGAAAGCTGGCGGTAGAGCAATTGGAAAGCTGAAGGTAGAGCAATTGGAAAGCTGAAGGTAGAGCAATTGGAAAGCTGAAGGTAGAGTAATTGGAAAGCTGAAGGTAGAGCAATTGGAAAGCTGACGGTTGTCTAGCAATTGGAAATCTTACGGTAGTTTAGCAAATTTTTCATCTTTTATATCACTCTATTTACTGAATTATATTGGTTTCTAAAGTATTCCGTTATTTTTTTCAAGATGGCTACCAAAAAGTGGTGCCCGTCGACGAGGTGACGGCCGAGTGTTGCGCCTGTGATCAGGCCAAGTATCAGCTGGAGTTCATCGGATTGTGGAGCAAAGAGACACATCCAAAGGATTTCCCCACACGTTTGTTTTTATATCGCTTTTTGTGTGAGATTTTGAGAAAATAATTCAATTTAGTGGAACATTTGACCCATTTCACGGACATGTTGGGCGCATCGCACTCCTCGAATTACTCACTATGGAAATTTGGGGGTAAAAGTGTTTGAACTTTTGTAAAAGTGTAACTTTTACAAAATACAGCACACCAAGTAGAGCTATTTATTTGTCGCTTTGATTATCAATGGGTGTACAACGGAAAAATGGGATTTGATTACTTTAACAGCTACTTTTTCAGGATTTCTCGCTATAGGTTGAATTTTCGGTTACCACTCATTTCGCCAAAATCTTACTTCCTCTAAAATTGTTCAATGCTAGTTTTTTCTACTAGATTTTGTGCATGTAAAGAATAGAGGCATGCGATTTAGACCAGAGACAATCTCTGAGACAATCTCTGAGACAATCTCTGAGACAATCCCTGAATTTTCCAAGCTTTTGCCATTCCAAGCCATTCAAACCTTTTCCTTTCAAACCAATCAAACCGAAATGAACAAGTCTAACACCAAGTATCAAAATGTTCAAATATCTTTTGCAAAACAATTCTGAAAAAGTCATTGAAGTGATCAAATCTCGTTTTTCTCTTGTACACCTATTGGCAATCAAATCGAAATGAACAAGTCTAACACCAAGTATCGCCGTCTAACACCAATGTTCAAATATATTTAATTACAACAAAGAAAATAACAAAATTCTATCAGCAAAAGCTTTAGAAATCTCCTCAGACGGAATGAAAGAAATCGCTGAATGGGGAAACACGTATCAAGCTGAGAAAGAAGCAAAAGAAAAGGTTTGAATGGATAAAATGAACGCATTTCACTTCAAGGCTATCGGTCTTGAAAGCAAAGACCGTGCCTATGATAATTTTCAAAACCTGTACCCATTTCGTAAAAGTTTTGTCAGAAGTTGTCAGCATTAAACGTTTCCTTCAGTCGCTTACTTCCAGGCTAGCGAGGTGCGCACGTTGATGAAATTGAAAGGATTGTGGTATCCAGAGGTGCAAGGAAGAACAAATACGACTTTTATCACCAACAAGTACCACCATTTCGCTTCACTCGCCACTATGTTTGGACCATCGCCGGATTGGTGAGTGAAAGAGAAATGGCTTGGACTTTGAATGAGTTGGCTTTAGCAAGTGCCTTGTAGGAATGCTCCAGGCTTTTAAGCTCTAAGGCTTTTTAAGTCAAGTCCAAGTCTGACTTCTGACGGACTCAGAGACTTGTAAGAGCTCAGAGAAGTCAGAAGTCAGAAAAAAAGTCAAAGCCAGTTTGACTAGTGGATCAATTTGATTGTAAGCTTTCCTTGGATCTAATCTACGATCATCATCTAACTTCTAGGTGTGTCGGCTTATCGTCAATCAATTTGTGCCTTCCCGATTGCACGTGGGTGCCGGAGCGATCGTTCGATCTTCAGCCCTGGGATGCCGGTACTGATGATGGACCGACTTATATGGTACTGAGACTTTTGAGGCTTATCTAACCAAATTTCTGAATTCTGAATAACCTTGATCTCATCACCTGTATACTGAAAAGTGATCGAATTATTCAGCACTCAGCTTTGCGGTGCTTGCTATAGTCACTCTTGCAATTTTAGAGTCCAAATTTTAGAGTCCAAACAGCCCGGCCGAGCCTCGACACCGGATCGTTGCGATTACGACGAAAAGTTGGAACTTACTGGGTGAAATGCATAATCTCTTTTTCAGCGGATCCTCGAAATCCTTTCTATGACGCAAGCACTGATGTGATTCCGCCGCTTGCCAGAATTGTGATCAAACGGATTGAAGTGAGCTCTGATCATGGGAATATTAGGTTGGCAAGTTATAAACGATCGTTTTTGGGTAATGTGTTTTCTGAAAAAACTGCTTATCCAATCAAAAAACGGTTTGCTTGATTCAAAAGCCCCAGCCTTAATCTAAAAACAAAATGGCTTTTTTGAATTTTTGAAAAATCTTTTATTTTAGAACTTTTTCAGGCATTTTAATGTAAGAGTTGAAAATCCTGGTTTCTAGCATTCATGAGCTAATAGATTTTTGAGCTATTTTTGAGTGATTGCATACTTTTTAAAATAAAACGCTTTCATCGATTATATAGTTTCCCAAAATTTCAGAACAATCCAATCTTCGGAAGGTTGATTTTCAAATTAGGCTCAAAATGCACTTTTGTGCTAATTTAATCCATTTTCGTTTGAATTTAAGCAAGATTAAAAAATTTTTAAAAAAAGATTAAAAGAGAACGGTTCGATCGATTGGATTGTTCTGAAATTTTCTTCTAACCAATGGACCAATCTTTATGATTTTGGTTTCATTTTGTAGATCTCAATAAGTGCAACAGAATGAAACCAAAATCATAAAAATTGACCCACTTAGAAGAAAGTTATAGCGAGTTGCGCAAATGGCCCTGTTGCACAAAAAAAATTGCGGAAATTAGGCTATCCCAAAAAAATACCGTAAAAGCTCTAATAGAAGAGTCCCCCTAGAGGAGCGTAATCGCGTAGTCTAAATTTACACTCAAAAAACCGCTCATATCTCGGCGCCCAGACATTTGTTTCTGCGCGCTTGGGCATCAAATTGAAGTAGAGAGGATGGGTGATTTTTTTGAAATATAAGACATTTTTAGCGTTAACCAGCGCTTCGAGCAAAATAATGAAAAATACAAAATCGGTTTTTTTTTGCCTACATTTTGCATACTTTGGGATCACTTAAAACAGAATTTGGTGTCAAGAAAAGCTTAGTTAACCTCTTTTTGAGCGCTTTTTCGTTTTTTTGACATTTTCTCATCTGTCAAATGTTCTCATTGTTCTAAACGGCTCCAAAAAATTCAGCTAATTTTTTCTACATTCAATGAAAATAAGAAACACAAATAAACTTAACCGCAAGCGCTTCGGAAGGTTGATCTTCGGAAGGTTGATCTTCGGAAGGTTGATCTTCGGAAGGTTGATCTTCGGAAGGTTGATCTTCGGAAGGTTGATCTTCGGAAGGTTGATCTTCGGAAGGTTGATTGATCTTCGGAAGGAAGGTTGATTTTCAAATTAGGCTCAAAATGCACTTTTGTGCTAATTTAATCGATTTTCGTTTGAATTTAAACAAGGTTTTAAAAAAAGATTAAAAGAAAGAGAACGGTTCGATCGATTGGATTGTTCTGAAATTTTGGGAAACTATGTAATCGATGAAGCGTTTTATTTTTAAAAGTATGCAATCACTCAAAAATAGCTCAAAAATCTATTAGCTCATGAATGCTAGAAATCAGGATTTTCAACTCTTACATTAAAATGCCTGAAAAAGTTCTAAAATAAAAGATTTTTCAAAAATTCAAAAAAGTCATTTTGTAGATTAAGGATAGGGCTTTTGAATCAAGCAAACCGTTTTTTGATTGGATAAGCCGTTTTTTCAGAAAACACATTACCAAAAAACGATCGTCTATAACTTGCCAACCTAATAATCCAATTATTACAATCACTAGTATCTACACGAATTGTTTTTTATTTCAAAAAGAAAGACTTTCAAAGAAAAAGAAAGACTTTTCCAGTACTCAACTCGATTTAGGTGACGCCATCTTCATGTCGAAAAGATGAGGATTACAAGCGAGAGGCTTTCAACGCGACGAACACCTCGGAAGACGACGTCTACAAGGATCGAAGTGGGGAAATTTTGCATAGCAAAGACTGTAGCATTAACTAAATATGAAAGCTAATTAGATCAAAGATACTTACAACGATACTTGTTAGTCAGTCTCACGTCTCACAGTAATTTGCGACAGTACAGTAACTTTCTCCAAACATTGCATCGGATAGCTCCAGCTCTAACATGTGTCTGGGCTAGGGCTTTTGGTTCTGGTTAATCCGGTTACTAAAAATTCACTAGTAAATCTTGAAAATATAAAGAATATCAAGCCGAATCCTCTAGGAGAGTGCATGATGTCCGAGTGGGAACCGTGGTCACTTTGCTCGGCCACATGCGGAAAAGGGATCCGAATGAGAAGTCGAGTCTTTCGCTTTCCCGTCAAAGCACAGGCAAGTTTCACAAAAATTGTGAAAATCCACACAAAATTTAGATTTTTGCTGATCTATTCCATTTAGATGTTCAACTGTCACCGCCAAACCACCGAGCGACAGTTCTGCAACGCGAAGATCAACGAGTGTGCGGGTAAGCGTTAGACATGAGAAAATTTCAACCCGAACCTATTTCCAACTTCGTTTTCTTGGTCGATTGCTCTGAAATTTTGTCTACAGATAGAAATCGACATTTTCAGCTTGCAGACAAAATTTCAGAACAATAGGTCAAGAAACGGCCGAGAAAACGATGGTGAAATTAGGCTTGGGTTCGAATTTTCCCATGTCTAGTAAGCGTCGTACTTGACCACTTGATGTTCAAACATTTCAAACATTTCAAACATTTACAGACTCTGAACTCTTCAACTCAAAATGCGCTGTCGGTTCGTGGCAAGGGTGGACGGAATGCTCGGAGACTTGTGGACATGGAATACGGTAGACTTTAGGGTACTTGCTTATACTCTGTACACCAGTTACAGCACCCCAACATGATACCCCTACAATTACAGTCTAAACCAGTGCATCAGCAGATAGTTTGACACATTTTTTTGGCAGTTTGGCACAGCAGCTGCAAGTCACAGTACGCAACTACAGCACCAACAAGTGATTGCGGTCTTGTAACCTATAAGTACCGATTTTAGAGTGCTATAATATACATAAGCGAGCAAAAGTCTTGCAAGACTTTTGCTCGTTTTTGTATGCCTACATCATGGAAAAACTCGTTGGCTTAGCCTAGTCTGGTTTAATTTTAAATATTTGACGTATGCCCAAGTACACTATTGAATTCAGCACTCGCAAAAGGGCCTACATCGATTCGAGCACCAATCATGAGGAGTGCAAGGTCGAACTGGAGAAACAAGAGATTTGTGTAGGTTAGTGAGCTTTAGCTTTTGCAGCTTTTACAGCTTTTGCATTCTAGAGATCTATTCTATAACTAGTTTTTTTTTAAAATTTACTTATCCACATTTGCCAGGAGAACACGGCGAGGACTGTTCGGTGACCCCAGATCCCCTATGTCGAACGACTTCATGGAGTGACTGGTCGCCCTGTTCGGCGAGCTGTGATCAAGGGGTGAAAGTCAGGTGAGTAGTTAAAGAGATCAATAGAAAAACTGAAAAATCGTTCAAGAACTCGTTTATTCTTCTATGCTGAACACGAGGCTCGATGCTCGAATATCAAATTGATGGAGAAAGAGAATTGCGTTTTGCAGAGTTGCAAGAGACTCATTGAGGCTCATTCGGAGGGTTTGGTTTTTCGAGTGTTAGATTACGGTAGCTTGCGAAAGTGTTCACGTTTTAGAAACCGTGTTTTAGAAATTATTCGAACGAATGACTTTCAGAGATTTGTGCTCAACCAAAAGAAGAGGGACAATGCAAAGGAGCGTTTCCAAGATATTGGTTCAATTCGGAGAATAAACGATGCGAAAGATTTATTTACAGTGGATGCAAAGGGAATGAGTGGGTTTAGTGACGCTGACAGTATGCAATGCTGACATTATATGCTGACAGTATGCAATGCTGACATTATGTGCTGACAGTATGCAATGCTGACATTATATGCTGACAGTATGCAATGCTGACATTATGTGCTGATAGTATGCAATGCTGACATTATGTGCTGACAGTATGCAATGCTGACATTATGTGCTGACAGTATGCAATGCTTAAGAATTGCTATGATATTTAGGCATTAGACAACGGTATTTTGTAGTAAAAAGCAGTGCCATTTCTAGAAACCAATTTAATACTGAGGATGAATGCCGACGAGCTTGCATTCCTGGCTACGAAGTGCATCGAGCACATGGTTTGTGCAAAAACAATTCGAATACAGAAAGTAAATCTAGTACCGAATCATCAACTCGTCAATGAATTTGGTGGTGAAGAGATCAACGATGGAGGAGAGAAAGTGATTTGATAAAAGAAACAATAAAGAACAAGTTTTCAGGTGAATTGTGAGATGACCGAGTGGAGCCCTTGGGGTGCATGTTCAGCAACATGTGGAAGAGGGAAAAGAACGAGGAGCCGAAATGTCAAGGTTTATAGAAAAGCTGTTGAAGATGAGAAATGAAGTGCAAATTCTAGATCTTCCCAAGAAATGGCGGAATCTCTTGCCCGGAGCACATCATTCAGGAGCACACATGCCATTTGAGGCCATGTCGTGGGTTTTGCAATTTTACATTTCCTCTTACAAACGTCAAGTACAATCATATCCCAATGCTCTTATTTATAATTCAAAATGATGAGAGACATAATGCGAAAGAATCTATTCTTCTTTGTGGAGCTTGAATGGAATTTGCTTCTTGGCGATGATTCCGTTTTCCTCATCGATCCATTGAGTTACCATCTTTGAAATCGATTCTCCCTTGAGATGTCCGGCTTTCACCCCAATCCATTCGACCGCCAATTCACCCTAAAATTAAAAATTTTCTTTAGACGCAAGTCAAAGCATTTAACCTCAGCTGGAGATTCCTTGTTGAAAGTGATCATAAACACGCTCAATGCCTTTCCACTTAAAACCTAAACAAATCAATACAATTCGCACATACTTATAACTTTAAAAGACACTCACCAACTCCGAAGGCACAATTTGAATCGTATCGGCGGGTCCCTTCACGCGTACGAGAATTGGTTTCTCCTCATCATTCTTCACTTCCAACGACACAGGCTTTCCCAGCTCCATCTCGATCTGTTCGGGATTCACCAGCAATTGTGATGGAATGCAATCTTCTAAAAGCAACAATAATTCTAAAAACAAAAATCAATTAAACCTGATCCGCGTCGCAAGAAGGCGCTATCCAATGTCTCAGCTGGCCCATAGTTGGTCTTTTTTGCCACCTCTTTCTAAAATTGTTTTACTAAAATAAATTACAAAAAATAAAACCTCATCCTGCTTCCAGTACGTCTTGTCATCGATTTTGAGTGCAAGAGGGAAAATCTCGGGATATGTGTTCTTGGGATGAAGAATAGAGTAGTGAGATTTCTGAAAAAAAAGTAAATTTGTAAAAATCGATTCTCCACGTACCATTTCCCATTCCTGACCATTTATCAATGTCGTCATTGTTACCGATGTGATTTTCTCAATCCATTCGGAACGTTTCGGAGTAACTAAATCAAAGTTAAAGATCACATCTATCGGAAGTTTCTACCGTGGCCCGTATGGATTATTTGATTCTCCAGTGGAGCCACTTCAATTTGAGTAGAGATAGGTAGCATTGTTGGCAGAGGCTAAAAAGTAAGAAGTTAATAGCTCTGCTATGTATTACCAACCTCTTTGTTCTGGACTGCTTCTTCGACCATTTTTTCAATTGTCTCCTTGGGGCCAACTAATGGCTGAGCAATCTGAGGACGCTACAAAATTTAAAAGTAAAAAATAACTTTGAAAGCGTTACTTTTGAATTTGGCTCCACAAAAATGTTGCTTGTATCCTTTGACCAATTATCCGGTGGAACCACTTCTGACGACTTGTTCATCACTTTTGTTCCCGTTGAAGGTGCATGAATACCATCGCTGAGGTTATTCTAAGCGCAAAGAATAATAATTTTTAGAAATCAATTGGTACAAATTTTGGAGTTAATTCATACCAGCGGGTAAGCCCGCCTTACTGCGAGCTGCACCCGCTGAAAGTTTGGACCGATTCAGGGCCGCCTGCTTTGCCTAAACCCTCAGAAAAGTTATAGTGGGCTTAAGCCGCTTGAAATCTTAAAGATTTACACTTTAGAAACCCACAAAACGATATCTAAACCTACCCCTTAACCCCCAAAATTTGCATTTCAGCGCAGTTTACATTTCGACAAAATTTGCCTTTAAGCCGAAGCTTGACAGAAGAATGCGTTAATTTTTCATTCTTTCCCTTTGTTACCGCTTGGGATGGTGAGTTCTCCCACCTCGGGGAAACAGTGGCAGACACACAGACACACGCAGGTTTCGGAATTATATATAGTATAGATACCTCGGAGACGATGTTTGGTCCGGGTTGCTCGGTTGGCGATTGGATGGGCGATAGTTGCTGCGGTTGAGTTGATTGTCCATTTGGTGCTGGAGGGTTTGAGTGACGACGGAGTGCACTCTGAAGATAATTCATTATACCTTCGATATAAAATTTGACATACCTCCAGATTTGGAGCATCATAACCCGAGACTGGAGTCGAATGAAGTGGAAGGTTGCTCACGTTGTCCAAAATGAGATTTGAGAGTCCTAAAGAACTCGAAGAGAGCTGTTCAAAGCGAGGGGCATTCGTTGAAGAATTTGAGCTTGAATCAGGCAGGCCGTTACCACTAAACAATTACTGTTGAGCGAACATAGAGACAATAAGTATTACCTTAGTTCAGGCGTAGTGGAGAAGTCCAAGAATCGAGTAGGCACTTGTTGTTTCGTCGTTGCAGTAGCTGAAGAGGCATCACACCCAGATTCAGGCTCTGTGCTATGGAGTTGATGGGGTTGGCAAGAGGGTTCATGGCACGTCGCTTGCAAAACGGGAGAGCTAAAGAAAAGTGCAGAAGGAGTGCGAAAAAATGCAGTTGTCGAAAGATGCCTAAAGTTATAACATTGCAAAGAGAACAACTCTAAAACGCACATGTCGAGTGATTCCTTGGTATGAGCGCTCTCAAAAGTTGCATCGACGACTGAGGGATCATTTTGCATCATAGACTAAATGTAAATCGTCATAAAGTAATCATAACTCGAAAACTGACCACGCGCACAATTTGCAACTCGGGGGCTGTTTCTTTGCTTGTCGCTGAGTCAACCAAGGATTGAACGCCTCCTTGATCTGATTCTAAGGGTGAGCATGAGATGCGCGATAGAGCAAAGTGATATTTACTTTCATCACTTGCACGTGATGATGAAGGTGATGAAATACTTCTTTTGCGACTAAAAGAACTAAATATTGGTGTAAGATCAAACGGACTACCTTGAGTCAATCGAATGGGCGGTAGCAGCTGGTTTAGAGCGAGATGGAGATGATTGGCAGTCGATGATTCGCTCCTTGTTTGCCGAATGATCCCAACATGACTAAACAAGTTAAAAGCTAATGAATAACATCTTAAATTATTACCGTTGTGTAATCAAGAATGTTGAGCTCTTGTGAGTTGTCGTGAAGGGTTTCTCGGGGATTTTTCTCCGAATAAGCGCGACGGTGAACCAGCTTGGAGCCCTGAACTTGAAAATCTTTCAAATTGCACAAAAAAAAACGCCCACCATTTTGTTTGACAACCACACGTCATTGATTGGCACATTCAAAGTTCGACAAATGTCCACAAAGTTTTTTCCTACGATCACACTTTCAGCAATAGTCAATTTATCGTGAAGGTCGGGCTGGTCGTTTTGAGGAATGCGTTGCCTAAAGAAGAATAAAATTAATTTAAACCCAAAAATTAGTTTCTGACCATTTAAGTTGTTTAACAGTCCCATCTTGATTCTGTGACATTCCCTCATCTGACAATAGACGGTCGACGTCTGCGGGGTTTTCCGAGAAAAACACGACGAGACGTTCCTAAAATTCAATGGAACTAGAGCATTACGGAAAAATTTTTACCCCTTTTTGAAACGAATTAGCCGTCTTGATCGTTTGTTGATGTTCGGTGACACCAATCTTGTCGCCACTAAACATAATTTATCAAATGTCCAGTTGGTAATCAAACCTATCCCCAAAGAATCCATTACATAAATGTCGATGTGCTCGACGAGTGTCCAACGAATAACATTCTCCGCCAAGTCCTTTCTAAAAATTCTCTTAAAGCTTGCTTCAAATTAAATGAAACCTTCAGTGTAAAGGTTCGCTCAAAAACAACGGCTTTCTTATGGATGAAGGCGTACAGGCGGCTATCCTCATACCGATCATCAGATGTTTGGTGCAAAAGGACTGGATCCTAAAAAAGATATCAAACTGCAACCACAAAAATTATTTTACCTCTTCATAAGCATCTGCAATAAAATCGGCGACTTTTTTGGTGTGGATGTCTCCAGATACAATCGCGGAAGCCATTCGAATTTGTATTTCTTCCGTTGGCGTAGCCATGTACACATCTTGCATTGTTCGGACCTAAACAATAATATCATAAACAATGAAAGTATGAAAAAGATTACTTACATGAACAGGTCCATGCAACTCGAGCGTCTTTTCATTTTGAACGTGAAGGCGATGAGCTGATGCATCTTTCTGATCAACGAGAGGCTAAAAAGAAAAAGTTAAGCCATAACAAAATGTAAATTAGATCAAAAGTTAATAAGCATACCTTCTGATTCCGCTCAATCGCTCGGCGAACATTGTTCGTGATGGCATGATGATAGATATCTTTCTAAAGCAAACTAATTAGTTTTGGAGATTTACCTGATTCAAAGAGCTTGGAAAAGCATTAAGAAGTACAAACAAAGTGCTAGGAATGATAAACCGTCAAAATATACCTCTTGCTTTTTGGAACCTCTTGCTTGTTCCATTTCCTCTTCGATTGATTGTTCGATTTCTTCCTCGGTGACGGCGATGAGTGGCCGAAAACCGTCCTCATCCAAAGGCTAAAACTAAAACTGTTTTTCGACCTTTAACTTTAAAAAAGAAAGCACGTGTATTTTAACATAATAACATCAAAAAAAGGATGAGTATACGCACAAAAGAAAATCAAAAAGCTCATAAATTTAAATTTAAGATTAAGCAAACAAAAGGAGAAACCCACAAATGTTTTTTCAAGCTTTGTGTCAGACATCCGAAGAAAAAGAATAGGTAAAGGATGATTTTTAGAGCAAAAGTGAAACGATTTATTTGACAGTTAAATGCAAATTTCGCTGAAGCAAATTTAAATATACTTTCCAATCCAAATCAGCGTATGTAAAGTTTTTTGTGAGGATTCACAAAGGTACAAAGATTAGGGCAGCTCTCAAAAGTTGACACTTTCTAGAAAACGGATTGATTGAGAGGAACACACTCTACTAGTGACTCTAGTTTACTTTTGTTTAGCAATGCGTAGTTGCATGGCGGGTCCGTGGTCTCGGTGGACGCCATGTTCGGTGAGCTGCGGTGAGGGGTTACAAAAGAGGACAAGACGAGTGAATAAAGGTGAGAGGAATGAGTGGTGATAAAACTTGCAAATACCCAAATTAGCTCTCTAAAATTTGAGTCGGTAGACCAAATTTCATTAAATTGAATTTCACTAAATTTCAGGCCGTGGTTCGGATTGGGATGAAGAGGAGTGTAATCTAGCCGATCGAGAAACCCGTGCCTGTGGAGATCCTTGCCCAGGGCTTGGTTAAGTCGATCGGGCCGAAACAAAGCAGTACCACTATAGCTTTTCTTTTTTCTGTCAAACCTGCCATACGTCATACGTTTTCAACCTTTTTCTGTCAAACGTTTTCAATTTTTCCTTTAACCGTTTATCAAGTGGTACGATAAAAATTTGATTGCATTTTACCGCGTTCTACAGACAACTTTGGCGCCAAAAAGTGCCGGAAGTGAAGATTTCACAGGCTTAAAACTTTTTATCTGCGGTGGTACCAAATGGCAAAACATCAGGGCGTCTTGTTCTGGAAACAAGCGCTGTACCAATCTGCCACGGCTGCACCGAATCGCCTCGGCAAAGAGGCCGCTAAAACACAAATGATCACATTTTCAGAGTCCTAAGAAAACTTTAGACGTTTATAACTCCTGGCAGATTGAAATTTAGCAAAAACGGAATATACATTCGGAATCAGCATAAAATTCTGCGTCGAATGGTATCGGTCGCATAGCATTTGGCCGGCTCAGCCAGTTGACTTTCCCTCGTCTGAAAACCACTCTAGTAGCTCAAAGTACAACATCGGTAACTTATTTTCAACGTATTTGTTTTATGAGTTACGACCCTTGTACTTTGAGTTACTAGAGTGGTTTTCTGAGTTACCGGTATGATTTTTCAAAGTTACAAGGGTTGCACTTTGAGTTACAGGTTTGTATTTCGCTATTTGGCGCCACTAGTTTCAGTTGTAAGATTTGTTGATGTAGGAGACTAAAATGTCGTAAATGCAAACCCGAAAAATTAAATTTATTTTCGTCATTGAATATCTTTTGACGTTATTTGTCCGTTGGTGCTATACTTTTGAAGTACCTTCCCCCAAGTGTCCCCCGGAGTACCGCCCACAAAGTGTCCCCATTGCCAGAGGCAAACTACGTTTTTTATGTTTTTCTCGCCGCTCACTTTACCGATTTGGCTACACTTGGTTCCATTCGATAGCCCTTTTTAAAATCTATCGAATGAAACCAAGTGTAGCCAAATCGGTAAAGTGAGCGGCGAGAAAACCTAGTTTACAGTTGTAAACACAAAAAAACGTAGTTTGCCTCTGGCAATGGAGATACTTGGGGGGAGGTACTTCTTGGTGCTGCTTTTTGTACTGCATTTTGCGGGGGTGGCACTTTGTGCCAATTTTTTTGCGCAACTCGCCATAACTTTCTTCTAAGTGTGTCAATCTTTATGATTCTGGTGTCATTTTGTATTAGGTTGATGCATAAGTGTTTTTGTTCCTTTTCGTCTGCCGTTTCAAGCCAACAAATGCACCAATTGATTTCATTAGAAAAACCAATTATTTTTCTGCAAAATAACATTAAAACGGGTTTAAAAATATTTAATGCCTGGATTTTCTTGAGAATATGAAGTCGGGTAGTCAAAAAGGGCTAACTCGATGATGCGGTTTAGACACCTTAGCTAAAGAAAACCTATCTTCGTGTCAATAGATAAAAGATAGAGAAAAAAAAGTTGGATATTTCGCCAAAATTTCAGAGAAATTCATTCAGCCAATTTTTCCGTAGAGTTTTTTATAGATTTTTACGGAAAAGGCGTTTTTCACTCTCGAATTTGCTTGAAAGTGAACCGAAATTCATTTAAAAAGATGCAAATTGAACAAAAAAACACTTTTTTTATAGAGCAAACTATAGATTAATTGGTGAATTTGTTACTTTTTAACAGAAGTACGAAAAAAACGAAAAGACTTATGCATCAACCTATTAGATCTCAACAAGTGCAACAAAATGGCACCAAAATCATAAAGATTGGCCCACTTAGAAGAAAGTTATGGCGAGTTACGCAAAAGACCCAGTTGCGCAAAGTAGCCACCCCCGCATTTTGCACATTAATTTTGCATAATTCTTTCTCGTCACTGCTCTCCTCATATCAAAGCGCGAAATCTTTTCTTATAAAGCTTCCCGGTCTTTATGTTTCTCAATTGTACAGCAAAAGCTTTTCACAGCTTTTCCAATTTCATGGCAAAAGCTATTGCTGTTGTTTTAGCGTTGCTTATTAGTAGTTTTTGGTTTTCTTTGCCAATTTAACTTTTATTTTTACTTTATTCTTTTTTCAGAATGGACGATTCGAGCGGATCGTTACAACCAACGATGGAGAACGAATACACAAACGACGCGACACCACAAGAATGCACTCCAACAGTTATTCCGGCTGAAATGATGCTGCAAAGACTGTAGGTTTTATTAGTAGTTTTAGCGAAGCTAAGTGAATGAATCGTTGTTTTAGTGAATCCTTCGAAGACTGCACTCAAATTGCCCAAGCCTTTATCAGCTATCTTCGGAAGAAAGATGAAATGGATCCACATCGGCCAATTCGCGAATCCTACAAGCCGACCATTGTACAACAATATGTTTATCCATTTCTTGCAAGTATGTTGCACGTTTCATTATTCTCATTGTAATGCTAATTCCAAGCCTTTTACAATGTATTCTGTTTAGATCGCGAACACGTTATGGTACGAGCTCCGACTGGTAGCGGAAAGACGATTGCATTTCTTCTACCAATTATCGAAAGCTTGCTCAGACAAGGACCTAATGCAGATGTTTGTTTGTGTTTTAAAAGTTTATAAGTGACTTTAGGGAAATCCACGCTGCATTGTTTTGGCGGATACGAGAGACCTAGTCGAACAACATTGGAAAGTTACAAACAGCATTGTAGAGGAACTGGATGCAAGTAACTCTTGTTTTAAAAAGTTGTTTTAATTTGCCTCATTTAGTCGGACAACATCTGACTACCGAGTGTTTTATTGGAGGTTTTGGTGGATCTGATAGGAATTCGGTAAGAGATCGTTGAAACACGTGTCTACGTTATCTTTAGGTTCCTTACGGCAAATTTATTGGAGGCCGTGTCAAGTGTGACATCGCATTTTTCACAGCTGGAAGACTGGCCGAGCTCTTGGGCGGATATCGTCGTATAGATGGATCATTGTCTCCGAAGAAAGTAAAGAATTGATGTTTTAACAGTTTTATGTGATTCTATTAGTTGTCTTTGTGCGATCTACAGTATCTTGTGATTGATGAGGCGGATGAGGTGACTAATGCTTTAATCTTCATTTAATTTTTGACATTAAGATCTTCTTTCCTCAAAAGTTCAGCATGGAAATTGATAAGCTTGGCGACTCTTTGAAAGAATGCTATCAAAGCTTTGTGAGCGTTGTGAGTGAGGTGTTATTTCTTCTGAAAATACTAAAAGTTTAGGGTAAAGAGTATAATCCAAGTCTCTCACTCTACTCGGCGACCTTGGTTCAAAGCGACATACAAATTCAACGTGCCATAGAGAAATTGACCAACGGCGCGACTATGGATAATGTTGGTTTTACTGTACAAATGTTTTATTTTATTTTTTCTAGTTTGGTTTTGTTGCCTTAGATATCGTTCGTCCCAACATTGTGCAACAAATTTTGAAAGTGAGCGTTTATAGTTTAAATTTGTATTTTTAGCTCTATCCCAAACTCTGAAACGCATTTTTTTATTTACACAAACCTTAATTTTTTCTCACTACTTATTTGAAGCGAACTGGACATAAGTATATTTTTAATGAAGAACTGACCATCAATTGACATGTCTCTACTTTCTTTGGTGTTTCTTCCTTTCTATTCGTCTTGAGAATGAGATGGATGGATGAATCGAATCCGGACGAATTAAAATCGGAAAAGGAAAGCCCAAACGATCTGGAGTTAGTGGTGGTAAAGCCGGTCGTTTCGGAGTTGTAGCAAGTGAGTCCGTTTGAGTTGAGCTCTATTGTGGTGAATTCGGGTGAGGTTGACTTGGATGAGAAGTTTTTTCACTGGAGGGATTGTAATCGAGAACCAAAACTTTTCAAGTCGTGTGAAGCCTCACCCGAATTCACCCTAACTCTTCCTCAAGACGAACAGAAAGGAAGAAACACTAAAGAAAGTAGAGACATGTCGATTGATGTTAAGTCCTTCATTAAAAATACACTTATGTTTAAGATTTGAGTAAATAAAAAAAATGAGTTTCAGAGTTAGGACCCTTATTTTTTTTCTGCCATCCTTGTTTTGGGATAGAGCCGTATTTTTTCATTTAGTTCGATGGCTTTATCCAAAAGTTTAATGCGCTGGTGCAATTACTTGACAGGGATTTAAAAGCCAATGGTACAACGCGTGCAAACTGTCGCACGCATGGTAATAGAAGTCTCAAAAAAAATTTACGTTGCTTTCTTAGAACACTACGATTATTCGACCATCATCTTTTGCGACACGAAGAGCACGGTTTACTGCCTCACAAGCATGCTGGTCATGATGGGCTTCTATGTTAAGTTTCACAACGGGTTGGTTTCTAGCTGATCTTTTCTCAATATGTATTTCCTATTAAGTTCACTGTCTATGCCGCATCGAAGAGAGAATGATGTCCTTTTGAATCAAAGAAAGCTCCCTTTTCTGGTGACGACGAACGCACTGGCTCGTGGAATTGATAAGCCATATATTAAGCATGTTGGTTTTAATGTTTTCTAAGACCAGGACAAACTAAATTGAAACCCTACGATTTTCTTTTAGATTATCATGTTCGATCTTCCGGTGACTAATTGGGACGCTTATACACATCGTGTGGGTCGAACCGGACGATCGGATTCAATTGGTTACGCTACAATTTTCTTCACTACCAACCAAGTGAATGATCAGCGACGCGGCCCTCTTCTTCTTAGGGTTTGTTATAAGTTTATTTGTAGCTGCAGTATATCATTGCCAGTAAATATTTAAACTTCCTTTAGACTCTCTATTTGATGAAACAAAAGCTTCCACGATTTCTCCTCAATAATTATGGTCCAAGCGTTTTCTCAGAGGAATTTATGAACGATATTCAACAAAGTGAACAAGTAATCTAATCATTTGCTTCTGTCTTAAATGTTATTTTGTTTAGGTACCAAATTTTGAAGGTGATGACACCCAGGAATCCGAGTGAGTTTTAAATTTTTTTAGGACAAATGAGATCAGAGACTTGTTGAATAGTTTATGACGATGTTCACAAATTTTAGATCTTCGTTTATTTCGCTTGCTCAATTGGCGGGTCCAGAAGAGTCAGTGAATGCAGACGGAAGGGATACTTTAGATGATGACGATGTTCTTTCAAATATGGCATGATAAACTTTTTAAAGCACGCTTAGTGGTTGGATATTTAGACCACTGTTTTGCCTGAAGAAGAAGAAATGTTGGCAAGCGAACAGAATGATTTGTCGGAATGGGCAGAAGTGTCTCGTCTGGTTGGTTTAGCAATCTGATGGTTCTTAATGACTTGCTTTTTAGACTGAAACAAGGCCTGCTTTGGTGGCACCTGCTAAAGCATTCACAAAGTATTCTCGATTGTTTTACAGCTTATTTATGGTATTGATTTTAGTCCCGCAACGAGTGCTTTTCGAACTATGTTTGCTAAAATTAATGGAAGTTCCAATGCAATCAGAGATGTGCGAAAAGATGCTTTGCACGACACAGCAACGGTTTACTAGTGCATACTATGTTGACTTATTCATTTTAGGGAGCAAGCACTTTTTACGAAAGCGAGAATGAGTCGTTAAAATCCGATGGGGATCTCACTACTTATTCGAAGCGAACCGAGAATTGGAAGGTTGAAGAATTTCACATGCAAAACTAACCTCATTTCCAGGAACGACTTATTCCAAAGAATTTCAAAGCTTTTATTCAAAGAGATCATCCACAACGCGTAAGTTTTCTTTTAAACTCGAGAATTGGTTTTGTTAGTTTTTAGGAAAAGTGAAATCGATGTCGCTCTATCAATCGCCTCTCTTCCAGGGACTCACACTTATTTTGTCATTTTTGTTGTTACTCTATGTGTTTTCGAGCTTTGTTTCTTATTTGTCTCTAGATGTTTTGTGGGTTTCTTTGTAGAATGTTTTGTTTTACTTGTTATGTTTGTGGCAATTGACCATAATTTTATATTATTTAGTTGCTTTAAGACACAATAAATTGATTTACATGAGCAAAATGGAATGCGTAAGATTTATTTAACTGCTACATATTAATGTGTTTCGGCGAGGTGCTAGCAAAAGCGCCAAATTTTTTGTGCTACGTATCGTTTGCGCTTTTCAACACACTTTCCTACCAACTCTGATTGAGCATGTATATCTTTTTCAGTTTTTCCTCGTCGACGATGCTCGCTATTTTGCCGCCTTCACCGAATCTGAAAATGGCATGAGGTCGATATAGAGAGTAAAAAGCCCAATCGGGGTCACAAAAGTGGCTGTTTTTGGGGTCTGTATAGATATTTTAAAGTGTTTCCTAATTGAAAACAGTGCGCACTAAAATTGTGAAGCAGAAAACTGAAAAAAATTGGTTAGAGGTTGGGAAAAAGTGATTTGTTACAGTGATTTTCATAGGCGCAAATTTGGCGCAGAAAAACGCGGCGCTTTTGCTAGCACTTTGTTTGGTAATACTTACTTAAAGTTGCGTTTAAATTTTAAAATTTACATATAAACTTCAAAGGTGAGGTTCCCTTCGTGAAATTTATTTTTTTCGCCTCTCTCCGATCCAGATGGTCGCCAAGAAGGTTGGGTTTTTTCGCTATTCATTCTGAATTTTTTAAACTCTATTTGGGGTTCAGTTATTGTTTCTTGAATTTGAGATGGTTTTGGTATTATTGAACTTACTATCAAATTTTTTACGAAATAGTTCTGGGTGCTAACGTTAATTTCGAGTTGGGGAAAACTTTTCAAATTCCTTTTTTAGAAAAATTTCGCAGATTTCTCACATGCCGATTTTGCCCGAATCTTCACAGAGAGCGGACCCGAAGACATCCAGAAAATTGTTTGTTTTGTGAAATTTTACTTTAATCTTTACTTTAGGCATTTAACTTGATAAGAAAATTGCGCAAAGGAAATAAAAATACGCTCTCATGCCTCTCCACTCTACTCCATTTTACTCACGAAACAAAGGTAAGTCATGACTCTTTTAACGAAATTTTTGTCTTTTAGGGAATCATCGAGCCGAAAGAAATTGAAATATTAGCAGAAAGACTTCTTGTCGAGTACCAATACACTAATGCTATCAATCAATGTCTTGATGTAAGTCTTTTGAGTTAATTGATTAATTGTTTTATTACTAAATAGGTTCATTTCATTATTTGCTTTGTACTACTTTTCTAATTTCATCATTTTAGTTGTTCGAGTTTGCCGTTGGAATAGTTGAGATTTATCCGGAAACGTTTGTATGCGTTGTGGAAAGGATGACCGATAAGACTCATCTCTACGTCAACACTCTGTACTCGTTTCTGTTGCTTTTGTCTATTGAACGAGCTTAGGAAGAAAACGCGTCAAATCGTTGCTCTTTTGCCTCAAGTGGTCAAGTTTGGAATTCAAGTGAAGAGAAAGGTGTGTAGTTTTGTGTGATTATTTCATGTAAGAGCGTGTTTGTTCGTGTTTACCTATTTTGTTTTGTTACAGACCTTCCACAACTTGATGGTACCAGTGTACAAACATCTCGCTGATTTCTCCGTTAATGATCTCTACAATTTGGCCGACTACCTCACCTTGCTTCTTGTGCAAATCAACAAACGTGAGAATTCACATGGTATTCAGGTATCTATAACTTTGTACAACTGCTAGCCAAGTATTTGTTAGCTGTACGACATGCTTCGTCTCAAGAAAGTGAATCCTTACCTGAGCAATCTCTATATGGATCTATCGGCCGCCTCCACAAACAACGACTCGACGCAAAAATCTGACAATGACAAACTTCGATGTATATTTTATGGATTGTTGAATCTTTTTATTGTACTTTAGGTATGATCAACCGTTACTTTTGTGCGTTCCTTGCTTCATTTCCCGAGTGCACCGATCCGCTTATTGAAGGCCAACGACCGTTAATTGATTCGCTGCGCCGTGGGCTTTTCTATATGGCTGTATGTTTTCAATTAACCATTTTTAACTATTTTAATTTCTAGCTGGATCTCTTTACTAACGCGGCTAGTGGGCAGAAAGAGTCATCTTCGTCAGTTGTTGGTTAGTTTTGAAAACTTAAGCCCATTCCTTATGCTTACCACCCTTCCATCTTCTATTTTAGGAGAAGCTCTAAAGATGTTGGCCTACTTTGTGTTTCCGATGCCTGCTCACTTTGCTTTCACTGATGAACGATTTCATGCTTTGCTTCGAAATGCGATGTTCAATACAAACGAGGAGACACGAAAAGTATCATTCTTTTCCAGTTTAAAAGTCAAGGTTGCTTTTAGTTAGCAGTGCTTATGGCCGTCTCTTTGGTTCACGCAGCTTGGCTTTATGTTCATTCCGAATTACCGGTCAGAAAAAGTTTTTAAATTACGTATTTTAAGTATCCAGGTTGATGAATCTCCATTTGACTGGCTTCGTGACGAGCACCCGGAATTGCTATTCGATCTTGCCAATCTTCTCCAAGGCATTGTGGCGGCTATCCCTTGCACAGCATTGCCATTCCGTGAAAAGTAGACCTTATTTGATTTACAAATAATTATTTAATTTTAGATTGATCGAAGTGGTAAGCCTTTATGCGATGGAAGACGACAAGGGAGATTTAATACCGTACTTGAAACAAGCTGGGGTCGAGAAGTTGGCAGAGTCGATCAACGGCATGGAACTTACCAAAAATGAAGAGGTGGGGGTATTGTATCTGCATTTGCAGCTTTAAGCTTAGGTACTACTAATTTCGCGCTGTTTAGTTGTATCTGAATGTGCTTTTCGACACCTTGTGCTCAGCAAAGTGAAGATTTGACGTTGTTATCCAGGGTCGGCGATTCACAAGAAAACCTTCTCGCGGAACCTTCCTTGTATCTCATTTAGACGTAGCATTTCCCTTTCTCATTTTGCGGCTAGGCTTTCATTATTGTAAATCTTAACTCTTTTCAAAGATTTACTTTGTGAATGTTTTTGTGCCTGTTGCACCATATCCTCTGGCATTTCATTTCATTTTCCTCGTTGTTTTGTTGTGCCTCGTCACTTTACTGGCACTTTTTGTGAATTCGTTTTAATACTCGATGAAATAAATGGTTTAAAAGAACTCTAATATATGTATTTGTCGGTGTAGAAGAAACATGAAATGCTATTTTTTTGCGTAGAAGAAACGGATACACAGTCGCTGAAGAGCGTAAAAAAGTTCTAAAACGCTAAAAATGCGGCTTTTTTAGCTTGTTTTTGTACTCTGATACGTTATATTGCTATTTTATGCTGTTAAATGCTCGAAACAAGTGAAAAACATTTAAAACAAAAAAAACTAAAGAAAATTTTCGGCTTGGGATTCGAACCTTTGATTGGCGCCTAAAACCACTAGACTAAAACCACTAGACTAAAACCACTAGACTAAAACCACTAGACTAAAACCACTAGACTAAAACCACTAGACTAAAACCACTAGACTAAAACCACTAGACTAAAACCACTAGACTAAAACCACTAGACTAAAACCACTAGACTAAAACCACTAGACTAAAACCACTAGACTAAAAACACTAGACTAAAAACACTAGACTAAAAACACTAGACTAAAACCACTAGACTATGGGGTTTGGTGGTCCTCTCGGCTAGTAGTCCCTGGCGTTCAGGATCAGGCTATTGTTGAAAAAACAAAATCGTCGGAAAATAATACCGTAACTCTAATTTTCCTCTTACCCTAGTCCAAGTTGCTGGGGGTTTTTACACCCAAATTTTTCCGGCCTTTTCCGCGTTTTTCACGGTTTTGCCGTAAAAAAGACGGAAAAGCGGAAAAACGACAAGCTTGATTGTTTTGAATCTGTTACTTTAGGGAATGTCATCTGCGGAACTTTCTTCAGAAGCGCCGAAATTTGCACCACGATTTGTGCACAAAGGCTTCCAATTTGTTGATCCTTCTCTAAATTTTGAGGTACCTATTTTTTCTTTAAACTGTCACTGGTCTTTTTAGATACCGGCATTCATTTGCTGCGATGGAAGGCACGATGTTGGCATGTATGATCTGAATATGACTGATTCATTTGATCTTTCTGTCATGGACCGAGTTTTTTCTTCAGGAAAGTCACTATCTCCAAGCAAAGTTAGCAATTTTGTTCAGACCATAAAATGTTGAATATTTAGAAATGCCGATACGGATTTGAAGAGAGAAAGGAAAACATGATGCCAGAAAAGCAGCAGCATATTGTCGAGAATCGAAATGCATGGAAATTTCATACCGAAGATCAATATACTGACGACAAGAGTCAACCCAATAGCCCGGTGCAAAGAATCTCTCACTCAACAAGCAATGAAGACTATGTTTATGGTAAATTTTTTATACATTGCTCTTTCAGTGTACTTAATGTTGCAATATTGTATAAACAATACACCTTATATTCTTATAGAACCTGCTGGTGAAACGTTTGAGGCATCGTTCAATAACGATCAAATGATACTAACGGATCCTTTGGAGATGGTAGTTTCTATTTCATTTATTCGAGTTTTGCTTATTTTCAGGACTATCAAAAACCTCATTGTTCCAAGAATCGTGTGGATGACGATCTTTGCTTCCTTGGTGAATTTAAGGCGTCAAATAATAATGTTTGTAATTTTCAAATACCGTAAATACTGTAATTGAACGCCTATTCTATTTTTTTCCTCTCCCTCTAGGGGGACGGGGGCTTTCTATTTTTACTGAAAAAAGCCGAGAGAGAAAGTTGAAAATAAAAGCAAAAAAATTTTCTCGTTTGGGCGCGTTTTATAAGGGCAAATTCTGGTCCCAGCTACAGTAATTAGGGTACGATTTAGGTGACAGTCGTTACATTAGGCTTGTTCTTGGAAGTTACAAGTTTCTAGACTTGACCATCGAGGCCTTATCGAGATTCTATTTTTTCCCTCCCTTCCTAAGGCGCGTTAAATGACAGTATTTACGGCAGTAAAATCTTTTTTATAATAGATCCTGTCAAAACCGTCGCAAAAAGTATCAGTGAAGGATGTTACAATGCCCTCGTCATCTGCTGACAACATACAGCAAGAACGAAAAGGTTTTTTACAGGCGAAGAAATTAAAGGGTGCTAGTTTTAGATATGCATGGACAATTTCGGGGATTGTTGAAGGACGACAGCGAATTTTTCGAAGATGAAAGTCAGAATATTTTTGGTAACAGAATTGTTATTTTTTTAGCTCGAATTCTTGGTCCGAACTTGCGAATCCGTATGTTCTCTACCCTGAAAGAAAAGTTTGGATTCAACACATTTCGGCATCGTCAGAAGCAAGCAATCACTGCAATCTTAGCCGAACACGACACTTTTGTGCTTATGCCAACGGGTTAGATTGTGTCAGAGAGTTTGCAAGGTGAAAACATTTAAGGCGCCGGCAAAAGCTTGTGCTATCAGCTACCAGCGCTTCTTTCATCAGGTGTAACTGTTGTTGTATCGCCTTTGAGATCTCTGATTGAAGACCAGTGTATAAAACTGAAATCTTTGGATGTAAGATCATGATATCACATGTCTTAACTGCTTTTTGTTTAGATTGCCAGCGAAGCATTGACAGCTGATTTGACCGAAAATGATGCTTTTCTTATCTATAACCGACTTTCCATAGACCCTCCCGACATCAAGCTCCTGTATGTCACACCAGAGAAGGTTAGTTGACAAATTTAGACAATCAGACGCAAGTTGAAATGTATGTGTGGCTTTAGATAGCCGCTTCCGCCAAATTGTTAGCTATTTTTTCTTCTTTGCATCGACGGGGTTATCTTTCACGATTTGTCATTGATGAAGCACATTGTGTTTCCCAGGTCTGTTTGCATAAAGTCGCTTAATTTCTCAAAGAACTTTTCTGTTTAGTGGGGTCATGATTTCCGCCCAGATTATGCTCGCCTGATGAGTCTACGAGAGACCTACAAAACTCCATTGGTATAATTACTCTCGACTTGCTTTTTTAAATATAACACCCTTTAGGTGCCTATCGTTGCGCTCACAGCAACGGCAACACCTAGAACCATAGTGGATACTCGAAATCATCTTGGAATCCCTCATGCTAAATTGTAGATTTTTTAAAATTTTAAGAATCGATCAATTTCAGGTTCATCAGCAGCTTTGTCCGTTTTAATCTAAAATACGATGTTGTGCCGAAAAATGCAAAAAAAGCTACTACAATTGTTCAAAAAATGAAGCAGCTTTATCCAGGAAAAGCCGGAATCATTTATTGTTTATCACGGTAATATATAATGGTAATGCATTTCAAAGTTTGTAAAAATTTTTAGAGCTGAATGCGAAAAGGTGGCTATGATGCTCCAGAAAGAAGGCATTTCGGTTGACATTTATCACGCTGGCTTAGCCAATTCAAAACGAATCGAGGTCTTATGTAGCTTTGATTTATTTAATTTAAGATTTTCAGGTTCAACACAAATGGCTCGCGAACAAATTTGACGTAATTTGTGCGACTATCGGTATAAAATATAATTTACCGTAACTTTTTATGTTTCATTTAGCATTTGGTATGGGTATTGACAAGCCTGATGTGCGTTTTGTAATACATTACAGCATGCCAAAATCTATTGAAGGATACTATCAGGTCTGTTTTTATAGTTCTTTTGCATGAGTAGCTTCTTTAGGAAACCGGACGTGCTGGAAGAGATGGGCTGCCAAGTTATTGCTGCTTGCTTTACTCCTATCAGGATTCATTGAGATTGCGGAAAATGGTCGAAAGTATGGTTTTGTCTACCTGTGTTGTTAAACAAAACAAATTCAGGCGACGATACGACGGTTGGAGCACGCCAAATGCATTTACAAAGCATCAATCAAGTTTTTGATTCCGGTCCAACACAAAGTATTGCTAATTTAGATGGTTCAATATTGTGAATCTATCGCAAGATGCCGAAGAAAGATTCTAGTTGAACACTTTGGCGAGGTTGTTGAACAAATAGCGTTAGAGATTTAAGCAACACAACTTTTTTGATATTTTAAGCCATTATTAGGTATATGACGCGGCAGCGTGTGCTGCATCGACTACTCCATGCGATGTGTGTGAACATTTGAACAAAAATCCAGATAGTTACAAAATGTACGATTTATCAGATGAAGCGACGCGAATTCTAAAGGTAGTTTCTTGTTGCTGACTAACTTTTACAAAAGTAAATTTAGACCCTTTCAAGAATCAAAGCACTTACAGTTACGCAAATTGCACAGATCTATCGTGGAGTTGGACAAGGACGAGGAAAAAAGACCAAAAACGAATCGGGTGGAGATTCGGTATTCATGTTATTTTGGAGATTTAATCGACGATCTAGACCTCATACGCGCCTACTGAAACTTCAACTCTACCAATATATGGAAGAGGAAAGACGATGAGTGAACAGGATGCTCTTCGCTTCATGCATGCCCTGATCTTTGAGGGGTTTGAGAGGATTTAAAATATTTGTTATTCTTTTTAGATATCTGCATGATCGTCTTTATGTCACAAAAATGGGATCAACAGTTGCGTATGTTGATCTAACTACTAAAGGACGTGCTGTAGCTAATAATTCGTGTAGTGCAAAGGTAAGCTTCTCTCTCGTTCGGATTAAAAAGGGCATGACTCTTAGATTTATATGCATTTTGCGCATGACGATGAAAGCAAGAAGAAGTCGAAAAAAGATGATGCGAATGTGGCCATCAATATGGTTTTAGTTAGCGAGGCCGAAGTGTTGAAAGAAAAGTAATTTTGAGTATTGTAAGCTGTCTAAAGAGCTTTTAGGTATTTGATTAAACACAGCGATATTTTTGTTCGCTGTTTGAAAACTTTACGAGAAATGATTGAGCAATTGGCTGTTGAGAGGAACGTTTCCAGTTCGGCAAATATCATGTCGCATGAGGGGTTAGAGCAGGTGATTTCTCTAGTAGTTAGGTGTTAAATTAAATGACCTGTGTAACAAAATGGAAACACTAATCTGTTTAGCTTGCCGCTGTGATGCCACGCACCAATACCGAACTTCTCAAGATTGATTCGATGAATGAACTCAAGGCGCTATTTTTAACGTAATTCCTTCTACTCGTGTTTTAGGTCGCAAGATATGGTGGACCAATTATGGAAATGCTAAAGCCTTTCTGGAATGAAGTCGACGGTGTGTTTAAAGTGCTTGATGTATAAATTGTTTATTATCTTACAGCCCGTGAGCAACTCGATATTCAAAGCCAACTGGATCAAATGAAAAATGGTCAAATGGTGCTAGGCGGCTTTAAATCACCGCCAAGAACAGAGGTTTGTGTACGGTGAATTAAATACATTAGCAATTTGGTTGTTTAGATTGATGGACTTTCACAAAGAGGAAATAGTGCCTTTCGAGGGAGATTCCAAAGAGAACGAGATCGGGGCATATCAAAGAGAGTTGCTGTAAAGTATGTTTTAACTTTCTAACCACCAAAGGAAATTTGACACACTGGATTTTTTTTGCAAAATAGTGTTTTTACTTTAGGCCGGCTACACCAAAAAAGAAGACTACAAAGGTTTCCAATAAAGCATTTTTCCCTATGTAGAATTGGAGTTTGGAAGTTATGTGATGACTATTCCATTACGCGTTACAGGGTGACCAGAAATAACAGTGGTTTTTGTGGCGCGAAAAAATGCTGAATTTTTCTCGGACTCAAAAACCGAAAGGAGTATTAGAAGCTAGACAAGCTTTAGATATTTTCTACCAAAATAGTCTAGCCATTAATATTCTCAATTATTCACACAATATTTGTTAAGGTAGAATGTCAAAACTAAAATTGAAATTTTCATTTTGACAGACTGAATGTTAGTAGGTAGTAAAAGAGGAATTTGCAAATTTGGCCCTTGAAATTAAAGGGAGTAAAGTAAACCGTTTAAATTTTATTTCTAGCCGTTCACTATGTTTCTAAAACCAAAACAAACATTTTTGTAATGGGTTTTTCCAAAAAGTTTTCCAAAAAAAGTTAGTTGCGACCATGATGTACTTTCTTCTAGGGTGTTCTAAAAAGATTGAGGTTGCGTTGTTTGATTGACAACGATGTTTTTATACTTAAAAAATATTCAATTTTTTAAAATAACAGTTTTGCAGCACTTTTGATATCAAAAGCTTGGCAAAAAGGCAGATTCCACAAAAATACTCCGCTATTTCTGGTCACCCTGTAGTATGTGTTATTTTTTGTTGTTGATACAGCCGACTCTCGATACAACGATTTTGAAATTCTAAAACACGCCCTTGGTTTTTGCGTAGCTGCCCAGCCAAACGCAGTCGTTGGCCGTTCATGGCAGCTACGCAGGAAATTTGAAGCACGTTTTAGAATCGTTAAAGGGGAATTTTTGGTTTCTAGTGAATCGAGAGTCTTTAAATCGAGAGTCAACTGTGATTGTTTTTGTCTATCTACCTGTGATTTGTGTGATTTTTGTTTTTAGGTTTTGTTATGTATTGCGAATGGTTTGTTATCCATTGCGATTTTAGCGAATAAAATGTTTGTGGTTATTAACCGAGTCAGACAAAGACAATATCGGGGGCAAAGACAGTATCGGGGGTAGACTAATTTCCGCTATTTTATTGTTACAGGGTCTTTTGCGCAACTCGGCATAACTTTCTCCTAAGTCGGCCAATCTCTATGATTTTGGTGCCATTTTGTAGATCTCAACAAGTGCAACAAAATGACACCAAAATCATAAAGAATGACCCACTTAGAAGAAAAAGTTATGGCGAGTCGCAAAAGACCTAGTTGCGCAAAAAAAATTGCGGGAACTAGCCTACCCCGATTTTTTTACATTCGAAGGGAATTTCTCACTAAATCAGTTAAAAGGGCTGAGTATCTTTAAAAAGTGTCGTATATAATGTGGGTCTCGTCATTTTTTTTCCACAATTTTTGCTAAAAGTACGGTAATTTTTTCCCAATTTTGCGTTTTAAAAAACGCATTACTCGCAAGGAACACGCTCTACATCATAAATAATCGAATCTAATTGCACTGAAAAACTAAACTGTTTTAACAACCTTTATACACTTTTTAAGTAGCTTTAAATTAGTATTGTTCTCTCTTTTTTCGTTTAGTTATTGATTATTCGTTATTGGCTATTGGTTTATGAAGATAAAAACCTTTTTCGCAGGTCCGATCACCACCGAACAACTGATTGCAATGGCGTGGGCGATAGATTCAAGAAAACCACGAGACAACACGAAAAAATGAGAATCACATCAAGAATCCACGCCGAGCTCACTTATTTTCAGCTTATAAAGTAATAAATCTTAATTTGAAAGTTTTCAAAAACTTTCGCAAAATACTTATGAACAGATAGCTCATCGATAGAGTGTGCTAAATGGTTTGTGATCGGTTTTCTAAAGCGTATTAACGTTTTAAAGGTACCATAAGCTCTCTTACTCTTTTCTGGTCTAGATCCTGGTCTTGGTCTGGCTTCTGGCTTTTTCATTTAGGTCATTTTTTTAGGGAATCCATGATATTTGATATTTCAAAATTGAAACCAAAAGAAGCGTTTTTGCAATTTTAAGCACAAAGTACACCAAAGAATAAAATGATGAATGGTTTGAGCTTAAAAGTGTAGAAATATCCCTTTCTGATTCACTCATTCATCGATTTTCTCAAGATATCTTTGCAAGGACGAAAGGAAAATCGAAAGCCTTGCAATTAGACTAAAATTATAATAATAAAATATAAGTCTTTCAGAGATAAAGTAATAGCAAAAATAGAACAAAGTATACAAATCCCAAAAAGCAAATATAATATGTAAAAATAAATGCATAATGGTGAAAAAAAAGACCAAAACACGAAACGTTAAGGAGTAAAGAAGAAATCGAAGCTGTTGTTGGATGAAAGGAATGTTGAGAAGAGGGTTGAATAAGAAACACATTCATCCCCTCCTTTCCCTGCAATCCATTTGACAGACAAGAACCTAGAGGCAAAGGAAAAAGCCAGAAGCCAGACCAAGACCAAGATCTAGACCAGAAAAGAGTTGAAGAGCTTATGAAAAGAGTTAGAGAGCTAAAACGTTGACACGTTTTAGAAAACCGATCACAAACCATTTAGCACACTCTATCGATGAGCTATCTGTTCATAAGTATTTTGCGAAAGTTTTTGAAAACTTTAAAATTAAGATTTATTGCTTTTGCTTTATAAGCTGAAAATAAGTGAGCTCGGCGTGGATTCTTGATGTGATTCTCATTTTTTCGTGTTGCCTCGTGGTTTTCTTGAATCTATCGCCCACGCCATTGCAATCAGTTGTTCGGTGGTGATCGGACCTGTGAAAAAGGTTTTTATCTTCATAAACCAATAGCCAATAACGAATAATTAAAAGAAGAAAGAGAGAACAATACTAATTTAAAGCTACTATCGCCCACGCCATTGCAATCAGTTGCTCGGTGGTGATCGGACCTGTGAAAAAGGCTTTTGTTCTCATAAACCTATATTCAATTCAAAATCGTAAATCTAGGCGAAGGGAAAAGGAAAGAAAGAAGAGAGAAAAAGAAAGAAATAAAAAGAGCCGACCAAAACTGTAAAATCGAGGATCGGTGAAAAGAAAGGACATAGAGGAATCTCCATTGAACGAACACTCATATCGATCATTTTTTTATGTACATATGACTCTAGCAGACTTAAAATTATGTAAATAATCAATGAAATACTCATTCATTGCTCGAATTTGATGCTACTTATATGTAAAGGTTTATCTTTAACCCACGAGAGTCACATTTACGTTAGAGCTTGAGCAATTGAGCGTTAGAGCAATTGATCGATTCATCCATATCCCCTTCCTCCACAGCTGTTCTTCCCCCTTTTTCCATTCAATCGTTAATTCCCTCCACTAAAATTGCTAATGGAAATCTTTATGTAACTTTTTACACTTTTCACTTTCGAAAAATTAAGTAACTTTAACTAATGGATAATTCTTCTTTCGTTTTTTCGTTGTTTTTTTTTGTTTTCTTTTCGTTGTTTCAGTTCTTTTCCTATATCTTTCTATGAAATGATAACGTTTTACACTTTTTAGATCATTCATTTATCTTACATCTATCTTACATTTACAGAGATCCCACCCGGCAATGGCCGGCGCTGTCATCGAAAATCTCAGCAATCAGAAGTTGAGCTATATTTTGGGGATTCTATTCCTCGTGCAAATCGCTTTTTTCCTCGTTGGTGCATGGCTTGGTAAGGGTTTATTTTAAATATCATTCAAGTTTTAAACACTTTAAATCAATTGACTGAACTGATGATGAATTAGTGAATCGTGAGCTTGATGTTTAACCAGAAGAGCTCAATCATTTTCAAGCTAAAATTCAACAAATTCTAAGCAAGCTAATGGAATAAAGCTTCCAATTTTCACTATTCACCCCGAAACCCAAACATTTCCAGCTCCAAAGCCCACCTCATCGATGGAATTCCTCTTTCGGAGTTGCATCGACGCGAATGTGACCGGGAGAAATTGGGTGGATCATCAAGTAAGGAAAGCTTTCAATTACTAGAAAAAGAAAACGAGTTTATAGATCTATTAATATTTTCCTTAATAGATTAACTTAAAATTTACAGAACTGTCATGAGATCGAGCTCGCCGAACACAAGCCTCTCTCCTACGATCTCCGGGAAATCGTTTTCATGACCCAAATGCCACACAAGCGGTGAGTTTTATAAAAAAAGAGTTTTCAATTAAAATCGAAAATTTTAGAGATAATCAACAGCTTCGCTATCATCCATCGTTTCAATTTCTTTTGGGCGTAATGCAGCCAGAGATCCGAAGCACTGCCGCTTTCAAATATGGTAAGAATTTCGAGACTTTTAGGGAAAATCTCTTTTGTAAAATCTGGTATAGCATTTCATTCAGTTCGCGGATCAAAACTTCGTTTGGAGGTGCGAATGGGAGCGCGGAGTGGAGGGGACGAGAAATGGAGAGACTGGATCGAGGCTGATGTCGTTCGCGAGCTCGATTGTCATTTCCCTTGGGTTTGTGTTGGGCTGAAATTTACGTAATTACTCAATTACTTTAATTCAAATTCACTCAATTTTCTTCAATTTTCATTCTCTAGCCTTTCAAATTGGATTTGAAAGAGGGAAATTGACATTCAAATGCAAAAATAATGTGAAAGAATTGTTGTAAAAAGATGAAGCTAAATTTCTTGTTAAATTTTAAACAGAACTAGTTTTATTTTCTTCTGAAAAGTTTAAAAATGACTGATATAATTGTATTAGGTTGTCCGGGATGAAAATACCCTTTTAATGAAAAACAAATTTGTCTCCACAAAAAGAAAACAATACGCTTTAATCCAAAAGATATTCTCCGTTGTTGGCAATAGTATTTCTCCATTTTTCTTTCAAATCTCGGATCCCTTTGCTGAAGAAATCCTGAGGCTGCGAGTCGAAGTATTGGCCTACGTTTACACCTTGATTCTTGAGAGCCTGGTCTACTCGTTCCAGCTGTTGCACATATAGATCTGGGGTGACTGTTGGAAAAGAAGGTAGAACCTCAAAGTGTATAAGATCACGGGAATTCCATCAAACAGATAGCATAGCCTTTCTTCCATCCGAATCACGTTGTGGCGTCGTTTCGGGCTGTTCTCCTGGACTTAACCACTGCTGTTTTCGCGATGGGTTATCGTAGTAAATCCATTTTTCATCGGCCGTCACAATAGTGTCCCAAAAACCTAGATTTTTTGATTGACAAAGAAGAATACCGGCCATAGTCACTCGAGTAGCTTTATTAGCGTCACTAAGTTGATGGGGTACCCATTTTCCGACGAGATTCGCTTTACCCAAACGATGTAAATGGTCCGCAATTGTTGTGTGGCCGACAGTAAACATTTTTGCAAGTTCCCCAGTCGACAAGGTTGGGTCATCTTCTCTGGCTTCTCGAAGATCGTCATCGTTAAGTGCTGGAGGGGGACCACGTCCTCGATCCTGTAGAGTTTCGCCCCCCCTCTCTAAATCGTTGAAACCATTTTTTACAAGCTTCCTCTAAATAAGCAGCTTCTTCAAAAATTTTCAAGCTTAAGCTATGGCTCTACCGGATACTTTTTCCTTGTTTGAAGTCGTAGAGCAAGCACACCCGAATTCGATACTTCTGATCTTCCATTTGAAAAAAGTCAAAATTGTATGGCACTAAATTTTTATAAAACATAGAATTAGAAAAGATATATAACTTTAAAACAAAACAAAAATCAGACGTGAAGCTGTTCGCTACACCGAAAAAATTGCAATCGAAGTTGAGGGTATTTTCATTCCAGGACACCCTAATAATTTGTAATGATTCAGTCAAACTACCAGAATCATTCTAATAGAAATAGCTCTACTTCTTTGATTTTTTTTCAATAGCTTTTATTAAAGCAGTTACAGTAGTCAACTATGAAAGAATAAACTCTTAAAACTCTTGTAGAAGACGTTAGAAATGATTTAATCAAAAGAATTCACTTTCAACTAGTGCAGGGTCACGAGAGCGGCGATATGCGCTGTGAGGCGTTGGATTTCTTCGAGATTGGCTATGTTCCGTTTCCTTTTTACGTAATGAACATTCGAATTCCGATCGATCGAGAGTTTGTTACAAGAAAATATTTAACATTTTAACAAGTATCAAATTACAAACAATTTCTAGAGGCTGTGCGCGGGATCCGAAAAACACGGCAAACTGTGACGTCGGCGAGCTCGTCGGGTTGATCATGGTGGTAGGGTTTAGAAAGACAATATTTCTTCGTAACTATTATCATATTGTTATTATTGATTATTAGATATTAAAGTTTACTTTCTTCTAGGTAATCCATCAAAATGGCGGTTTCACAATGGTGTGGGCGTGGATGAAAACGATCGTCGTGCCGTTTTTGTTCTGTGAGTGAAATGGATAATCAAAATTGATAAGAAGATAAATAAGCAAATAAAAACATATTCATTTTCATTATTTTATAAAACTATCCTAAACAGTAGCTTTTACATTTTGATTGGCCAATTTTGATGTCATTGATGAGCCATTGATGTAATTGATAAGCCGTTGATACCATTGACGGGCCATTGATGCCATTGATGAACCATTGATATCATTTATAAGCCATTGATGTCATTGATGAGCCTTGTGGATTTCTTCAGCAAATCATTTCAAAATTTGAGCTAATCGAATGAAAACTACCCGTCTTATTACAGTAGTTTTATAAAATAAGCAGCTTTTAGCAGACACTAAACAGATTTTTGATTAAAATCGATTTTCAGTGACCGTTCGCTGGTATTGGGATCGGGTGCAATCCCTTGCACGCCCTCCTCTTCTACTTGAGAAGGCGATCTTTGCCCTCGGTGTCAGCACCACTGTGCTTGATTGTAAGCAATTGTAGAAATCAATCTTGGAAAATAGTTTAAATATAATCGAAATCAGAGATACTATTAAAAACTGTAACCGCTTCTTTCAGTGCCAATCGAATGGCTTCCATTGTGGTTCGAGCGTGTGCCTTTCATGTTGTTGCTTGGCGATCTGCGACAGGGTATTGTTTTTTCATGATTCAAGCTCTACGTATGAAAACCCGGCCTTTCTGGCACATTCTGCGAAAGGAATGAAATGAAAATCCCTTATGAAATGAAAATCCTGAAAATCCCTTCGATTTTCTCTAAACTCTGACTTTGAAATGAAGGGATGAGCGTTGATTCTTGAGTGAAAAGTGTATATTAGATCGATCAGATGCTAGACAACGGCTTCTGTTTGATCAATCAGAAGTAATTCTAGATTTCAGGTTTATTCTACGCAGTTTTGTGCTCCTTTTGGCTAATCTTTGCCGGCGAGCACCTCATTGACGACCCGACAAGGAACAACTTGGTAAGGCAAATAATTCTATAGTTCTTTCTAAAAAGTCGGGTTCTACAGGATCTAAAAAGCTAGAGCATTTCCAGAAGTCCTACTGGCGGAATCTCTCGTTGGTTGGATCGGCCGGGGTGGCGCTGTTGGTCTACGATATGTGCGAGCGGGGGATGCAACTCAGTGACCCATTCTACAGTATTTGGAGCTCGAGCACTGGCACAAAGCTGGCTGTGAGTTGAATAAAAATGAAAGAAAGTGATAAATTCCCCTTTTACAGTACCTCTCGATCTATCTGGCCACCCTGTTCACCGTCATCTACTTCAGTTTTCTCTTCTACAAGGTGGGGTTGGGTATGCGATTCTTCCTCGCTACACTAGGCCGACACTACACTTTCAGTGTCAATGTCATTAGGCATTCAACGGAAAAATAGCATATCTCGGCTAATTTCACTTTGATCTTTGTTGATTTTGATATGATTTAACGCAGAATTGAATTTTCTATTGATTGAAGTTGGCAAAGATATGGCATTTTCCGTTGAAATTCACACTGAAAATTCCCAGAACTGGATATTTTGAATTTTACTTGCAAGCCTTATTTCAGTTAGCCTTGTGATCAGATTAAAATTCAGATTTGGATGGTTTGGAAATTGATTAAACAAAAGCGCTCAAATCAGTACTATCAAAACAACGAGAGTAGACGGCTAAAGGTGAGTTTTGGATTTGTTTCTTTTTCTTTGAAAAATCATCGATTTTCCAGGTGGAAGCTATCATTTTCCGCTTCAAATTCCTCATGTTATTCACCCTTTTGTGTGCCTTTTTGACGATTTTGAGTTATGCGATGAAACAGGTGATTAGTAGAATATTTTATTTGCCGGAAAGGAAACTCGAAAGTACGAAGACTCGAATTGAACACAGAAATAAGAACCTTTTTTTTGAAAAAAAGATAAAATAAAATAGAATAACACAGGTTGAATCAAGCCAATTCCCTCAAATCCAATTTAGAGATTAACTAAACTTAAAACAAGGAAGACTAGAAGTCTCACGAAGATGGGAAGGCAAAGAGTTCCACAGTCTAACGACTCGATTAGTGAAAGAAAACTATATACAGCTTTTCCAGCTCCCGGAAGATTTCTCAGGACAATTCAAAATTACTAGTGTTTAACTTACAGCATTCTAATGCTTCTTAAAGTACTAATATCCAGTACTACGACAGCACTAAAGATTTCAAGAAATTCATTCAAAATTCAGCATGGAGAAGCCCAGCTGCACGACGACGAGCCACAAGAGTCTCTCTTGACCAACTCGACATCCGCATTTTTCACAGGTTCAAATTCAAAGACAAAATGGTAGTAGAAAAGAAAGTTACAGGCACTTTCGGTATGTGGAATATCTACGTTTTCCTCTTGCTTTCAATGTACGCTCCATCACATAAGCAATATGCCGGAGCTCGTAAGTTTTGACGAAAAATGCATAAAGAGATATTTCTAGTCAAAGTGTCAAATAGAAACACGTCATTTTGTCTTTTTTTCTTGTTTTAATATAAAAAAAAGTATTTAGAGCACCTAATGGACGAAACGGAGAAACCTAATTGCACCTTCGCTCCATCACATAAGCAATACGCCGGAGCTCGTAAGTTTTCACGAAAAAGTCATAAAGACATAAAGCTAAAGCTAATTGGCAATTGAAAACCGCCTTTTGTTTGAATCTTTTATCTGCTGTTGTTAGTTGTGTTTGGGGTATGGTTTAATGTCTGAAAAGTTAAACATTCGATTCAACGCCATTTTTTTAGCCGTCAATCCGAAAATAGCTTCCCAAAGATTGAATCCGAACATCGTGGAGATAACTGGCGAAAGCGTGAACCTCGCTGCGGACGACACGACCTTTCCCTAGCTTCAAAAGCCCATCATCCGCCCCATCATCAACGACGGGACGAATAAATGCAAAAACCATCGAGCAATGCAAACAAAAACAAATTGTACTTTTTTGTCATCACCTTTTTCTTTATTTCTACGAGTCTAATTTCAAAAAAACATAATTTTCTTGTTTTTTCACCGGTTATTTTCTCTTCTCTTTTACGTGTAACTTATAAATAAAGTGATTGTCGGTTTTTTTGATTGCGAGGAATTTTTGATTGCTATAAATAAAGTGATTGTCGTTTTTTTTTTGATTGCTAGTAAAGGAAGATTTATTGAAAAGTTGGAAAATGGAGATCAAAGTGTAGGGTTCAAGAAACAGATCAAGTAGCACCTTTTAGGATCACAATAAATATATTAAAATGAGATGAGTGTAGCGGGGATTTCTTATTGCTTTGAAGAATTATTTCATTATTAACAATGGACCATTTTTTCTTGACCAAAATGTTTTCTAAAAGGTGCGCTGGTGAGAAAGGCTACCGTACTCGACGAATGCTTTTTAAAAGTTGGCCTTTTTAAAGTAATTAAAAGTACTGATTATTAGAATTCAGTCTAGAGTCTAAACTGAGCTCTAATTAGGGGGTAGGCTAGTTTCCGCAACTTTTTTTGCGCAACTGGATCGTTTGCGCAACTCGGCATAACTTTCTTCTAAGTCAGCCAATCTTTATCATTTTGGTCTCATTTTGTAGATCTCAATAAGTGCAACAAAATGACACCAAAATCATAAAGATTGGCCGACTTAGGAGAAAGCTATGCCGAGTTGCGCAAAGTAGGCTAATTTCCGCTGGGTCGTGTGCGCAACTCGGCATAACTTTCTTCTAAGTCGGCCAATCTTTATGATTTTGGTGTCATTTTGTTGCACTTATTGAGATCTACAAAATGAGACCAAAATGATAAAGATTGGCTGACTTAGAAGAAAGTTATGCCGAGTTGCGCAAATGATCCTGTTGCGCAAAAAAAGTTGCGGAAACTAGCCTACCCCCTAATTAGCGGATAGGGTCGGTAAAAGATTTCTTATTGCTTTGAAGAATTATTTCATTATTAAGAATGGACCATTTTTTCTTGACCAAAATGTTTTCTAAAGTGTTTTCATTTGAAGATCGCGAGTTACGGTAGGTTTTTCTAGAGTGCACTTTTTAGAGAATTCAGTAAGTAAGTAATCAATCAATTAAAAAAATAAGCTTTTTTTTTTGCTCAATCGCTTGATGGCTTCAAGAAAGTGGTCATTGGATTGGATTCGGCGCTTCCGTCCATCAACTCCTCCGTTTCGTCCATTAGGTGCTCTAAATACTTTCTTTATATTAAAACAAAACAAAAAAGACAAAATGGCGTGTTTCTATTTGACACTTTGACTAGAAATATCACTTTATGCATTTTTCGTGAAAACTTACGAGCTCCGGCGTATTGCTTATGTGATGGAGCCAAGGTTTGGCTTGGAATTAGGCTTGGCTTGGAATTTTCTCATTTCTAGTAAGTACTAGAGTACTAGAATAGTGATTATTCTAGTACTAATAATCACTGAGATACTGTAGATTGTATTTCTATAGAAAAAGGGCACTGTAAGTACTGTAAGTACTGTAAGTGAACGTGCGGTTGTAGTGATCTAACGGTAAAGGGTAGAAGTACTGTAGCAGTCGTAGTGAAAGTAAAAACAGTATTGATTTGATGATCATGTGAAAGTTCAATTCTCCTAAGGGGTTCTAGCGTACATTGAAAGCAAAAGGAAAACGTAGATATTCCACATACCGAAAGTGCCTGTAGTGATCTAACGAAGATCTAACGATCTTGTAGTGATCTAACGGTAAAGGGCATACCCCAAACACAACTAACAACAGTATAATTCAGCAGATAAAAGATTCAAACAAAAGGCGGTTTTCAATTGCCAATTAGCTTTAGCAGAGTACTCTTTATGAATTTTTCGTGGAAACTTACGAGCTCCGACGTATTGCTTATGTGATGGAGCGTACATTGAAAGCAAGAGGAAAACGTAGATATTCCACATACCGAAAGTGCCTGTAACTTTCTTTTCTACTACCATTTTGTCTTTGAATTTGAACCTGTGAAAAATGCAGATGTCGAGTTGGTCAAGAGAGACTCTTGTGGCTCGTCGTCGTGCAGCTGGGCTTCTCCATGCTGAATTTTGAATGAATTTCTTGAAATCTTTAGTGCTGTCGTAGTACTGGATATTAGTACTTTAAGAAACATTAGAATGCTGTAAGTTAAACACTAGTAATTTCAAATTGTCCTGAGAAATCTTCTGGGATTTGGCCCTGACCTTGCTTACTGGTCTGACTCGGAAAAAATTGCCTCTAGAAGAACTATTAGTACTCTAGTACTCTCTAAAAAATAAACATGGGAAAAATTCCAAGGCGAACCTAATTCCACGTTCATTTTCTTGGCCGTTTCTTTGTCGATTGCTCTGAAATTTTGTCTACAAATAGAAATCAAGATTCTCAGCTTGTAGACAAAACTTCAGAGCAATCGGCCAAGGAACGGTTGGGAAAACGAAGGTGGAATTAGGTTCGGCTTGGAATTTTCTCATTTCTAGTAAGTGCTAGAATAATCACTGAGATACTGTAGACTGTATTTCTATAGAAAAAGCGCACTGTAAGTACTTTAAGTGAACGTGCGATTGCAGTGATCTAACGGTAAAGGGTAGAAGTACTGTAGCAGTCGTAGTGAAAGTAAAATCAGTATTTATTTGATGATCATGTGAAAGTTCAATTCTCCTAAGGAGTTCACTTTGATCCTTTTTTGCTTAATTTAATTACTCTATCAACTTGGTCGGGTCCTCGAAGGGATTCGTTTCTCTTACATTCTAAGCCCGTAAGGTCAAAAGCTGTATATAGTTTTCTTTCACTAATCGAGTCGTTAGACTGTGGAACTCTTTGCCTTCCCATCTTCGTGAGACTTCTAGTCTTCCTTGTTTTAAGTTTAGTTAATCTCTAAGTTGAATTTGAGGAATTTCGCTTGATTCAACCTGTGTTATTCTATTTTATTTTATCTTTTTTTCAAAAAAAAGGTTCTTATTTCTGTGTTCAATTCGAGTCTTCGTACTTTCGAGTTTCCTTTCCGGCAAATAAAATATTCTACTAATCACCTGTTTCATCGCATAACTCAAAATCGTCAAAAAGGCACACAAAAGGGTGAATAACATGAGGAATTTGAAGCGGAAAATGATAGCTTCCACCTGGAAAATCGATGATTTTTCAAAGAAAAAGAAACAAATCCAAAACTCACCTTTAGCCGTCTACTCTCGTTGTTTTGATAGTACTGATTTGAGCGCTTTTGTTTAATCAATTTCCAAACCATCCAAATCTGAACTTTAATCTGATCACAAGGCTAACTGAAATAATGCTTGCAAGTAAAATTCAAAATATCCAGTTCTGGGAATTTTCAGTGTGAATTTCAACGGAAAATGCCATATCTTTGCCAACTTCAATCAATAGAAAATTCAATTCTGCGTTAAATCATATCAAAATCAACAAAGATCAAAGTGAAATTAGCCGAGATATGCTATTTTTCCGTTGAATGCCTAATGACATTGACACTGAAAGTGTAGTGTCGGCCTAGTGTAGTGAGGAAGAATCGCATACCCAACCCCACCTTGTAGAAGAGAAAACTGAAGTAGATGACGGTGAACAGGGTGGCCAGATAGATCGAGAGGTACTGTAAAAGGGGAATTTATCACTTTCTTTCATTTTTATTCAACTCACAGCCAGCTTTGTGCCAGTGCTCGAGCTCCAAATACTGTAGAATGGGTCACTCAGCTGCATCCCCCGCTCGCACATATCGTAGACCAACAGCGCCACCCCGGCCGTTCCAACCAACGAGAGATTCCGCCAGTAGGACTTCTGGAAATGCTCTAGCTTTTTAGATCCTGTAGAACCCGACTTTTTAGAAAGAACTATAGAATTATTTGCCTTACCAAGTTGTTCCTTGTCGGGTCGTCAATGAGGTGCTCGCCGGCAAAGATTAGCCAAAAGGAGCACAAAACTGCGTAGAATAAACCTGAAATCTAGAATTACTTCTGATTGATCAAACAGAAGCCGTTGTCTAGCATCTGATCGATCTAACAGATACACTTTTCACTCAAGAATCAACGCTCCCCTTGATTTCAAAGTCAGAGTTTAGAGAAAATCGAAGGGATTTTCAGGATTTTCATTTCATAAGGGATTTTCATTTCATTCCTTTCGCAGAATGTGCCAGAAAGGCCGGGTTTTCATACGTAGAGCTTGAATCATGAAAAAACAATACCCTGTCGCAGATCGCCAAGCAACAACATGAAAGGCACACGCTCAAACCACAATGGAAGCCATTCGATTGGCACTGAAAGAAGCGGTTACAGTTTTTAATAGTATCTCTGATTTCGATTATATTTAAACTATTTTCCAAGATTGATTTCTACAATTGCTTACAATCAAGCACAGTGGTGCTGACACCGAGGGCAAAGATCGCCTTCTCAAGTAGAAGAGGAGGGCGTGCAAGGGATTGCACCCGATCCCAATACCAGCGAACGGTCACTGAAAATCGATTTTAATCAAAAATCTGTTTAGTGTCTGCTAAAAGCTGCTTATTTTATAAAACTACTGTAATAAGACGGGTAGTTTTCATTCGATTAGCTCAAATTTTGAAATGATTTGCTGAAGAAATACACAAGGCTCATCAATGACAATGACATCAATGGCTCATCAATGACATCAATGGCTTATAAATGATATCAATGGTTCATCAATGGCATCAATGGCCCGTCAATGGTATCAACGGCTTATCAATTACATCAATGGCTCATCAATGACATCAAAATTGGGCAATCAAAATATAAAAGCTGCCGATTAGGGGTAGTTTTATAAAATAATGAAAATGAATATGTTTTCATTTGCTTATTTATCTTCTTATCAATTTTGATTATCCATTTCACTCACAGAACAAAAACGGCACGACGATCGTTTTCATCCACGCCCACACCATTGT